TAAAAAACAGTAAAACATAAGTTCGTTAGAACTTTTAAAACCGACATATAAGGTTTGTGAAATGTAGCCCAGTCATTTCAGAGGAGAAGATTTACGAAAAAATTAACGGAAGACGACGAACGACGGACGACGGGGGCCAAGTGATGAAAAATTCTAACTTTTCCCTTTGGGTCAGGTGAGCTAAAACCAACCAAGAATTCCAAACATGATTGCACCGTTTTAGAATTACGCACTGACATGTCGCGACTGCTTGAATGATCGTAATTGAATTTATTTTGAAAGTCTGTAAGATAATTAATTAAATAAAAATATCACATAAACTTAACATTGCTCATGGAACCATAAAAAGTCAAGGTCTGATGAAACCTGCCAGACGGACATGTACACATTACAATCCTTAAAACCATCCCAAAAAAAAACTAACTTAACATTTACCAATTTGACGTGCATTTTCACTTATTTCTCTGTTAATCTAGAACGGTTGAATAAATATTACATCTCACAATAGAAAAAAGTTATATATGTATATATATTCTTCGATATCATAAAAATAACAAATAAATAAACAGAAACCTACCTTTTCTCTGTCTATTGATGTTCCGTCACCGTGCCGGATACTAAATATCATCGAGTCCAAACATTTTTTTTTTGCCGGGGTAGTTTAGCCACAGTGACATGTGGCACCCGTCGTGTTGCTCATGATTGATTTAGGCTCAGGAAATATTGATCACAAATGGTACATCCGACATAAACATTGGGTAAACAATAAGTTGATGAGCAACGGATGTAAAACATGGTATAGCATGTTTAAAATAAAGCTTCATGCTAATTGTCTAGATAGTTGGATGGCTGTTTAACGTCTAGTGGAAAATAAAATGGAAATGCAATACGACAACATGATAATATGATATGAATATATACTCTGCCCTATATACTAGACCGACACGTTGAGTCGAAATTGTAACGTGCTTATTCATAAGGTTACAGTCCGCCGGAAGACATTATTCTGACTAAATGCCGACCAGTCTTTACTCTTACTCCTAAATGCCGCATTGTTACTTACATCAACGAATAAAGGCAACAGTAGTATACCACTGTACAATAGTCATGAATCGATTAAGCGAAAAATCATTCCGGGTAATAAATCAAACCCAGGGAAACCCATCAACTGTAAGACGAATACAATAGAAACACTGAACTGCAACAAAAGCTAACGCCAAAATACATAAAAACAAACTATTTGATAACAACTGCCATACTTGGTACAGGACATTCTACTGAAACATCGTTTGTAACGTACATTTTGATTGGATAACGTCGCCAATTTTCATGGCATCAATTCACAATTGATGCTATGAAAATGTGCGCGCAAGCGCAGACGACGTTTGGCAGATTTTAAATGTATGATTTGACGTTGTTTTCTGACAGTTTCATTAGAATGGAGACAACAATATTGTATTTTAAGCTCCGACGGCATCAATTGGTGATTTGATGGTCGCAAATACCCGTTTCCTGGCTCCGCTAACGCGTCGCCAGTAAACTTAATTTGCGACCTTCAAATCACCAATTGATGCCATCGGAACTTAAAATACAATACAGTTATCTCCTAATTTTAAGAATAAATCAGCAAATACCAATTATTTGACCTTGTCGCGGTTCTAACTCACGAGCCTTCGAACTCTAGCCGAGTAAGCTTCCTCGAGTTCACTAAGGCAGTTCCAATATTTTAGAAGCTATGGACAGTATGTTCAGAGATTTCATATATTCACTTAAAGAAAATTTGCCATTGAACCATAGTATTATTGATTGTTACGTTGAGAAGAGGCTTTATGTGAATGAACCACGACACACCATTCATAGAAAAGAGGTAAAGATACAAAAGTGATATGAAAACTCATAAGCCGATGACAAACTGGAAATCACGACAAAATGAAAACAGACCAAAAAACAAACACCACTCTACAAAACGCATCATAGAACACTCATGACCGAGCACATGATGAACCCATTAAAAATGGTTGTGATCACAGGTACTCCGGAATGTAAAGAGATCTACTCCACATGGCACACCCGTCTGGCGTCCTGTTCTTAAGTATCGTTAATCTCAAGTTCACTGGGATATATGAGAACCAGGTACTCACTAAAATGTAAGTTATTGAGCGACATGACATCATCTATATATTTGAAATTAAAATTATAGAAATTTGCAAGATGTGATTTTTTTCTTCTTGTTTTGGGGAGGTTCTGTATGAGATTTGCTTCATATGAGTACTTAAACAAGTTGACTAATAGGGATGCACGATTAGTACCATTGGAATATCGGCTGTCTGTTGAAAATATCAATCCACTAAATAAAACAAGCTGTCGATGAAAAAAGTCTAACATTTTGATTATATCATCTTTGATGTTTTCGTAGTTGGAATCAGCGTGATTCTACACAAAAATTCATGATCTTAAACAAAGAATTTGAACCTAAGATTTCCATTTTGGTAGAAAAAGTTCTGTTGAATGAAAAGATGTATTCGTGCTTTCAATTTAGCATGGGGAAAGAAGTTTAAGTGTAGAAATATCAAGTTTTGCTTGTGATTGAAGAGTTTGGAATATTTATTGAGAATTCTTAACACAATTGGTTACATATGATGTGGCTCTGTACTTATACATCCCGTCATTGTTATTGTGATATGGTAAATGTTTGTTTACATATTTGTTTGTTTTTATAGTGATTAAGATAGTACCACAGTGTTGACTGCTATACCCCTATTTTTGACATTTTTACCTATTATGTCTGTTTGTTTTGTTCACACATCGTTGTCAATATAACATGTATAATGGAATGTTATGCGACTGTCATACAAGTGAGAGGTTTAGCTAGCTATAAAACCAGATTAAATCCACCATTTTCTACATAAGAGAATGCCTGTACCAAGTCAGGAATATGACAGTTGTTGTCCATTCGTTTGATGTGTTTGGGCTTTTGATTTTGCCATTTGATTAAGGACTTTCCGTTTTGAATTTTCCTCGGAGTTAAGTATTTTTGTGATTTTACTTTTGAATATACATCATCACTATAGTTTTGAAGGCCATTCTTTTTTTACTGAAGAAGGAATAATAGTAAGAACTAAGAATCATGTTTAGTCGAAAATCTTGACGACCTGGCTATATGCCGTTCTTTAAAAAGTGTTTTTGCAGAGTTTTGGAATCCAGTATAAAGAGGGAAGATTTTCATCGTCCTTTTGTTTTGTCAATTCAAACGACGAGAAGAGCAGATTTGTGACTTTCTAAATTCTCATCATTTATGAATGATGTAGCGGACCAGTTGGGTTTCTCAGTTAGGTTGTGAATTCCAAATAGTTAAGTTAAACCTTCTAAATAATAAACAAACTTACTTCACGCTTTGTCTACTTGTACAACATATGTGTCATGAATAGAGGATAAAATCCCAGGCTTCGTTAAATGGTTGGAAACCCGTGTGCTCAATGCAAATCGTAGTTTTTTTTGGTCGTTTTTGGTTTATTTTGCGATGCCATTGTACGTTGGTCTTCGACTTATGAGCTTGGATATCCGTTTGGTATTTTACGTCTCTCTTTTGAATGTGCTTTTGAATGCATGACCATTGGGTACGGTGTCACGTTTTGGTTCATCTGGTTAGCGCTTTACCGATTTTCTGTCATATTGTAATTCCTCAACTGTATTCATCAGTAAACTGGCGTTCTTCTTCCTGTTGATGTGCTGGGGATTCTATATTTTGGGCCTTTGGATAACAGCTCTCTATGTTGTTTATTGTTGAAGATGCCAAGATCTTCAGTTATAACATGACCATTGGAACTATATACATATAAATGGAGAAAATGCACAAGGGCAATTGGGAGGTTTGAGTCCAATACCGTCTTATAGTTTGTTCTTATGGTGTGAGGTTACAACACTTTCCGATGTTAGGGGAAAGAAGTTGAGCGCTCACAAACATGTTTAGCCGCGCCATATTCTTTACGTGCCTGTCCCAAGTCAGGAGCATGTTAGTACAGTGGTTGTCGTTGGTTCATGTCTGTCATATTTGTTTTTCGTAAATTGTTATGTTATTAATTAGGCCGTTAGTTTTCTCAATTGAATTGTTTCATATTTTAAACACTGGTATACTACTGTTGCCTTTATTAATCATGTCGGGGCCTTTTATAGACGATTATACGGTATGGTTTTTTTTCAATTGTTGAACAGTTGCCTATATTTCCTAAAATCCACTTTATTTGAACTTTGGTGAATAGTTGTCTCAATGGCAATCATACTACATCTCCTTATTTTTATATTGTGGTTACAAATATTGGATGCAATAGGTTTGGTAGATGAAATGACAGTTGAGGTCTTATTCTTGAAATAATCAGGTAATCTTTTGTCTACAGCTTTTTGGGGAAAATATTGCAAATATTATAGTTTTAACTGAGGTGCACAATAGGCAATGGATTTTAAGTGTTGGTTGTAGATTACCCTGACCCTGTAGGGAAGATAAGCAGGTAAAAGTTGTTTATTAATGTGTAGACAAAACATTTATGACCTTATATGTTGTTATCTTACATTACAAGTGTGTATTCTTTTTAAATAGTGTTAGTGCAAGATGTTTTGAATGATCTAGTTACGGTAGAGATGGGCTTCTATCTTAACGTAATTTTATCTCACTCCAATTTGATGTATTTCGTGTGAAAACAGAAAAGGTGCAATATGCAATAAAATGAAATGGTTTTATTCATACACTGTGAATGTGATTGGTATAGAACAACTTTAAATTTGGATTTAGAATTTTCGAACATTTTTGCTACGAGCATCACTGAAGACTTTAATTTCGAAATGCACATCTATATATAACATTGCAAATACATTTGATGCTGTTTAAAAGGAACACTGCATCTAGAAAACTTTTTTATTCTAATAGTATTTGAATACATAGATCGTGCATCAGAATTAGTATAACTTGGTCAAATCATCAATTCACAAAATATAACAAACAAAAATATGATTATAGAAATTTTATTTCAAAATTGTGAAAAGATAAAAAATTTATAAACTTCAAAATTACTAAAATAACATATAATAACCGAAGATATATAAACTATATAATCTTACAATAAAATCACAAAATATAATTAAATAAATAAATTAATAACATTTGCAAGCCTTTTGGCATTTAATTAGGTATTACTAAATCAATAATTTAGTTTTAGAATCCTTTTCATTTTGGGTAGTATTTTGAACATGTACACAATAAAGTGATTTCTATCACAATGCCTTAAAGTTTAACTATGTATTCCATCAATATTGAGATGCTACTTATACAAATAATAAAAAGCAGAATCCATTACTCTTTAGTTTATTCAGGAAACAATAATATATGACTATATGACATCATGTCCAGCTCACATTACCCCTTGTTAAAAGGTTCACTACATGCTGAACATGTGCTTTTATCAGTTGCTTACATCCACACCATATTGATTCTGGTAGGCAGTTGTCACATTGGCAATAGTACAACATCTTTGAAGGTAGATTAATTGTATACTGCCATCTTGGATTGTAGTTTAGTGCATAAATCTGCAAATTTTGAGACAGATTGGCAATTAATTTGTAAGACTATAATTTAATAAGGCAAAATAAGTGATTTATTGCATTATTTAGACAAACACCAAATATTTGTTTTTGTTTCGAATGAATTTTTCAACTTAGCCAATAGAGTGGAGATAGCTCTTTTTATAAAGGAATGTTAAAGAAATTTACATTTTTTCCTTGTAGCAAGAAAATAAGTTCGGTAACACCATTATTTCTTTTTATTTTCTATATCATAAAACCTATCTGATCTTATTTTATCTCATAGGTGTCCTTTTATTCACAAAAACAATTTTTTTCATGAATAATCTTCGCAAAATTGGGCAATTTTGCACGACTTGTAGCTTGAAAAATAGCCTGGTGACCCATACATTTTATTATACTTTTGACAATAGCCTGATAAAATCTTCATTTTGGCAAAGTATAAGAAAATTCTATCTGAGGAAATATATACTGATGATCCACCTTTTTTTTTTTATGTGTACCAAGTTTATTGGTAATGCAACCAAAAAGCACATCCAACCAAACCACTAACCTGATGTGGGACAGACATAGTTGGAAGCACATTCTGGTAAACATAATGCCCCTACTATTATAGGCAGGTCATTAATATTCAGCTTCTTATTTTTCCAAAGAAAAACATATCAAAGGAATAATTATACCACTTCATTTCGATTTTATCTGCAATCTTGTACACCTTAAACTCTGTTTTACATGAGATTCACAAAGATGCTTGGTGGATTATTTATTAAAATTTTAAGCTGAAAGTACACAGAAATACTTGTTTTCTTGTAAGTACATCTGAGAATTTAATTTGTTCGGTATCTTTCTAAATTTGTAGATTTTTATTTTTTTGCATCTTTTTACGTTTTTGTAGTTTGTATTTAAGTAGTTATATATTGACTTTGGCATATATCAAATCAATAAAGATCACAAACAACAACAGTAATACATATGACACAAAAAAATTACTGCATATATGAAATTGCATAATCAACATTCAATTTTTAATAAAGTTCCAATATCCTATAACAGTGAACACGGGTGAACACATAATTTGAAGCACAGTGACTATTCATGACACGAAATTTACATAATGAATTGTGAAAAAAAATATGGTTTTAAATTTATGTGAAACACTACAAACACATTCATACACACATGCAAAACACAAAAACAAGATATAACTGTGGATTCATTTATTTTCATGAGTGCCATATTTTGTGGATTGAGAAAAACTTGCATTTTTGTGGGTATAACAATTCATGGTTTTGCTAAAGTCTGCATTCAACCTTATAGAAAATGTGTCGTTCGTTGGAACATTTAAAACCATGGTTTAAAGGTACCCATGAAATCCAAGAATATTGGTATCCAATATATAAAGATGCATCCAAAGTATTTAAGGAACATTATTTCACTACATGACTGTTAGACAATAAGAATATTTCTAGAACCTCATGCATCATAATCCTGGCATTTAAAACTGTTCTGGTCTTTTTTCAAATTTAAGTTATACAAGAATGTATTTATGTATTAATGGAATCAATTGTCCTACGCAAAATTTCTAAATATAATCACAATTAGTCTAAACCTGATATTTTTTCCTAAAATTTTATAGTCAAATCCTGGGATATAAATAAGGAACAACAAGCTTGAAATATGTAAATTTGACACAGACTAATATATATAAAATTTGGTAACACTAAATACCCATGCTGCCTGCTTGCAGTGCTCATTATCAATTTAAAAAAAAACTGAAAAAAAAATAAATAATTGATGTCTGCCTTGGATTTTATGGATGAGTATCTAGGAATACTGTATTCGTTGTCTTATTACCCTTGGTATCATTCAAAATACTTAATAGAATAAATACAATGTTTTAGGTGTAATACCACCAAATCATAGTACGTCACATCCGGTTGCATACGAAAATAGGTTGAAAAAAAATATTCCCTTGAATTTGACAGTTGTAGATAATTGATCCTACATTTCATTGCAGTAAAACATTTCTGGGTCATAAGCATATATCTTGGGTATTTCAAAGCACCATTCTTTTTTTATTTGGGGTTTCTATAGAATATTTTGGAAACTTAAGGTTACATGGTTACTAAAGCTTTTACACAGGTTAAAAAAGGGGAAAAATTTGACTGGTTAATTTCCAGTGATGGTTATTTTCTTATATGCAATGAAATGTTATGTGAAATTTTTTCTATAGTACTGGACAGGATAAAACTTTGCTCATGCCAAGTATTTCTTTATTTGAAACAAAGATAAATTCTGCACAATGTTTTGAAAAGTGCAAATTTAACAAAGACTAATAGGGTAAAATCAATGGTGGTATTACACCTTTATCACAAAATATTTTTGATATAATCCTAATTCCAAACACACATCTCTCATTCATTCAATTTACATTCGGTTTAAAGGTCCACAATCTGTAACAACATATCTCAATGAAAGGTACATAAAACAAAACACATTTTTTTATTTTTCTGTGGAATTTTTAAAAGTCGAATTTCAAAGTTGTCTTGTTTAGATACCACTGTTAACATTTCATTGAATGAAGTGAATAAAACATACATGAAATGGAGAAAGACATGAAATAATCAGAAAGACTAGGGGTATTGTTCATATCAATATCTTATGCGTTGCAATATAATATTTTTTGTTCAAATTTTCATTATTTTCTTAAAAGGTAAAAAAATAATTAACATGTGCAAAAGTAATTGAGTCTTCCTCACATTGGTTTCATACTTTACTACACATATTCATACACATTTTTCTTGCAAAAAATCATTTCAATTTTTGATTTTGCCTGGATTTATTTCAACATTTAATAGATAAATCAACCATGATTTAGTGATACAGCTGGCTTCAAGTTATTTATCTAAGACTAGTCCAAAATCAACCCACATTATTTTGATTTACTGGTAATGTTTTATTAATAGCACTTCAAAAAGTTTGCACAAAATTATAGCTCCAAGTTGAAGATAATACAGTTATCTTCTTTTCATGAATTAAGTAAAGAATTTTCCATGCACATCCAGACAACTTGTACACAGTTTAAAACAAGTTTCACTGTACAGGGTAGGAACAAAAATGTAAACAAATGTCTCTAGGTGGGAGTGATTAATTTTCAAATATGTTTAGAATAAGGACTTGTTACAGCTTTATGATTTTGTCATCGATAACAACAAAACTAGGTTTAAAATTGCACCATAAAATGTCTTTGACTAGCAGGTTTTTAAAACAATGCTTCCAGTGACATAGCCGTACATTGATGGTCCATGGTAACATGTTTACTCCTTTCTGCATAAATTTCAATCCAGATTTCCACTGAGACATTTTAATCTTGTTTCAGATGAGTTGGACCATGAGTAACCACAGCTTTAACATACTGTGAGAAAAGTTTATCCATAAATGTGCTGTTTCTTGGTATAAAACCTTCCATAAACCCAATATGGCCACCATGTGATGTTACTACAATTGCAATGTTTTCATTCTCTTCTGCTTCTTTCACTGGAATTGCTGAAAGAAGAAAAAAGAAAATAAATTAAATAGTCTTAAAATATCAGATAAAATGTCTCATTCTTATTGGTACATCTAGATGTGATTTAGACAATTAATGTCTCTTCAGAGCAAAATAAAACAATATCCGTATTGTCATGCCAATTACAATACGTCTGTGATTGTGATACTCTCAGGTTATAACACCCAACCAAACGGCAATTAATCAGTGGTTGTTATAACATTAAAGATACCAATTTAACTGCACACATCAAACAAGGAAGAGAAATAGTCACTCACAGAATGTCAGATGCAGTGTTCTCCCCAGGCCGTTTTAGCGTCGCGGCACCGAGACGCTATATTTTTTACCCGTGATGCTATAATAATTTCCGCGACGCTATAATTATTTTGAGGATGCTATTTTTCTGGTCTCTATATCGCAAAACCATGTCCTAAATTTTGAACTTTCATCTAATTACCGCCTGTGATCATCAAAATTATATCACCTTTAATTGTAATCCCTTCAAGTCGGACAATAGAGGCAATTTAGAGTGATTAAATAGGTGTTAATTGCCCTTTGGGTGATAACTGAATGGATACGAATACCCCAAGCTGACACTTGTGACATGACTAATACCACGTGGTCCAATCGCAAATTTCGACATGGAGAATATGTAATCAGAAAATCGAAAAACAATTCGAAATCTACGTTTGCATAATCCAAATTCAAAGATTCAAACGATTTCTCTCTTTAGAAAAGAGGTTAGGTCGTATATTTTTACAACTTTTAAAAAATTACTTCTTTCATTTTCCGGTACTACTAGTTTATCGAGAGCGTATATTAAACATTTTGATTTTGTGTTAAATAAGTTTGATACTTCTTTAGAAAGAGATCATAATTGGTTTTAGTTAATGTTTCGTCCATTTAATGCATTAAAAGCGGCATACTCATTCTTAGACTTAATCTCTTGTCAAACATTGTTTATTTTCGTAAATTTTTCTTCCGCCGCCATTGCAATATTTGTATAAACTACGGATCGGAACCGGACCAGATATGACAAAATTCCGCATTTTTACGATAATAACTACAGATGCACAAATGGCACAGTAGACGAAAAATTATCACAAAAGAGAAAACTACGCATTCCACACGCAATAACAAGCTTAACTTTGTTAAAAATATATATCATTTTGATATAAAGAAACAACTGGGACTAATTCATTGAGTACCATGAAACAATGAATTTCATAGACATGATAAAGAAAAAAGTTTTTTAATTGAAATTTTATTGCCACATGATACTTTCTCTTCCCTTTTTATATAAAAACCAGTTCTTTTTATTTTTTTGCTAGATATTTAGTATTGTATATATACAGGTTGTACTATAATAAACCATTCATTCATTCATTCATTTAGTTAAGTAGGTAGGGTAACTGGAACCACACATATATTTTTATTTGGCCCAAGAGGAAAAAATAATTCTGTAACTATAAATGAATATAGAAAACATAAACTGAAACAACTGTTATCATGGTTAAAGTATAATTGTATTCCCAGCTATGAATTGAACAATATAAACATATTTAACGTAAAGGAAATAGAGCATCGCCGCGACGCGTCAAATGACATTGAAAAAAATAGTTTATTTTTTTACGCCAAATGTGATGCTATCCAAAATTTCTGGGGAGAACACTGCAGATGTATTTGTTTTTTGTCATGCAGTTACAACTCAGAATTCATTGGACAAATGCAATGTTTTCTCAGTAGAAAAATAGCTTAAACAACTAGTTTAAATTATTATAACATGTATCCTTAGTTTTCAAATGTTTGATGAAGTTGTGACTGTTACTTTGAATGGAACTATGTCTGTTTACTTAAGGATGTTCGCTCCTGTTGTTGTTGAACTTTTGCCAGATATTTTCGATTCATCCGGTTTTATCCATGAAGTACCATTTTAAAATTTTGCCCACTTACCCCTACTTTTTTTTCTCATAATATGATTACATATAGTTTAAAATGTTATCTTTGAAAATCTTTGAAAATCCTTGTTATTTTTTCATGGTTTTTGAACGAAAAAAGGTGCCAATGTTAAATGTATGAAAAATCTGGAGAGAATCATTTCCCATCAAATTTTCAATGGCTTATATCTGGAAAACAAGCACACAGACCTATTATTTTTTTCTGATTTCCAATTTCTTCATTTATATTCAATCAATTTGTAACAGTCTTTTAAAAAGCTTGTTATTTTAAAACAGAGTGGCAAACATCCTTAAGTTACTTTATGCTATGGTTAGTAATGGTCAAGATTCCTTAAACATAACAGATCATACATTCATCCATGTAAATCTACTTGCTTTTTCAAGGTCTAATGATACCCCCGCCGAAATATTTCAGTAAACAGGAAGTTGTTGAGTGATGGATCTGAAAACGCATCACACGGTATAGCTGACTTATATAAACCCTAAAACCAAATTTCAGAAATCCTTGTCAAGTAGTTCCTGAGAAAAATGTGACAAAAATTTTCAACTTGGCTATCATGTGTAAAATAATACAAGTGTTCGGTAAACAGGAAGTTGTTGAGTGATGAATCTGAAAACGCATCACATGGTGTAACTTACTTATATAAACCCTGAAACCAAATTTCAGAAATCCTTGTCAAGTAGTTCCTGAGAAAAATGCGACGAAAATATTCATGGGACGGACAGACTGACGGAAGAACAGTATACCCCCACTTTTTTAAAGCGAGGGTATCATGATTATGATATTTTCTGACTTTAAATGAAATGTAGAATACTTTGGATTTGAAATATTTTAAATGCCTACAAAATTTTTTAATAAATTTTAAACAATTTGATAAAGAATATATAGATAAAAGCATGGGCGATAATGACTGCTGATTTGATTGATGAAAACCTTCAACAAAGAACATGTAATATATTTTTGCCTTCAATAAAATCTATAAACATCATTCAAAAAGAACACATATTAAACAACGATAATTATATGGTATCATATAACATGCATTTACCATAGAAACATTAGCTGTATTTGGCACAACTTTTGGGAATTTTCAATTTTAGATGTTCTTCATATCTTATTTGGCCTTCCAACTGTTTTGATAAAAGTGCCACTAATGAGTCTTATGTAGACTTAAATGTGCATACTGCTAACCAAATTAAAGCCTTGTATCTTTCATGAGTTTCAGTATTTATTTGATTAAGTTTGATACAAATTCTTAACCCCTTTTTGGACAAATTGATTTTTTTTACACCACACCCACACAAATGTTTCTTGGATGCCTTTTATGATTGATATGCGTCATTTTTAAGCAGATTAAATTTTTTATATTTATTTTAGTCTGAACAAATTGCACACATTTTTATAATTTTCATAATTAGGAAATAATCAAATAAAGCTTACACTTGCTTATCAAATACATTACTGGAGTCCTTGTAGAAAATATGAGGAAATGAAGTTATGACATCATATTTATGTGTGAAAAACTATTTTCAAATATTTAATCTTTTTGTGCTATTAAAACTAAATTATTATTGAGACAAAATGATTTACTTTTTATTGCCATATTTCATTATCAAATTTAAATGAATTATCATGGGTATTATTGACCCATTGAATGTCTTCCACAATATACGAAATTTAGACCACATAGAAATGTAAACATGATAATAAAATGATAAAAATACAGTAAAGTTTATCAATTTAATTAGACTTTACACTCATATTTACAGATAAAGCTGTCCATTTCAACTTTTCATATGCTTATGCATTTGTTAATGGGATGTTCATATTTCACCTGACTAAATTGTAAAATGGCATGTTCGCAGTCTATAGAAAAAGCTCAGAATCCAGCTTCGTGTCAGTTCTGTGAAGAATCTAATATAAAATGGAAATGTATAAACTGTGATTTATTTTTGTGTCAATTGTGTATTCAAGGATTCATAGTAAAATCAAATCATCTGACAAACATGAAATTTTAAATCTGAAAGAATGTGGAACCCAGGACTCTGCGGCAACAATCAGTAAGATGGATCTTCATAATATACCATGTACAATCCACAGTGAACAAAAATGTTGTGTTTACTGCAATTTTAGTGAGTGCAAACATCCTATTTGTTCTGAGTGTTTAACGGAGTCCCATTAAAAACATGAATTCAAAAAACTTTATGAAGTTTATGACTCTATTGTTTCTGAGATCAGTGCGTTTAAGGGAAAAATTGAAACAGATATTAAATGGCATGAAAATGGAAAAGTAAAATACGAACAGCTCCTTTCAGAAGGAGACAAGAATTTTCAAGAGACAAAAGATAAAATATTTCAAACTGAAAAGGAAATGAAGGAAACGATATCAAGATTGGCTAGAGATCTTCTACAAGAACTTGAAACAAACTGGAGGCCACTTGAGAATAAAATAAAAACAGAACTTTTAACTATCATAATGAATAAAGATGACCTAGTATTGAGGAAAGGTATGTTGGATGATACACTCCTATCACACCAATCTTCTGACATTTTTTCCACAAGTAAAACACTAGACTTTACACTGCCAAATAAATCAGATACAGCAATTCATCTCAAAAAGACAAAATTCATACCAGGAATTAATTCTGAGAAGTTTGAGACTGAATTAAGTGCAGGGTTTGGAAATCTTTACACTGTTCCACATTTAAAAATAGTGAAAATTTATCAACATGATACATCTTGTGTGACAAGTATACAACATTGTGATAGTGATACAACTTTCATAGCTTTTTTAATTGGCCATCTTGAAGCAGTAGAGTTTGAGGATGATAGTATCAAAATACAGAAAGAAGTTGAAATTGAAGTTTTTGATATGGCAATACAACACAATGGAGACCTAATTATTTCATCTATGGAAAATGATTTGAAACTTTATAAAGATGGAGAAGTAAAGTCCTTCAAATCATTCTCTCCTTTAAGCACAGCAGGTGTTCATGTTAACAAAGGTAACCAGATATTAGTAGGACTGTTTGAATCAGATCCTTTTGACAATCCTTCAGCAGATGGTGTCTCAAAACATACAAAAAAAGTTGTAGTTATGAATCAGAAAGGCAACATACAACATAACTATGAGTATGACGCAGACAATCAGAGACTTTTTACGGTCCCATGGAGAATCAAAACTCATAATGACAAAATATTTGTTGTTGATCTTATAAACCAAAACTTTAATGGAAGGGTTTTAGCTCTAGATTACGAGGGTAAACTCCAATGGACATATAAGGGTAGTGTAAATACAGATGAGACTGAATTTACCCCACGTGATATAGCAGTATCCTCTAATGACATGATTGTGGTGTCTGACTTTAAGAGGCATGCATTACATATATTAAGTCCTACTGGGGAGATTATTTTATGTAAGGATATAAAACCCAGGGAATTCAGCTTCCTTTTAGTCTGGATTTTGACAAAGATGGAGTTTTGTGGACTGGGTGCATGGTTACAGACAAAAATAAAGCCTCAATTTGTGCTCTAAAATTGGTTTGAGCCATTTGAATGTAAGGTACAAATACATCCCAAATGAAAGAATATCTAATGTATAGAATGATATCAAAGTGCTAAATTTCTTTAAAAAAAAAATCCTTTAAAGTAACAAACCTGTAAGGCATCAATTAAACAGCAGCTACTTCTTAAATAAATTTTGTATAAAAGAAGAGTAGGTATAATGAACAATTTGAACCTCACAGGAGGTAACATGGTGTTAAATGTTATTAGATAAATGTCTGATGCATTTATATGTAAATGAAAATTAAGATGAACTTCAGTTTTTGTCTAGCTTAATTTTTTTAATTTCCTGAATTGCATTCTTGGGTGCCGGTTTATCATGTTTATAATAGATAACCTCAGTAAAAAAAAATAATTTCAATTCTATTTGTTTCTCTTTGTTATAAAAATAAAGAGAGGTGGTATGATTGTAAATGAGACAACTACATACCACAGTCCAAATGATGTTGATGTAAGAAACTAAAAATCACCCTGCAACATTTTCAATCTGAAAAAACTCTGATACGACATAATGTGAAACATGTCAAGCAAAAAACCAACAGCCAGATCAGTTCAAACACATCAAATGAATGGATAACAACTGTCATATTCCTAACTTGGTACAGGCATCTTATGTAGAAAATGGTGGATTGAATCTGGTTTTATAGCTAGCTAAACCTCTCACTTGTATGACATTCGCATCAAATTACATTATATTGACAACTATGTAACAAGAATGTACACATAGTTTGCTAAGAATACCCCCACTCATACTTCAAAGTATCAGATAACAGGAAGAAGATGGCTGGCAGCTCTGTGAATGCTCAAACATTACAACTCATCAACGATAAGCTGTTGATTAAATATGAAGTCATTCTGTACAATAGAACTTGAGAAGAGTGTGACAAGAAATAGTTCATTCAACATTATGTCATATTGAAAAATTCAAAGCATTGGATAGGAAGTAGAAGAGAGGCGAAGTACCAAAGGGACATTCAATCTCATAAGTCGAAAATAAACTAATAACGCCATGTCTAAAAAAGAAAAAGACAAACAGACAAACAATAGTACATAAAACTCAAGGTAGTAAGTAATATAACAAAAGTACCGAACTCCGAGGAAAATGTTCCATAAATAAGGAAAGAGCTCATATGTTACAATTCATCACTGTTTAGGTGCTGACATATATTAAAGTCTTTCTGTTCCTTGTATTTAAGAAATGTGAGAAGGATATATTTGTTGGACAAACAGACAAGCAGACAGACGAAGTGAACACTATAAAGCCCCTCTAATACAATCAGTAGGAATTGGCTTGATTCATCAGTTTGGCAAGGAGCACACAGAACAATTAACAAAAAGACAAAAAACAATTCAAAATACTAAGGATTTTCTACCCAAGGAATAGATTATCTTAGCTGTATTTGGCAAAACCTTTTAGAATTTTGGGTCCTCAATGTACTTAAACTTTGTACTTTGATTGGGTCTTTATTGAGCTTCTTTGTAGACGAAAGGAGCATCCAGTGTACAAATTTTTAATCTTGGTATCTATGAATTTATCTAGGTGTTTTCACTTGACTCATAGACAGAGCACAATCTTTAGTTTCTGCCATCTGTAGGGGGAGTAATTATATATAGAAACCTAACCTAAGGAAGAAGGAATGTTTCTAACATTGCATTTCATCCCACACATTCTATCAATATCTACAGTGTTAAGGGTAGTAAGGGTATGCTATAGCTTTATGTTTTTGATGTATGCCAAGGCCTTGTGTTGAAGGTCGTACTTTGACCTATAATGGTTTACTTTTACAAATTGTGACTTGGATGGAGAGTTGTCTCATTGGCACTCATACCACATCTTCTTATTTATACTGCAATTAGTTGTGTTTATTTCCTAAATTTAGTAACACAGCTATATTTTGTGCAATGTCAATTTCATCATGGATCACTTTTTCTACAATCAGAGGTTCAATAAGGGATGATAATAAGTTTGAAATTAAATTCCACAATTTAAAGAGCTATCAATGTATTATTTTAAGTTGCAGTATACAAACAATATTAGGTCAATGTCAGAAGAACCTCGCCCTTCCCCAGTTTCTCAGCCTCATACAAAAAAGTTTATATTTTTCTGACATTGACCTAATATTGTATATTTATAACTCACACTTACCATGATGAGGAGAGAAGGGGTCATCTGCTGCATTTAACACTAACACTGGAACTTTTAGTGCATGGATTTTATCATGTAAACATGCTTCTTTATAGTAGTCTTGCCATGTATCATAACCAAAGATCTTAGATGTAAATCTTTCGTCAAACTCACGAATTGTTGAGGACTGAAAACAATAAAATAATATCATTCATCAAGATCGTAGCTGTTTCACTTGCATCAACTTATGGATGTCAAAGCATGTAAAAATAAGTGTGAACTGTTAGTTACTGCTCACTAACGATATCTCTGCTGACAAATATGCAAGGAAAATGTCATAAATGGTTATTGTGTGTAAACATATATAAGTATTGAATAAACAGGAAGTCAAGGACTGATGAACGTGAAAAAGCCTCAGGGATGTTCCAGAAAATACTTTGTCCCCCCCAGGGAAGGCAATTTTTTTTTTAATTTTATGTGAGTGGTTGTATTTTAAATACCAAAATGCAATGGGAGTGTTGTTCTAATTTATTTTTATTTCTGTGGGTGGTGGGGTTAAAAAATAGTGTCGTCCCTTGGGGGTACATAGTATTTTCTGAAACAGCCCTCAAATGATATAGCAGGCTACCAGGAAGATCCTTTCCATTATTAAAGTTCCAAATTTTGACCATAACATGCTTATTTTGATTAAATAAGTTGATTTTTTGTTATTGACTTCAACCCCACAATATCTCTCATTCATATTTAAAACAGGTAAATTCTGACGAATAAATAAAGTTTTTTTCCCCTTTAAATTCATCCATCTAGTGAAACTTTAATTACTTACAGCAATATATGTAGAAGTAAAACTTTATCTCAATTGCAGATTTCTCCATATTAGATCAGTGTGAAAGTTTTGTTTTAAGAATGTCATCAACTTTGTATGCAAGAATATGAACAAAGGGACATAACTCTGTGTTAAATGATTTGTTTTTAATCTATCATATACTATTTTATAGTTATTTTGACAGTTTGTATATCACCTTTTCGATTATAAAAAAAGACTACTCCTAATGGTGACCTATAGTTGTTAATCTCTGTGGCATTTGTTTCTTGAAGATAGTTGTCTCATTGACAATCATACAACATCATCTTTTTTATATTATATATTCACCTTCAATATATGATCCAAGTTGTCAAAATGATTTTCAAACACTTCCATATTGCTAAAAATAGAAAAAGACTAGAATTCAAATTTGTTATTGATAAAAAGATACAATATAAAAAGCACATTAACCCAAATACACTTATCAGATTTGTACACAAATGTGAATAATTTAATTTAGGATGTAATGCATCTTCTGATTGGCTGACAGTGTTTTGTCTATCAGCTTATAGACACAATTTTGTCATATGATCGTGATGTCATCAATGCTTTGTCATGATTTACTCTGGTTTCAAATTGCAATTTAGCATTAAATTATAAGGAATGACTGTAATATTTTTACTGTCTATTCGAAATAACATAAAAAATGTGGTGCACACTTTAAAATAATCCACTACGCGGATTATTTAATGTGCACCACATTTTTTATGTTATTTCTTCATAGACAGAAAATATTACAGTCCTTCCTTAAATGTCGCAAATTAGTTCAGTCAAATATCATTCCATTTAATTGTAAATTGTTAACAGAAACAGATCCTGCCTCCATATTTTCACCTCTTCTTTTAGGGGCAAGGGAAGTAACTCTAAATGAAATTGTCTGTTTTGCACAAGTTAAACTACAACATTATAAACATGTTCTGAAGGATTCAAATCAAATTTGATATTTACAAGCCTCCCATCAATTTTACTTGCTATGAGAGCCCAAAAAAAATTATTCCCATAAAAAAAGATCAGTAACAAGAATATGTTTCAATAAGACACGTGTCTCACTTGAACAATCAGAAAGAAGAAAATGTTTGATGATCCAGGAAATCTGGGTTAAATCTTACATCTGAGGTTTCTTTTGAATTGTTCTACATTTGTCAAGTCTGGGCCTCTTATAACTTTCTATGTGGTATAGTTTTTGCTCATTGTTGAAGGCTGTCCAGTGACCTATAGTTGCTAACCTCAACATAATATTGTTCTTGGTGGAGAGTGGTCTCATACCACAAATTTTTATTTCTATATGATAAAATACAAGTTAAAAGACTGTGAAAGTTTTTGTATTTACACATTTCCAATTATGTAGTAAGGGAAAAGTACTTGTTTTTACAAAGGGAATCCTGAACATCATTTTAACCTTTGCTAACCTCTGAACCATTTGTATTATAACCTTTACTAACCTTTGAACCATTTGCACTATAACCTTTACTAACCTTTGAACCATTTGTACTATAACCTTTACTAACCTTTGAACCATTTGTACTATAACCTTTACTAACCTTTGAACCATTTGTACTATAACCTTTGCTAACCTTTGAACCATTTGTACTGTAACCTTTGAACCGTTTGTACTATTTGTACTATAACCTTTACTAACCTTTGAACCATTTGTACTATAACCTTTACTAACCTTTGAACCATTTGTACTAATGTTTTTGACAGTTGTCTGTTAATGACGTGTAGATTTAGTCCTGGTTTCTCTAAAGACTCGACTGACTCGAAGACATTCCACGCCACTGAGATACACATTCCAGCCTCTAACTGACTCTTGTCACCTGACCTGGCCAGATAATTAAGCATCTGCATTCTGTAAACAATCAAAGAAATTAAACATAAATCCAAATTTAAAAAAAAATTTGTTTCATTTATATGTTTAAGAGTTTAGTATGACATCCATTTATGATGAATTAGTATACATTATTGTTTAGGGGGCCAGCTGAAGCTTGCCTCCAGGAACAGGATTTTCTTGCTATGTTGAAGACCCATTGGTGGCCTCATACATGAGTGTTAAAATTAATTTTCATTTCTATTTCACCAAATTATAAATGCTATAATATTTGTTCGTTTTTTTCCTTTCAAGTTATAGGAATCTGGGGTCATGTCTCTTTGATAACATTATTAGGTATCTAACTCTTCTAATTAAACATTATCTTGGATAATATAAATAGGTATTTTCTCCGGTTATGAAACAACCACCCAATAATTTTAGCCTAGGGTAATCTCCTTTAGATACTATCATGTCACACTAATCAACTGCTGCTTGCTTAAGGATTAAGGCTGCTCATTACCAAATTAACAAGCTTTTTTAAAAGACTGTAAGAAATTCATGGTGTATAAATAACAGAACTAAAAAGGCAGAAAAATGAAAGGTCTGTGTCCTTGTTTGAGAGATATCAGTCATTGGAATTTCAGCCGGAAATGATTCTATCTAGATTTTTTTATATATTTATCTCATTGGCAAAAACTATGAAAAATTTCAAAAATATATAAAATAAAATTCTGAAAAAGAAAAGTAAGGGTTTGTGGTAAATTTTTTGATGGCATCACATGGGAAAACCCAGAGGATCACTAAATATCTGACAAAAAGTCAACAAGAGTGCACACGCTGAAATGTCTCGCCTTCTTTAATAATCATTGATATTATGTTGATAGTCCTAAATATAAAGCTTTACTACAACTATCACATAAACTTAACATGATCCAAGAAAATGAGGTCAAGGTCATATAAACCAAACAAGAAATACACGTACACCTAACAATCATTCAATACACTAAATATAGTTGACCCATTGCTTATAGTTTCTAAGATACAGACTTGACCAAGAAAACTAAACATTGACCAATGAACCATGCAAATGAGGTCAAGGTTAATTGAACCATGCTAGGCAGACATGTACAGCTTGCAATCCTTCCATACAACAAATATAGTTGACCTATTGCTTATAGTATTAGAAAAACAGATCAAAACACAAAAACTTAACTCTGAGCAATGAACCATGAAAATGAGGTCAAGGTCAAATGAAACCTGCAAGACTGACATGTACATCATAAAAAATTTCCACACAACAAATATAGTTGACCTATTGCATATAGTATTAGAAAAAAAGACCAAAACTCAAAAACTCAATTTTGACCACTGAACCATGAAAATGAGGTCAAGGTCAGAAGACACCTGCCAGCTAGACATGTACACCTTACAATCATTCCATACACCAAATATAGTAGACCTATTGCATACAGTATAAGAAAAACAGACCAAAACACAAAAACTTAACTATAACCACTGAACCATGAAAATGAGGTCAAGGTCAGATGACACCTGCCAGTTGGACATGTACACCTTACAGTCCTTCCATACACCGAATATGCTAGACCTATTGCTTCTAGTATCTGAGATATGGACTTGACCACCAAAACTTAACCTTGTTCACTGATCCATGAAACGAGGTCGAGGTCAAGTGAAAACTGTCTGACGGGCATGAAGACCTTGCAAGGTACGCACATACCAAATATACAGTCAAACCTGAGTAAACCGGACCCTGAATAAACCGTTTTCCTGTCCATTCCGGCCGAAAATAAAAGTCCCGTTTTTTTTCCTTCAAAGTCTTTGTTAAAATTTCCTTTGTAAACCGGACCCTGTATATTCCGAATTCCGGTCTAATGATGCAGTCCCAATACTCTTAATTACATCAATTATTACCTGTCAAAACCGGACTGTCTAATTAATTGTAAATGCTAACAATATTGATCGATATGCAATCAAAACATATTTGCTTATACAACATGGCTTTTCAGGATAATCAATTAGCCAGGTGTTAAACCGTGAACTTTCAATGGTACAACAGTGAGCTATATTATAATAAAATGCTCCGCAGGGCGCAGCTTGATACGACCGCAGAGGTCGAACCCTGAACAGTTGGGGCAAGTATGGACACAACATTCAAGTTTGATACAGCTTTGCATTTGGATTGTGATTAAATATTTGACACAGCATAGGTTTCTGACACAGAATGAATGTGGTCTAAGAACTTAAAAATTTGAAATTGGACATTCACCTATTATGGTCCAATATCCAAAATCTAAATACATGGTTAGATTCAGCATATCAAAGAACCCCAAGAATTCAATTTTTGATGAAATCAAACAAAGTTTAATTTAGGACCCTTTTGACCTCAATGCGGACAAAGTTGATAACGGGGCCCAAAAATCAAAAATCTAAATACATGGTTAGATTCAGCATATCAAAGAACCCCATATATTCAATTTTTGTTGAAATCAAACAAAGTTTAATTTTGGACCCCGATTTGGACCAACTTGAAAACTGGGCCCATAATCAAAAATCTAAATACATGTTTAGATTCAGCATATCAAAGAACCCTAAGAATTCAATTTTTGTTAAAATCAAACTAAGTTTAATTTTGGACCCTTTGGACCTTAATGTAGACCAATTTGAAACGGAAGCAAAAATTAAGAATCTAAATACACGGTTAGATTCGGCATATCAAAGAACCCCAATAATTCAATTTTTGATGAAATCAAACAAAGTTTAATTTTGGACCCTTTGGACCTCAATGTGGACCAATTTAAAAACGGGCCCCAAAATCCAAAAACTAAATACACCGTTAGATTCAGCATATTAAAGAACCCCAAGAATTCAAGAATTAAACCCCATTGAAATTGGTCAAGAAATAAGCAATTTATACGAAGTATCTTCTTTTGCACAATATTGTGCAATTAAATATTTCTTGCTATTGCGCAATACTGTACAATTGACAATTTCTTGCTATTGTGCAATATTGTGCTATTGGATATTTCATGCTATTGCGCAATACTGTGCAATTGAAGATTTCTTGCTATTGCGCAATACTGTGCAATTGAAGATTTCTTGCTATTGTGCAATACTGTGCAATTGAAAATTTCTTGCTATTGCACAATACTTATTATATAATAATTTACACATCCTGTTTGGTGTGTATCTCCTTCCATATCATTATTATTTGCTTTTAAATATAAATCAGAAATAACCAACTTAAAATGGAAAATTTTAAAAGAAAAAAAAAAAGGAAAAAAAGAAAAAAAAAGAAAAAACAAAAAAAAACAAACAAATTTTTTTGAACCCCCTTATGATTCATCACCCCAAACTCAATCCCAGCCTTCCCTTTGTGGTATGGTACCTTGCAGTACAATTTCAGAGAGATCCATACACTTACACACAAGTTATTGTCCTGAAACTAGAAAAATGCTTGTTTTTTGCCCCTTTTTGGCCCCTAATTCCTAAAATATTGAGGCAATTACCCCCATCATCAATCCCAGCCTTCCCTTTGTGGTATGGTACCTTGCAGTACAATTTCAGAGAGATCAATACACTTGAACACAAGTTATTGTCTGGAAACTAGAAAAATGCTTATTTTTGGCCCCTTTTTGGCCCCCAATTCCTAAACGTTTCGGCAATTACCCCCAAACTCAATTCCAGCTTTCCCTTCGTGATATGGAACCTTGTAGTACAATTTCAGAAAGATCCATACACTTACACACAAGTTATTGTCATGAAACTAGAAAATGCTTGTTTTTTGCCCCTTTTTTGGCCCCTAATTCCTTAAATTTTGAGGCAATTACCCCCAAAAATCAATCCAAGCATTCCTTTTGTGGTATGGAACCTTGTGGTACAATGTCAGAGAGATCCATACACTAACACACAAGTTATGTCTGGAAGTTACAAAAATGCTTATTTTTGGTCCCTTTTTGGCCCCTAATTCCTTTACTGTTGGTACCATAACCCCCAAAATCAATCCCAACCTTCCTTTTGTGGTATTGAACCTTGTGGTAAAATTTCATATAGATCCATTCACTTAAACTAAAGTTAGAGTGCGAAAACTAATGTGTCTTCGGACGACGACAACGACGACGACGACGCCAACGTCATACCAATATACGACCACAAAATTTTTTTTGCTGTCGTATAAAAACACTATTCAAGTGTAAATTAAACTAAAAGAATCGTGTTTTCGAAATCCTGTTGTGAACCCCTTTAAACAATGACCCTGATAATGATTATAACACCCGGACGACAACAATCAATCAATGAGTATCGTAAGCTGTACGACAATTTGTGGATCATGATGAATTTTCGTTTTATAAAATTCTGCCTTTTTTATACGCTATACCAACGTCGGAAATGAAAAATGGAAGTAAAACGAAGCTCTCGTGTCACGTTTCAAACAACCCGAGGATAAACAATGAACAGAAAGTGAAACTGACAAATCAGAGACTGATGCTACGGAGGTCTATTTGACATACAAGGATATGTTAAACTAGAGGCTCTAAAGAGCCTGTGTCGCTCACCTTGGTCTATGTGCATATTAAACAAAGGACACAGATGGATTCATGACAAAATTGTGTTTTGGTGATGGTGATGTGTTTGTAGATCTTACTTTACTGAACATTCTTGCTCCTTACTATTATCTCTATCTATAATGAACTTGGCCCAGTAGTTACCATGGAAAATATTTTGTAAAAATTTACAAAAATTTACAAAATTTATGAAAATTGTAAAAAATTGACTATAAAGGGCAATAACTCCTTAAGGGGTCAATTGACAATTTTGGTAATGTTGACTTATTTGTAGATCTTACTTTGCTGTACATTATTGCTGTTTACAGTTTATCTCTATCTATAAAAATATTCAAGATAATAACCAAAAGCTGCAAAATTTTCTTAAAATTACCAATTCAGGGGCAGCAACCCAACAACGTGTTGCCCTTATTGGTCTGAAAATTTCATGGCAGATAGATCTTGACCTAATGAACAATTTTTTTTCTCGTCAGATTTGCTCTAAATGCTTTGGTTTCAGAGATATGAGCCAAAAGCTGCATTTTACCTATGTACTATTTTTTAGCCATGTCGGCCATCTTGGTTCGCGGGCAGGGTCATCGGACACATTTTTTAAACTAGATACCCTAATGATGATTGTGGACAAGTTTGGTTAAATTTGTCTTAGTAGTTTCAGAGGAGAAGATTTTTGTAAAAGATTACAAAAATTTACGAAAAATGGTTAAAAATTGACTATAAAGGGCAATAACTCCTTAAGGGGTCAACTGACGATTTTGGTCAAGTGACTTATTTGTAGATCTTACTTTGCTGAACATTATTGCTGTTTACAGTTTATCTTTATCTATAATAATATTCAAGATAATAACCAAAAACGGCAAAATTTCCTTAAAATTACCAATTCAGGGGCAGCAACCCAACAACGGGTTGTCCCATTCATCTGAAAATTTCAGTGCAGATAGACCTTGACCTGATTAACAATTTTACTCCTGTCAGATTTGCTCTAAATGCTTTGGTTTCAGAGATATAAGCCAAAATCTACATTTTACCCCTATGTTCTATTTTTAGCCATGGCGGCCATCTTGGTTGGTTGGCAAGGTCACCAGACACATTTTTCAAACTAGATACCCCAATAATGATTGAGGCCAAGTTTGGTTTAATTTGGCCCAGTAGTTTCAGAGGATAAGATTTTTGTAAAAGTTAACGACGACGGACGACAAGTGATGAGAAAAGCTCACTTGGCCCTGTGGGCCAGGTGAGCTAAAAAGGTTAAAATATTTATTTTTTTGAATTCGAGGAACAACCAATTACTTAATTTTTTATAGCCAATGAATAAGAAGATTTAAAACAACGATCATGCGAAGTTATTACGTTTTTACGTTTTGTATTTATCAGTTTATAATTTACAATCAGATAGAACATTTACATACAATATATCGGACGTCACAATTTATTAACTTCCTATCAAAACGGAAACCTGATTAAACCGGCCCACTGTCCAAACCGGCCCTTTTTCTTAGTCCCGTAGCCGGCCGGTTTATACAGGTTTTACTGTAGTTATCCTATTACTCATAATAAGAGAGAAATTAACATTACAAAAAATCAAAACTTTTTTTTTCAAGTAGTCACTGAACCATGAAAATGAGGTCAAGGACAATGGACATGTGACAGATGGAAACTTCGTAACATAAGGCATCTATATACAAAGTATGAAGCATCCAGGTCTTCTAGCTTCTAAAATATAAAGCTTTTAAGAATTTAGCTAACGCCGCTGCCGCCGCCATTGCCGCATCACTATCCCTATGTCAAGCTTTCTGCGACAAAAGTCGCAGGCTCGACAAAAACCAGTGAACATCCTTAACTTCAAGAGACATTTATTTCATGCACATATGTTCAGATGAGATAATGTAACAAAGTTATTTATGTAAATTAAATGTTGTGTTATAGTTGTTTGAACTTTTGTCCTTTTTTATTTTAGGCCATGATGTTGTCTGTTTTTATTGGACTTATGGTTTTTAAATTCCCCCTTGGTATCTGTCTTTCCCTCTACGAATGAAACAGCTAACACCAATATTTTGGGTTATAGATTATTAGGTTTTCTAATATGACGTCCTTATAACGCTTTGTAAACAAAGTCATGTTCTAATCAGCACAAAATATGTTTGACACATGCGCACAAATTTACTGTTTATATTCTCGTTATTTTCATTGTTATCCTAATAAAATATATATATTTTAGCAGCTTATATAAACTTTTATTATATATTGTTTATCAAACAACATTTATTCACCCTGCTTTTAGTTTTTAAACTTATTAAATATCAAAATGTAATGTACAGACTCCACGAGGAAACGGGAACAGCCAAACATTTTGAAGGTATTTTCGTATGCTTCGGCCTATAAAAATACTGTGTTTGTCCTCTTAACACTCAGTGTAAAATATTGACAAATATAATGCCTACCCATGTTAAAATGAGCATAGAGCATGACATCAATTATTTCTTAAATTTACCCTGTCAATGATGTACCTAACACAAGCCTGGGGTAGTTTTCCCTTTGAAAATGTTCTTAGGAAAATTAAGCTTACCCTCCTAATGAAACACCAACACCAATAATTGGAGCCTGAGGTAATCTCCCCTTAATTATACTGACTACATGTGCTAAATCTTCTGTGTTGGCTGCACAATATGTTCTTGGAGTCTGAAAATATATACACATATAGTTAACACAATCAATCAGTATCATTTTAAAAAATCTAAAATCCATTTTTTTTATTTCTTTTCTCCTTACCATGCATGCTTACTATCAAAAGAGAAAGAATCTTCTGCATGTTTAAATATGTAAAAATGTTAATATCTTCATTTCATTATTATTTTATTTTATATTACAATTGACCTAAAATAGTTTTAAATACTATTTTAGAACTGATTTTATTGAGCATTCTTTTCAGTACCATCTTATAATTCTACTGATCAAGAAAAAAAAGGGAAGAGTCGAGTAATCAGTCACACACACACATACACACACAATCAGTTATAATTTTTTTTAAAGCTAAGCATGGTTTTCAATGGATAAACTAATTAAGGGGAGATAATTTACCTTACCAATTCTAGATTAAGTGGAGATAATTTATCTGACCAATTTTTGTTTATTTAAACAATTGATAATCTTTTAAAATAAGTTTTTAATCAAATACAGATATTTTACACTAGTAATTTTTGGGGCCCTTTATAGCTTGCTGTTCGGTGTGAGCCAAGGCTCCGTGTTGAAGTTGAAGACCATACCTTGACCTATATTGAATGGTTTACATTTATATATTGTGACTTGGATGGAGAGTTGTCTTGTTGGCACTCGTACCACATCTTCTTATATTTATTGAGCTGTTGTAAACAATTGCTAATCCTGATGATCTGCTTGGTCCACCTTTCAAAAAATTCTCAAGACTAAAATTGATTATTAGTATACTGAATTGGTCATGACTTACATAAATTTTTGCCATAAGTTTTTTTGTAAAACGAAAGGTCTGTAAATTATTTGATCTCTTTTTATTTAAATCATTAAAAGGCAATTTTAATGTTGACCTAATTAAGACTTGTATGGTTTTGTTTATAATAATTTGTAAGAGTATATTGCTGTAAAACATTAATGCATTTGAACCAACTGCTTCACTGGTTTAATATCCATAAAACACACTTTATCTGTAGTTCATATATATATATACTACAAAGTACTACAAGGGAAGTTTGTGGTCAGGTTGAATCCTGCATGAACCCTGAAAATCATAATTAACATACGTAGAAACAATCAAACCACAAAAATTCAACCTTGACCTTCTATATAAAGGGTTTAAAAGATTTTCAATTTATCATTCAAATCAGACGAAGCATTGAGGGATAAATATAATTTTCTGAAATGAAGATTTCACTATTTATAATTTTTGGATGTATTATAATACAATCCTATGGAAATATTGGTGGCAATAAAGTACCTGCTCCGTTACTGGACAATCAAAATGCTCCATTAGTGGCAATGGTTGACATGTCAAATGCCGATAAACACGTCAAACAGTATGTCAACGACGCTATTGAAACTAAAATGTCACAGTTAGTGACAACAAAACTAGGAGAGGCTCTGGAATCACTTAAACTTGAAGAGAAACTTAAACGTTACGTTGGCCAAGTAAAACAGAACTTAACGTTAAATGTCACAGATGATATAAAAAGAATAGTGGAGGAGAGAATCGCAGCAAAAGGTAAGTAAGACCCTAAAGTCGAATAAATTCGAACAAAAACAAAATCATTATTTTCTTAGATTAGCAATCAAAATTTTTCACCATTTCCAAATAATTTTGCAACTTTTAATTAAAATTTTATCAGTTGCTTTCACTGTTGATACACCTTTAATTAATGAGATGTGTTGGAACAACACAAATTGCCCGCTTGCAAAAAAGCTTGAAGAAATTTTTTGTAGCGGTAATTTGAGAATGAAAGTCTGTAATAAAAAACGATTTCTACTTATTGTTTTTAATGCCAATAAATTTTCAGATTATGGGTGTTTAACTCTGAAATAATACTGTGATATATTACATCTATAGATATTATAGGACAGGGTTGAAAACGTAGGTATTATCATTTTTTATTTAAATAAAAGGAAATGTGTGGTGTATGTCAATGAGACAGTACAACCCATTGACCCAAATAAACAAAAGACAATTAGAGTTAAGAGGTCAACGTTGTTTAATTGTTGTCTCATGCACATCTCTTCCTATACAAATATACAAGTAATATTTATTTTATCATGTATTTATCTATCATTTACTCTCAATATACTTGTTTTATTTTCCAGCACCTAAAATTATACCAGCTTTTACTGCAATTCTAACGAAGACATTCAAACCCGGACCAAATGACGTTATAAAGTTTGATTCCGTGAGAACTAACATAGGAGGAGTCTACTCAGCAGCCACTGGGGTATTTACCGTGCCACAGGCTGGACTTTACATGATATCAGCCACAATAAGATCATGGGGAGGACAGAATATACACTGCCAATTAGCTGTTAATAATCAATTCTATGCACCTATATTTGGTGCAAACTGGTCTGAAGGCGCTATCAGTATTGCCATCCAGTTGACAAAAGGGGACAAAGTTTGTGTCAGGAATGATAATAGCGATGGGTCAGAAACAGTAACAGGAGACACGTGGTCTATGTTTTCAGGATTTCTAATTCAGTAAAATTTGTAAGGGTTCCGTGGAACCCAATGTCTCACCTACTTGATGAATCTTATAAATATTTTAAGAACTTTCACTGCAGACTATATATAATGTTAACTGGAAGAAAAGCTAATAGATATAAGAAGATGTGGTATGAGTGCCAATGAGACAACTCTCCATCCAAGTTAAATTTTATAAAAGTAAACCATTATAGGTCACAGTACGGTCTTCAACACGGAGCCTTGGCTCACACCGAACAGTAAGCTATAAAGGGCCCCAAAAATTACTAGTGTAAAACCATTCAAACGGGAAAAACCAACGATCTAATCTATATAGAAACACTTATGAACCACATCAACAAACGACAACTACTGAACATCAGATTCCTGACTTAGGACAGGTGCAAACAAATGCAGCGGGTTTACACGTTTTAATGGTACCAAACCTTCACCCTTTTTCTGAAACAATAGTGTTACATCACAACATAGAAAGACACACTATAAAATATCAACTGAAATAGCTTAACTCAATCAAAGGACATATTAACACCATAAGTCCATATATAAGTAATATACGGGAAAACAGTAAATATATTTTTACAAAATTTCCTTCTAGATACTAGCTTTTGATCATAAACAAGCTTCTGTCCAAGTTTGGTAGATAGTTTAAGAAAGTTATTAAAATTTCAAAAACTTTAACCACAGAGTAAATATTTGTGGACGCGGCCGCAGCAGACGGAATGTAGGATTGCTATGTCTCGCTTTTGCAACAAAAGTTGCAGGCTCGACAAAAAGGACACATTTAATAACACTTATAATAATCAGATTGAAGATGTGGTTGACCATATACATGTATAATATATATATAAGGTAAAAAAAAGAGCAGCTAAATCTTCGCTGTGTTTGTTGTCTGTGCTTGTCATGCTTAATGGCCTTGTACATTACATTTAAATTGACAGTGAAATGTTTAGATAGGGGAAGTTTTGTTATGAAAAACCTTCTACAAAGTAAAAATTCACAAGCAAAAATTGCCCATTGTCAAGTTGGAATTGTTTAACACTAGTCATTTGGGGCCCTTTAAAGCTTGCTTTTTGGTGTGAGCCAAGGCTCCGTGTTGAAGGCTGTACTTTGACCTATAATTGTCAACTTTTTATACATGGTGACTTGGAAAGAGAGTTGTCTCTTTGTCTGAATTTATTCAGGTATACATCAATGAGACCGGAAACATCTTCTAAAAGGTTCAATACATTTCATCATTGTAACAATATTCATTTACCTTTAGCTTTGCCCCTCCATTTCCTCTCTGATTAAACACAACAGATCTATAAATAGAAATTAGTGATTAAACACAACAGATCTATAAACAGTAATTAGTGAATTACAGTTTGTAAATCAATCTTGGGTTTCATCAACCAATAAAAGAGAGTGATGGAATTACAGAAAGATATAGAAATTACATGAAACTAGTCTTCCTAATTTACAAGGAAGTCTAGATACACTTAATTGGTTTGTGCAGGCTATGCGACTTGGTATCAAACATTGTTGTTTAACAACTAACAATTATATCCATGCTGTGCTGCTTCAGATACAAGATTGAGGATGGAGTTACTTTCCCCCTGACTCATAATGATATGTCCCCTTAGAATCTAACAATTACCTGTATCCATGCTGTGCTGCTTCAGATACAAGATGAAGAATATAACTACAACTACTGTCACCTGCAATAATCAATAATATAAAATGGATAACAGGAAGTAGCAGATAAACTGTAAAAAACAACAGATCAATGTACATTTACATGCTGACTTTCAATATGTGAATCCTCTGAAAAAAATATACTTAAAAGATAACTGTATTGTATTCTAAGCTCTGACGGCATCAATTGGTGATTTGATGGTCGCAAATTAAGTTTACTGGCGATGCGTTCGTGGAGCCAGTTAACAGGTATTTGTGACCATCAAATCACCAATTGATGCCATCAGAGCTTAAATGCAATATCTCCATTCAAATGAAACTGTTAGAAAACAACTTTAAAACATACATTTAAACTTTTGAACTGAGTTTTACTGTGCGTATTGTTGTGTTTGTTTTTTCTTCATTGGCTAGAGGTATAGGGGGAGGGTTGAGATCTCAAAAAACATGTTTAACCCCGCCACATTTTTGCGCCTGTCCGAAGTCAGGAGCCTCTGGCCTTTGTTAGTCTTGTATGATTTTTAATTTTAGTTTCTTGTGTATATTTCGGAGTTTAGTATGACGTCCATTATCACTGAACTAGTACACATTTTTGTTTAGGGGCCAGCTGAAGCACACCTCTGGGTGCGGGAGTTTCTCGCTGCATTGAAGACCCATTGGTGGCCTTCGGCTGTTGTCTGCTCTTTGGTCGGGTTGTTGTCTCTTTGACACATTTCCATTCTCAATTTTATTTAAAATCTGTATATGATATGTTGTCTGACCTTTCACATACATTTTCATAGCATCGATTGTGAATTGATGCCATGAAAAATGGTGATGTTATCCAATCAAAATGTGGATTCATTTCTTTTCATGGGTACTAATTTTCATGGATCAAGGTAAACTTGAGTTTTTTTGTGGATATTTGATTTCATGCTTTTGCCAAGGTCTGCATTCAACCTTTAGTAAAAATTTGTAATTCCTTGAACATTTCAATTTGTGGTTCATATGTTCAAATTCACAAAAATTAGTGTCTAATGAATTATAATGAATTCACAGTACATATATACAAACAAAGTCAACACACAAGGTGATTCGGTAATAAATAACTCTTGATGGTCAAACAATGTGATCAATTGTTGACAATGTTAAGTTGATTGTGCTCTATATACATGATATAGATTTCTCCTAATGCACATTATGTATATCTACATAACGAAAAATAGAAATAGTTCAAGTGAACTATAAATCAGACCATTAGTTTTCTCATTTGAATGGTTTTACATTTGTCTTTTAAGGGGCCTTCTATAGTTGACTATGTGGTATAAGTTTTGCTTATTGTTGAAGGCTGTACAGTACCCTATTGATGTTAACTTCTATACCATTTGGTCTTTTGTGTTGAGTCGTCTCATTGGGAATCATAACATATCTTCTTATTTTTTTTAAAACTGCCATAATTTTCAATGAAATATATCCTGTTTCACGGGTATAAGATGAACAAGGTGAACCATAAATTTAAGTGTTCAAGGAAAGGAATGCAGAATTTATCAAAACCACAAAATTGAGTATCAAGAAAAATACAATTTTTCATCAATTCTCAAAATATCCACTAAAACATGCAGTTATTCCATTTGTGATTTTTTTTAATGAAATACTATTGATCCTTTGCAAATAAATGAGTAAAACATGTGAATTTTTTTTTTAATGTTAACTTTTGTTTGATATTGTACTTGATCTTGTACATGGTTGACATGCAATGTTGTGATAATAAACATATTTTAAACTTATATTGTCTACAAAATTGTTTCTCAAAATGTTTTGTATAATGTTGATGCAACTAAATATTTTTTACACATTCAAAATGAGAAGAAAAAACTTCATTTATTTTGTGGGTACCAATTTTCGTGGAATATGAAAAAATTGCATTTGTGTGGATATTTGATTTTGAGGTTTTACAAAATCCTGCATAAAAGCCAATAGAAAATTTGTAAGTTGTTGACATTTAAATTCATGGTTCACCTGTAGAAACAAAATTCACCAAAAACTGGTATTCCACGATATAATAATTAATCCACAGTATAAAAAATGTACTGTAAATTGATTGATTGATTGATTGTTGGTGTTTTAACGCCACTTTTAAGCGCCACATTTGGGCTATTTCCTGACGGCCAGTTTTTATTGGTGGAGGAAGCTGGAGTGCCGGAGAAAACCACTGACCTTCGATAGGAAAACTGACAATCCTAGTCAATTAAGATTGGAGTCGAGTGCACCTGCACGAGCAGCGTTCGAACTCACAACCTCAGTGTTGACTGGCTAGTGATTTCAGTAGTAACTACTTAGACCACTCGGCCACCGAGGCCCCTGTACTGTAAAAATCATAACTTTAAATAAGAGATGCAATAACATATTAATCTTGTTGATGATTTCTAAATCAAACACATGACAAACTTTATTATCCTAATTTAGAGTAATTTGATTGGCTGATATTGTCCTAATAAATTTCAGTGCAATTTTTTATTAAGTCAGTTCGAATTATCTCCCTTATACCATTGACTTAATAAAAAAAAAGTATCTAATATTTTTCATTTTTCACAGTTTTAGATTAAATATGTAAATATATTTGGTTGATATTGTCCTAATAATTAATGTTTTAAATACTATTTTAATACTATTTAACACAAAAACAATAAATAAGTGGTGTGATAACAAAATCAAGATAAATTCGTTACACAGTGCAGTGAAAAAGCCAAACCGGATATGAATTTTATTGACCCGATAAATTCCGTATTAGGACAATTGCACACTGTGTAACTAATAACATTACAATAATGAAAAGTTATAATATCCTCACCAGTTAAACCAGGAAGCAGTAATATAGTTGGTCTGGTTTCTTTGTCAGGGAAGATAGGATTTTCATTCTCATACCAGTCTAAAATAATTTGGCCTCCATCTGATAACGTTATTATTTCTCTGGAAGAATAAAAACACATAATTTTATTATTATTATTTTTGCAAAGAATTCCGATCATGCCAGTGCTAGGGGCCGTCTTAAACTTGCAGTGAGGAGAGAGGTTTTCATTTTTTGCTTGCTTTGTATTGAAGGCCTCACTGTTGTCTATGAGATGAAGAACAGCAATAACAGCGCTGTTCATTTGCTTTATGTGTGTTTTTCGCTGTGCTTATACTGATTTTGTGTCATGGATGGATACCCCATATTTTTTTTATTATGAAATGATGATTTATAATAAGATTATCTCTATGGTTTTCCAAAAGGTTCTGGGTTACTAACTAATTGAGATCTAGTTTGAGAAACCATAAGTCAATGTAAGTTATAGATAATCTGTTCAAGGGTTCAAATTTGTTATAAATAATGATAGGTCCAGGACTATCTGAATATTCAAGTGAAATGACCTCCTCAACATGCTCAAGGAAGTCAACAGTCCGGCCAGCCGGTATGATTTTCAGGAACAATGATTGCACAATTGTCCAACTACAAAAGCAACAATCCTTATTACATTAGTTCAGATGTACTACTGACAGAACATAAATAATAGATGTCTCTCCAGTAATTAGTTTCTGTGTACATGATGTATCCTACCCTATGGAATATAGACATGTCATTTATAAGTGGTATTATATGGTCATGTTATTGGAAATGTTCGTCAAAAATAACACCTTGACAATTATCCATTGTATTATTGGAATCATTTTCAGTGTTTAGGAACTATACAGGCTTAACATTTACTAAAAAGACTAAACTTACTTAACGATTTTTTGTTAAGTCGTGATGATAGTATTGGTAAAATAAAAATTATGAAATGGATGTACATCTGACAATTGTTTGATGTAATACAACAGGCCCAATAACACAGTTATTTCGTAGTGCATTTCTTTTAGACAATAAATGAAAATTTAAAAAATCCCACCTGCACTTTCTCAATTATATTTTTACAGTGTGGTCCCGGTGTACTACTTTTGGGACAAATTATATCAAAATTATAGAACACTTCATCAGCTCTAACTAAAAATATGGACAATTTTATGATAAGGGGGTCTGTAATTCTATTGACAGCTTCAGACATACTAATTTTTAACCTTTTCCAGCTGGACCAAATCACTACTTTATTTTAAAATTCATGGCCCAATTTTTTTACAGTGTAATTTCATCCCCCTACTTGCTATTTGAGGCATAAAACATGAAGAAATAAATTTGGAAGGGGTATGAAAAAAATTCCAACTAATACACTGTTCACAGTACTGAGTAGGGACAGAAAATCAAAGGACGATAACTGTGTTCCTGGGCCAACAAGGAAACAAGAATTCTTCAGTGTAGCCAATGTCCTGCACTGATAAACTAGAAATTCATTAAAATCAATTGAGAAATTTATACAGGTGCAAGAGCACTTTAAAACAATAATAGTTCTCCATATCATTGACATTTCCAAGAGGAATAATTCCCCCAAAAATATCTATTATGGCCATGGTTTACAAATATATGCAAGATATTAATCGTGTTCTGAGCTCTGACAAAAATTTCAATAAACTCTAACTGAGAACTTTCAGTATGATTTGATTTGATTTTTGGTGTTTAACTCCTTTTTTAAGCACCGCTTTTGGGCTATTTCGTTGCGACCAGTTTTTATTGGTGGAGGAAGCCGGAGTGCCCGGAGAAAACCACGACCTTCGATAGGAAAACTGACAATCCTAGTCAATTAAGATTGGAGTCGAGTGCACCCGCATGAGCGGGGTTCGAACTCACAACCTCAGTGTTGACTGGCTAATGATAACAGTAGTAACTACTTAGACCACTCGGCCACTGAGGCCCCAACTTTCAGCTTACAATGTCAGACGTATTATGTTGTACATCAGCATTATCCTCTTATTAATATTATGGTGTTTTGTGCTATTTAGAATGCATTGTGAAGTCACAATTTCCATTGAAAAAGCATGCATAGTACGAATTCATATGACGTACAAAAACATATGATCTGACAATAATTATTTCACAGTAAGGGGAACGAATTGCTTTTTATTTATCATAGACCCTTAGCCAGGATATCATTGAGAGGGGTCAAACTTCAATCCAAATCTTGATCTTATTAGTAGTTTTTTTTTGCCTTAATAGGGGAGATGGAATGATTGAATTTGATCCTCTTATTATTATAACACACATTTTAAAAAGCAGATGTATACATCAATGATACAGCAACCCAGTGACGCAAATAATCAAAAGAAATAAGTATAAAAACCTTTACTTTACTGGTGATATTGTCTTCTTACTATATGATGACATTCAACAGGGTCAACTTTTGTCATTCTGACTTCTCAGTCAATAAACTGTTGACACAGAGATATGTCTCGCCTTTTTGTAATTTTGATAGTATTTATAATGCAAATATTGAATCCAAATAAGTGAACTATGCAAAACATTCAAAATCAATGAACATGACTTAAGGTGCAGGACCAAATAACCTCCATGGAAATGAGAAATGTCAATGCTTATAAAACTGCATATCAAATACTATTGACTTCTCATAGCTATATAAAAAAAGAAGATGTGGTATGATTGTCAATGAGACATCTCTCCACCAGAGATCAATTGACATAGAAGCTTACAACTACAGGTCACTGTACGGCCTTCAACAATGGGCAAAACCCATACCCATTCCACTTACCTAAAACTTGTAAGCAATGGAAAAGTTTCCAAGTCAATGAACCATAATTAGGGGGGTAACAAGACATTCCGGCACCCAGACAAATCGGCACCCAAGTCCGAAGACATTTCGGCATCCATTTTGGACAATTCGGGATCCGGACATTTCGGGACCAAGACAATTCGGCACCTCATTTTTTTTAAATATATATATTAGGAAAAATAAAAGAATTGTTACCGTAATATTATAATCCGTTGATAAAATATGCAATAACAAAATTTGAAATCATCATTTAATTAAATCCTAAATGATTGTGTATGAATAGTAAAACATCATTTAATTAAATCATAATTGATTGTTAGATATGACGGTGTTTTTGAATAAACATCATTTAATTAATCAGTATTTTATGTATAAATCTGATAATTTCTCAATAGAGACAAATGAGAGATAAAAAGTGTATAGCTTGTGTTTCAGCTTGTGTTCTCGTTTGATCCTTACATCTGTAAAGACAACACAATACCTGAAAACTATATTTTATTGTTTTAATATTAAAACCCATAAACATAAAAGCGCGTGCAAGCCATAATGAGTAAAAACGTCTTTTAGCGCAAATACATGTATGTCCTAAATAAAATCAATAACGTTTACGGAAATTCTATGATGGGAAAAAATAAGAGCGTGTGAAGACCGATTTGTTTATGACTTCAGTTAGAAACTACTGCAATCTCCGTTATGTAATAGAGGCCGTTTTAAATAAAAGTTGCGGAAATTTAAAAAAAATGTTGCCTTCCAAAATACAACTGATGGCACCATGAAAGAGTGAATTGCTACATTCTCCCTACACAAGGTATCTGATTTAATATCTACAATTAACTGAGCATGGCTGCTTACATTTACATTGTTGAAGGCCGTACGGTTGCCTATAATTGCTTACATCCACTTTATTTGAACTTTGGTGGATAGTTGTCTCATTGGCAATCATACCTCATCTCCTTATTTTTATAAGGATAAAAATGATAAGCATGTTAAGATTTATCTGCCACGTAATTTTTCAAACCAATTGGACAACCCTATTTGCAGTTATTGCATCTGGAATTATAAATTTTACGAAATATCTGGTTTTTTTTTTGTTTTTTGTTTTTTTTATTATTATTATCTCAAATGCTGATAAAGAAAAATTTTGAACAGCAAAAATGGCCAGCAAGTTGAGATCTACAACTAAGTTAACTAAGTTAACTGACCGAAATTGTAAATTTATCCCTTATAGGAGTTATTGGCTTGAAACGCATTTTTTTTTAAATTAAATTTTCAAGTTTTTTTAAAGAAAGTATTATAGATGAAGGGAAACTTTAAGTGACAAAAATGTTCAACAAAATTAGATCTACGAATAAGTTGACTATCCAAATGACTAAGCTGCAATACAGTCTTCACAAATAAAATAAAAACAAAAAGAATAAGATACTTCTTCGAAGATACCATATACAATATTGACAATAATGTCATAAATAGTGCAGGAATTAAATTGGTAATTTGTAAAAACAGTCAAACATAATCGCTATATTAACACTAAACTTGTAAATTGAGTTCATACCCACATACATATATCAGTGCCAGGTAACTTAAATGTTTGGTTCACTATATTTTGATCAAGGTTTATCTTTATAAGGTTCCGATTTGTCTATGTTAGATGCCGATTTGTCTAGGTGCCGATTTGTCTGGGTGCCGAAGTGTCTTTCTCGGGTGCCGATTTGTCCGATTTGTCCGGATGCCGATTTGGTGGGGACCATATAATCTCCAGGGAAAAGAGACTTGCAAATGCTACTAATACAACTGCATACCAACTATCATTGGCTTGACATTAGAGGTTTATCTTAAACTGATCTAACCAACAAGCTTTAATGTGTAGTCTATGCAAAAATTTCAAAGTCAAAAGTGAAAGACCAGGATTGAGGAAGCAGAGTTAAATAATCTCCAAGGAAATGAGATGTGCCAATACTACATACCAAATATCATTGACCTACCAAAATTGGTTCCTCTTACACTTACCTTAAATCACAAACTAATAAAAAATGTACATGTAAAGTAAGCAAATGTTTCAGAATCAATAGACCATGACTGAGGGGCACCACAATGCTAATACAACAGCATACCAAATACCATTGAACTAGCACTAGTGGTTCTCCATAAACTTACCTAATCACAAACTAATACAGTGTTGACACAACTGCCACCTCAACCATCAGAAACTCCGTCAAGGCGAGACAAAAAAAGAACATCTACAAAATTTGAAGCCAAAAATTGAACTTCAACCAATGCAGAGATTAGAACAAGTGATTTTAATAAGCATATAGATATAAGAAAATGTGGTATGAGTGCAAATGAGACAACTCTCCATCCAAGTCACAATTTGTAAAAGTAAACCATTATTGGTCAAAGTACGGCCTTCAACACGGAGCCTTGGCTCACACCGAACAGCAAGCTATAAAGGGCCCGAAAAATGACTAGAGTAAAACCATTCAAACAGGAAAACCAACAGTCTAATCTATAAAAAAAACGAGAAACACTTATGAACCACATCAACAAACGACAACCACTGAACATCAGGTTCCTGACTTAGAACAGGTGCAAACAAATGCAGCGGGTTTAAATGTTTTAATAGGCGCCAACCTTCACCCTACCTGAAACAATATCCCAGAAACAATAAACAGCTGGTATGGATTGATTTAAATATAAACATTAGAAATAAGGGAATCTGTTTTAAGATCAATTTCATTGTTATTCCAGCTCAATTACCATCCTTTTGTCAAATATCTGATAATATATATATATGGCAGTTGACTTGGACCAAATTTAAGTTGTTGATTGTGGGTGGGGTTCATTAAGTTGCATTCATAGGTTAAAAGAATTGATTTTGCTAAGAGGTTTCATCTAATGGACATTCAAAGGTTATTATACAAGTGGGAAGTTTACTACCATAAGCTGATAAAACCTGGTTTAACTTACTATTCGAGTGTACAAATAACTGTAATTTTGTTGTTTGAGCTTACCCCGGTATATGTCATGTTTGTCAAACTCGATGTTCCAAGAAACATGATTTTACTTTCTTTGTTTAAAATGTGATTTGCCATTGATTTCTAAGTAAACTATGCAGTATGGGTTTTACTCATTGTTGAAGGCCGTACAGTGACCTTTAGTTGTTAATTACTGTGTCATCTGGTCACTTGTGGAGAGTTGTCTCATTGGCGATCATACCACATCTTCTTATTTTTATATATATGCCAACAATACAGTCAATCATCGTTCAACGAGGATTATCTTTCATAAAGTTTTTAAACTTTTTGGCTTGTAGTTTGAAAATTGGCCTATCAAAATCAGATATTTAATATCCACTCTGAACCAAATGAGAAAGTTTGTAAAGAACCTTCAATAAATCATTCCTGCCAAGTTTTGTAAATTAATGGTTTTAGTGGAGAAGATAAAATTGTGTAACGTTTACAGAAAACAATAATGGATGTGAAGTCACAGATCATGGCAAAGAGAGCTAAAAAGAGGAGAAAATACAGAGGGGGAGGGGGAGGGGGGCAACAAAAACCACAAGTTAAAGAAAAACAGACAAAACCACAAACATAAAAACAAGTCCCCAAAACACTAAGTACATAAAAACTCAAGATAAGACTAAACGGTGGATTACTGTAAATTCAGAAATTATTGCGATTTTTGACGAATGGACAAAAATGCGAGATTACAATGGATTAATTATTGCGATTTCAGGAAAATATGCGTGCTGATATATGTATCAGATATCAGATGAGTGCTGATATATGTATCAGATATCAGATGCGTGCTGATATATGTATCAGATATCAGATGCGTGCTGATATATGTATCAGATATCAGATGCGTGCTGATATATGTATCAGATATCAGATGTGTGCTGATATATGTATCAGATATCAGATGCGTGCTGATATATATATCAGATATCAGAATTCAAGTTCTTATCATCACATTATTTACATCAATAAAAACCTTGCAATAATTTCTGAATGTACAGTAAGCCCTGGAATAAAATTGAGAATGGAAATGGGGAATGTGTCAAAGAGACAACAACCCGACCATAGAACAGACAACAGCAGAAGGTCACCAACAGGTCTTCAATGCAGGGAGAAATTCCCGCACCCGGAGGCGTCCTTCAGCTGGCCCCTAAACAAATATATATACTAGTTCAGTGATAATGAACGCCATACTAAACTATTTTCCTGGTTTATTGCTAAGGATTATAATGCTTCGACCAGTATATCTGCTATTCCCTACTCTACCACAAATATTCTAACATGTCAAAGTTATCATCAATTTTCAGTTAATTTTCCAGATATAATATTTATGAAGTTATTCTATCATCTTTCCACATTATCAACATAATCAAGAGTATATTGAGATAATTTGTGATGGTGTATACACAATAGAATAAAAGAATACATAATATTGCACAACTGTATTGATATTTTTTGAATTACAATAGTATAATTTGTTACATTTTTAATTACAATTATTGTTCAGTACTTTAAGGTTGATTTATCATCAATTTCCTCTTGTATGATATTAACTAATGTTTATCATGTACATGATATATACATTGTATAAAGTTATGTCAACATGATCAATTTGATTTACTGAATTTTACCTACAGTTTTTGTTTGGATAAAAGTTAAGAAGTTTGGACAACAACAAATTATTTTTGTGTGGCTTTAAGGTTATGATGTACATGATGTATATTTTAATAATGTATCTTAACGAAGTTGCAAATTTTAGCCAATTTATCCTTATCCTGACCAAAACATTATTTTTTCCTAATCAAAGTGTGGTTATTTTGATCACAGCTCTTTATTGGTTATAATTCAACCATGACCTCAAATTTTCTTGCTTTCCACCAAAATTCAATTATGACGTGAAATGTTCTTGCTTTCCACCAAAATTCCTATTGTGACATCACTAAAAAGGCTACCATCTGAATTAAGACATCAAATAAAAAGAACACATCTTTTTGCAGATTATTGGAAAAGAAAGATAAAGTTTGCCTAAATTTCATATAGAAAACAGATTCCACCACAAAACATCGTGCAATATGATATTACAGCACTCTAAGGAGTTGAATCTTAAATATTTTATAACGCTCTAAAATTGAAAATTTAACTGTGAGATAGATTATGTATTTATAGAGTTGCAAGAAAATAATTAAGTAAACCCAATCTGATTAAAATATAGATCTTGTGCATGCTGTGTGTCCAAGCTTTACATACACATGATACAAGGATCTGACAACTCTCCGTTTTACTCTCTGTTCTTGTAATTATTACATCAGCCAATGAAATTTCAACCTTCAAATTTTTGAAGGTGTGTATTAATCAGACAAAACCAGAGGATCCCAAAAGGTCTTTAAAACAGAAAGTAGAATGGAGCATTTTCATATCCTTATTAGCAAAGCTTAGACACAGGATCTGCATTTTAATCAGATTGAAGTTACAGGAGTACACCGGGAAGTTTTAAACCAAATCTATGTATCTATGAAAGAATCAAGTAAAGGTTTTAAAATATTTGTACATGTAGTATGAAACATAATGATACATCCTTGGCTTTTTAATTTACAAGCTATACATATTTTTACTACAAACAGAGGCAAAAAATGTGTAAATTCCTTTTGAGATTATAATTTTCCTATATTTATCATTGTTTTATTTCTATTTCTAGTATTAGTTTATGACCAAGTTTGAGGGTATATCATGTATATGGGGTTGAAGTTCTTAAAAAGGATCTATTAACTGTGTCATTATCTGATTGAACCTATTTTTTGTGGCAACTGGTCCTTAATACATCATTTAAAAAAAAAAAACTTTTTGTCATTGTTTGTAACAGTCACAGCTATATTTGAGGGTAGTTTTAAGAGGATTTTAAATGTATCATTTAACCAAAGTTTGGTAGCAATTGGTCGTCAGAATCTCTTTTAAAATATTTTATCACATTTTTCTATTGTTAGTAACCATGGTAACAGTAGCAACATTGTCAGAAAGTGGTTGTTGTCATCAACCTTAAATCTTAAAGTATTTTCAAATAGCATCAGAGGATTTTTTAAATACACTGTTTCCATACAATTATAGCACCTCATAATAAATTCTATCTTAAAATCCAATAAGATAGCACCATGCATAATAATATATGTTCACAATGCTGCAATATAAGGCCTTAGGGAGAACAATTCAACATTGCTTGACCTGAATTTTTAGATTTTTTTTAGTTCAATTTTTTCGAAAAAAAGGGCCAATTACCCCAGACTTTGATTCTCACAATGTCTAAAGTTAGAAGTTGTTAATTCTGATTTGAATATTAGTGATTCTTTATCATATACTTGAAAAAAGTTCAACAGTTTTACATATTTCATTAAGATAAAAATGTTATTCAGAGCTACATCATACATGTTGTAAAAATGGAGTTGTTTGTTACCAGACTGCAAATTTGTCATTTGGTTATATAAAATATTGAATTGAACGAAGTCTCTAACCAAAATGAAATAATTCCTGCCATTACAGGACAGATTCATAATAATTTACTATAAAGATCCAGTAAATATTTTATTCAAAATTGATAATCGATAAATCTTTCTATATGAAAACTTGCTACCTTTTTCATGAATTCAAAAGTGAGCATTTAATAAAAATATATGAACAAATTAATTTTTTACCATTTTTAAAATTGCTGACCTAAAGCTAAAATTGTACCATGTGATCTGAAAATTAATGTTTGCACACAGCACCCAGGCTGTTAGCTATCCTCTGGCTTTTGTTAAAAGTATCAGTTGTCAACAAGTTTTTTTTTAATGACCTTGACAACCCATGAGGGTCATGCATGGTCAGCTAGTATCAGTTGTGATTATGTTTGAAGGCTAATGAGGTCATGAACCCTTATTCTCAAAGTGGATTAATTATAAATTTATCATTTCAGAAAATTTTGGTAGCAGCTCGTTATTTTAATACATAACTTTTCAGATATCTTTTTCTTCACGAATTTTCTACTTTTAATACCTGACAGTCATGACAGTGTTTGAAGGTACATTTGTAGATAGGTCTTCAAACAAATTTGAGTTTTGAATGATCTGACCAATCAGGAACCTTCAGAATAAGGATCTGACCAATCAGGAACATGACTAATAATGATCTGACCAATCAGGAACCTTCAGAATAAGGATCTGACCAATCAGGAACCTACAGAATAATACTTACGCATCATATGTTATCCTGATAGAGGTGGGAATAAATGACCTCAGAATTGTTTGTGCCCTGGATTCAAAACACCAAATTGTTGGTTTGAATTTGCTACTCAACACAGGACAGTGTTCTAAAAGAAAACTTTTAAATTTTTGGTCCTTACATGCAATCTGTGGTCTCTGTAAGTATAAAATAAAATGCTCCGCTGGGGCGCAGCTTGATACGACCGCAGAGGTCGAACCCTGAACAGTTGGGGCAAGTATGGACACAACATTCAAGCTTGATACAGCACTGAATTTGGATTGTAATTAAATATTTGACACAGCATAGGTTTCTCACACAGTATGAAAGTAGTCTAAGAACTTAAAATTTTTTAATTTACCTATTCAAACCATATCATTATTATTTGCTGTTATATATTAATCAGAAATAACCAATTTAAAATGGAAAATTTTAAAGAAAAAAAAGGAAAAAAAAATCCCCCCCCCCAAATTTTTTGAAACCCCCTTATGATTCATCACCCCCAAACTCAATCCCAGCCTTCCCTTTGTGGTATGGTACCTTGCAGTACAATTTCAGAGAGATCCATACACTTGAACACAAATTATTGTCTGGAAACTATAAAAATGCTTGGGTTTTTTGCACCTTTTTGGCCCCAAATTCCTAAAAGTTTAGGGCAATTACCCCCAAACTCAAACCCAGCTTTCCCTTTGTGATATGGAACCTTGCAGTACAATGTCATAAAGATCCATACACTTACACACAATTTATTGTCATGAAACTAGAAAAATGCTTGTTTTTTTGCCCCTTTATGGCCCCTAATTCCTAACATTTTGAGACAATTACCCCCAAAAACAATCCCAGCCTTCCCTTTGTGGTATGGTACCTTGCAGTACAATTTCAGAGAGATCCATACACTTGAACACAAGTTATTGTCTGGAAATTAGAAAAATGCTTATTTTTGGCCCCTTATTCCTAAACGTTTTGGGCAAGTACCCCCAAACTCAATTCCAGCTTTCCCTTTGTGATATGGAACCTTGTAGTACAATTTCATAAATATCCATACACTTACACACAAGTTATTGTCATGAAACTAGAAAAATGCTTGTTTTTTGCCCCCTAATTCCTAAAATTTGGAGGCAATTACCCCCAAAATCAATCCCAGCATTCAAACCCTCAATCAGCATCATTTAACAGTAATATCTAATAAAATGCTTCGCTGGGGCGCAGCTTGATACGACCGCAGAGGTCGAACCCTGAACAGTTGGGGCAAGTATGGACACAACATTCAAGCTTGATACAGCTCTGAATTTGGATTGTTATTAAATATTTGACACAGCATAGGTTTCTGACACAGAGAGAATGTGGTCTAAGAACTTGAATTTTTTTAATTTACCTATTATGGTCCAATGTCCAAAATCAAAATACATGGTTAGATTCAGCATATCAAAGAACACCATATATTCAATTTTTGTTAAAATCAAACAAAGTTTAATTTTGGACCCCAACTTGGACAAACTTGAAAACTGGGCCCATAATCAAAAATCTAAACACATGTTTAGATTCAGCATATCAAAGAACCCCAAGAATTCAATTTTTGCTAAAATCAAACTAAGTTTAATTTTGGACCCTTTGGACCTTAATGTAGACCAATTTAAAAAAGGGACTTAAAATTAAAAATCTAAATACACGGTTAGATTTGGAATATCAAAGAACCCCAATAATTCAATTTTTGATGAAATCAAACAAAGTTTAATTTTGGACCCTTTTGACCTCAATATGAACCAATTTGATAGCGGGGCCCACAAATAAAAATTCTAAATTCATGGTTAGATTCAGCATATCAAAGAACCCCATATATTCAATTTTTGTTGAAATCAAAAAAAGTTTAATTTTGGACCCCAACTTGGACAAACTTGAAAACTGGGCCCATAATAAAAAATCTAAATACATGTTTAGATTCAGCATATCAAAGAACCCCAAGAATTCAATTTTTGTTAAAATCAAACTAAGTTTAATTTTGGACCCTTTGGACCTCAATGAAGACCAATTTAAAAAACGGGACCCAAATTAAAAATCTAAAAACACGGTTAGATTTGGCATATCAAAGAACCCCAATAATTCAATTTTCGATGAAATCAAACAAAGTTTAATTTTGGACCCTTTTGACCTCAATATGAACCAGTTTGATAGCGGGGCCTACAAATAAAAAATCTAAATACATGGTTAGATTCAGCATATCAAAGAACATCATATATTCAATTTTTGTTGAAATCATACAAAGTTTAATTTTGGACCCCAATTTGGACCAACTTGAAAACTGGGCCCATAATCAAAAATCTAAATACATGTTTAGATTCAGCATATCAAAGAACCCCATATATTCAATTTTTGTTGAAATCAAACAAAGTTTTAATACTGGACCCTATCTTGGACCAACTTGAAAACTGGGCCCATAATCAAAAATCTAAACACATGTTTAGATTCAGCAAATCAAAGAACCCCAAGAATTCAATTTTTGTTAAAATCAAACTAAGTTTAATTTTGGACCCTTTGGACCTCAATGTAGACCAATTTAAAAAACAGGACCCAAAATTAAGAACCTAAATACACGGTTAGATTTGGAATATCAAAGAACCCCAATAATTCAATTTTAGATGAAATCAAACAAAGTTTAATTTTGGACCCTTTTGACCTCAATATGAACCAATTAGATAACGGGGTCCACAAATAAAAAATCTAAATACATGGTTAGATTCAGCATATCAAAGAACCCCATATATTCAATTTTTGTTGAAATCAAACAAAGTTTAATTTTGGACCCCAATTTGGACCAACTTGAAAACTGGGCCAAAAATCAAAAATCTAAATACATGTTTAGATTCAGCATATCAAAGAACCTCATATATTCAATTTTTGCTAAAATCAAACAAAGTTTAATTTTGGACCCTTTGGACATTAATGTAGACCAATTTGAAAACTGGACCCAAAATTAAAAATCTAAATACACTGTTAGATTCGGCATAACAAATAAATAAATGTGATCAAAGATTTAACAAATCTAATGCGTCATACTGTGCAATTAAAGATTACTTCTTGAAATTTTTCAATATTTGAAATTTGAAAAAAAAAATAATATTTGAAGAATAATTCTTTTTAATTTCTGAAATCTGAAATGAGAAAAAATTGGCCCCCCACAATTTCTTTTTATCCCCCCCCCCCTTTTTCCCCCAAAAAAATTCTTTCCCTCAAGATATGGTCATAATCTCAATTTAAATTTCCAATGGAGTTGGCAACCATAATTACCCATTTAAATTTACCATAGTGCTAACTTAATCTATTTTATAATAGAATTAATAAAAATATAGTGTCAAATCTTTCATATGGATTTTTTTGTAAAAAAAAAAGATGAAAACATTTGCCGATATTTTTACTGGTCTTCCTTTATAAATATGCATTTCTTTAAACATAATTTAAAAGCAGAGTAAGGGAAGTAACCAAAACGTTGTATTTGGATTACCTCCCTCACTGTTAGATTATCTTTATTGTTCATTAACCATTACTTTATACATAATTTAAAAGCAGTGTAAGGGAGATAATTTCAATGATGTATTTGATTTATCTCCCTTACACTGCTTTAAATTATGTTTTGTACTAAAATATTTGTCCATTAACCAGGACAACCTTGTTTTTCCCCCTTTTTTGCCCCTAATTCCTAAACGGTTTGAGCCATAACCCCCCAAAGCAAATCCTAACCATCCCTTTGTGGTATGGAAACTTGTAGTATAATTTCAGAGAGATCCATACACCGTTCCACAGTTATTGTCTGGAAACTAGAAAATGCTCATTTTTGGCCCCTTTTTGGCCCCTAATTCCTTAACTGTTGGTACCATAACCCCCAAAATCAATCCCAACCTTCCTTTTGTGGTATTTAACCTTATGGTCAAATTTCAAAAAGATCCATTCACTTAAACTAAAGTTAGAGTGCGAAAACCAATATGTATTCGGACGACGACGCCGGACGACGACGACGACGACGACGCCAACGTCATACCAATATACGACCACAAAATTTTTTTGCGGTCGTATAAAAATGGAAATTACATAATAAAGGTATTAAAATAGAAAATGACATCATAGTCATGGCTAAAAATAAACAAAATCCTTAATCAGCAACATTTTACAGTAATATCTAAAAATAAAATTCCTTTGTAACCATAAAAGCCCATTTAAATACATCATGACAGATATTAAATTAGAAAATGACATCATAGTCATGGCTAAACATAGCAAAAACCTTAATCAGCATCATTTAACAGTAATATCTAAAAATAAAAATTTCTTTGCAACCATAAAAGTAAAATAGAAAATGACATCATAATCATAGCTAAAAATAAACAAAAATTTTTTTATTACCAAATTTTAAATGGAGTTTATTAAACTAAAACAATAAATTTGCAACCATAAAACCCCATTTAAACACATCATAAAAGTATTAAATAATTCAACTACATCATAAGGCTATAAAAATAGAAAATGACTTCATAGTCAAGGCTAAAGGTAAACAAAAAACCTTCATCAGCAAAATTTTATATTGGCAAATTTCCAATGAAGTTTATTATACTAAAATTGTTGGCAAATTTCCAATGCATTTATTAACAATAAAGTTATTGGCAAATTTCCAATTTACATAATTTAAAAGCAGTGTAAGTGAGATATTTAAATGAGTTTGAATTACCAACCTTACACTGCTTTTAAATAATGTTTTGTACTTATTTGTCTATTAACCTGGAAACCCTTGTTTTTTCACCTTTTTTTCCCTTATTATTTAAAGGTTTGAGCCATAACCCTACCCCAAAGCCAATTCTTAAATTCCAATGTAACCTAAATTTACAATATACATAACTTCAATTTAAGTTTTTGATAAAATCAAACCACATCATTATTATTTGCTTTTATATCTAAATCAGAAATAATTAACCAACTTTAAGTGGAAAATTTTCACACATCACGCCCCCCCAAACTCAATCCCAGCCTTCAGTTTGTGGTATGGTACCTTGCAGTACAATTTCACAGAGACCCAATTACTTAAACACAATTAATTGTTGGAAACTAAAAAAAAATGCTTATTTTTAATCCCTTTTTTAGCCCCTTATTCCTAAACATTTGAGCAATTATCCCCCAAACTCAATTCCAACTTTCTCTTTGTGATCAGAATTGACCAACTTAAAATGGAAAATTTTAAAGAAAAAAAAAAGGAAAAAAAAATACCCCCCCCCCCAAAAATTTTTTGACCCACTTCCCTTTGTGGTATGGTACCTTTAAGTACAATTTCAGAGAAATCCATACACTTGAACACAAGTTAATGTCTGGAAACTAAAAAAATGCTTATTTTTGCCCCCTTTTTTGGCCACTTATTAATAAATGTTTTGGGCAAACATTTTACAATAATATTTAAAACTGAAATTAATTTGTAACCTTAAAATTAAATAGAAAATGACATCATAGTCATAGCTAAAAATAAACAAACTATTGGTAAATTTCCAATGGAGTTTATTATATTAAAACTATAAATTTGCAACCATAAAAGCGCATTAAAATACATCATAAAAGTATTAAAAAAAATTTAACTACATCATAAGGCTATTAAAATAGAAAATGACATCATAGTCAGACTAAAGGTAAACAAAAAACCTTCATCAGCAAAATTTTATATTGGCAAATTTTCAATGAAGTTTATTATACTAAAATAATTGGCAAATTTCCAATTTACATAATTCAAACATAGTGCAGGTGAGATATTTAAATGAGTTTGAATTACCAACCTTGCACTGCTTTTAAATAATGTTCTTTACACAATTATTTGTCTATTAAAATGGAAACCCTAGTTTTTTAACCTTTTTTCCCCTTATTCCTTAAACGAAAAAAAATAATTACCCCTTTTTTGACCCCCCCCTATGATTCATCACCCCCCCTTCCGCCCCAAACCAAGCTCAATAACAGCCTTGCCTTTGTGGTATGGTACCTTGTAATACAATTTTAGAGAGATCCATACACTTGAACACAAGTTATTGTCTAGAAACTAAAAAATGCTTATTTTTCACCCCTTATAGGCCCCTTATTACTAAACGTTTTGGGCAATTACCACAAAACTCAATTCCAGCTTTCCCTTTGCGAAATGGAACCTTGTAGTAAAATTTCAGAAAGATCCATACACTTACACACAAGTTATTGTCATGAAACTAGAAAAATGCTTGTTTTTTGCCCCCTTTTGGCCCCTTATTCCTAAAATTTCGAGGAAATTAACCCCAAAATCAATCCCATCATCGACCCTTTGTGATATGGAATCTTGTAGTACAATGTCAAAGAGATCCATACAATAACACACAAGTTATGTCTGGAAGTTACAAAAATGCTTATTTTCGGCCCCTTTTTGGCCCCTAATTATTTAACTGTTGGTACCATAACCCCCAAAATCAATCCCCACCTTCCTATTGTGGTATTGAACCTTATGGTAAAATTTCATAGAGATCCATTCACTTAAACTAAAGTTAGAGTGCGAAAACCATTGTGTATTCGGACGACGACGCCGGACGACGACGACGACGACGACGACGACGCCAACGTCATACCAATATACGACCACAAAATTTTTTTGCGGTCGTATAAAAAACAATATTTACAACATTTCACATGGATTTTGTCATTACCTTTAATCCCTTTACAATTTCAAAAGCATGTGTCATATCACCACGACTCCTTCTGTATTAAGTAAGAGAAGGAAGGTTGAGTACTTTTAAACTTTCCTTATAGCACAAATTTCTTATATATCTTCAATTAATCTAGTCACTCTCATCTGCCCCTTTTCAATAGAAATTCTACCTATTCAGGGATTGAAGTTATAATTTTGGCATGGTATCCCACAGCTTAAATTTTGGTTGCCAATACATATAGTTCTATACAAGAAAAGCAGAAATTTTAGTAGCCCACACCAAATTTTAGGGCCATTGCCAAGTGGGCCCCTGCTAATGTCAAACCCTGCAGGCTATTTCTACAGTATGTCATAAATATTGAATGAATACCATGAATACAGTACCACGATATCACGAAAACCTCCCAAAAACTGAATTAAAATGTTAAAACTGATAAATGTTACCCGATAACTTTATTTTATATGAATACTGCTGATAATAAAGATTTTTATTTTTTAAGATAAATGTCACTTCAAAGTAAAGTTATCTGTGTATCCAAACCAATGCACCAACATGATCAATGACACATGAATGAGCAATATATAAACAACACATTATGTCATAAAGGTGTTTTGGTGTCCCACTATTTGAGGACTCGAATAGCTGAGTATAGCAAGAATTTTGTACTCCGAGTGCTGAGTAAAGTATTATGACGGAGGACCCTTATACCATTACCAACCAAACAAAACAGATCCAATTTTAACAATAAAAAGAGAAACAGGATAGCTAGCTCCAGTTACACAGTCATCTTCTCTTAGTAAAATCCTCCATTATCAGAGCATCCGTGTCACACGGTAATAAAAGCCCTTACTTTTTTAATGATACTTTTATAAAAAAAAAAATATATATACATTTCTTCATAAAATATTGGTGCCTTAGACATGTAAAAACTGTTTCTGAATACTATTAGTGAAAGTGATCTATTTACATTATGAATATTTATATATAGTATATGGTTAAACCACTGAGTGAATTCTTTTTTAGATAAAAGCATTGCACCTTTTTTCATAACATTCATGAATCTTGTAATCATGACATTTATGGCAAAATATTAATTAAGTAAATGCTCTTTCTAAAGTTTGACAGCTTACCTTTACAACAAACAGATAGTAATAACAGATGTATAATATAATAAAAGTTAAAGCTATCAATATTGAGGCATTTTCCCTGCAAAATTCTGAAAGATCACTAAAGTCCATCTTCCCTGTGTGAGCAGCAAAACATCACATGTGATAGAAATGTCAAATTATCTCCCCTGTGAACTTTTCCTTGAACTTGACAGGACAAGCTCATTTATCAGACAGGGGGCACGGTTTGGTCTTTCCCCAATTTATTTAAAATAAATGAAATAGATACTTTATTTTCATGGAGGAGATACCCTCTATTTTTATAAGAGAATATATTTGTTAGCAATTTTGAAATTGAAAAATTCTTTTCATGATTTTTTAACAAATGAAAATGACTGACTTACCCTATGGTAAAAGTCTCAATACCCAATTCATTTCCTCTACAAAAAACGTTGAAAATGGCTACTGGAGCTTTGTTCGGTGGAAATAGTCGCTCTCAGAGCAAGAATTTGGTTGAATTTCGTGCAGGAAAAATGTTCATGAAAGAGAAAATGGTCCACCCAGATAAAAGGAAGGGGTTGCTCTACGTCTATCAGGCTGAAGACTCTCTGATGCACTTTTGCTGGAAGGATCGTGGTACCGGCACGATTGAAGATGTACGAAAATTGCTATGTCATTTTGGGTTATTAGCATTTTTCATGTCGATATGCATTGTATTGCTCTCAAATTTTTGCTAACAATATAAAGAAAGGAAATAATACATTCACACAACAAATTGCAGTGTATCTGTACATGTCTGAGCTACAGACTTTCGAAAATTAGGAGGAAAAGGGGGAGTGTCATTTTTAATGTCATGCAAAACTGAAATAAACTTCATCAGATAGATTTATTTGATCAAATATCAACTTAAAGCATTACAAAAGAAGTATAAAACAATAGCAGACATGTAAACATACTAAAATCATAAAAATCTTAAAACAATTGCTGATTATACCTAATCAGGAGACTTGCAACAACAAGCATGACAAGTAATCTTCACTATCCTGAAGTTTTGTTGTATAACTGAAGAAGAAGAAGAAGGATTGCCCATGAAAGCCATACAGCTTATTTCCAATGGGTCCCTTTATGTTACATTCTTAAAAATATTAAATATAGTTATAAGAAATCATGATTTTGGCAGGCTTTATACTAATTATGCTAAAATTAAAAATTTATGATGACAATGACTAGAATATAAAAGCCAATCAATAAAATAAAAATTTGCTATTAAAATCTTTGCTTTCCTTTTTTGACAGATAAACTTTAACACCAGATTTATAAGATTCAAGGTTTTTGTTGCTCTTTAGTTCATCAGTTTTTGTTGTCTTCCTAGGTTCGGATCATTTCAAACTCTGTTCTATTTTTTTTTTTCAGTGGATAAAGGGTGGGGGTAAACCTTTTCAAAGATTGTCTTCTCTGGCTGATACTACCAAACCAATTTCATTATCATTCAATCAAATTTCGGGTACATGTATGAAGAAATTTTTGTCAAAATGGTCCTTACTAGATAACTTTTTTTGTTCGCTATGGAGACTCCATATATCATCAAGTTATCGGAATTCCAATGGGGACTAACTGTGCACCACTTATTGCGGACCTGTTTCTATATTGTTATGAGTTACAATTTATGACTAAAATCAGCAAAGACCCATTGAAACAACATCTGATACCAAAATTTAATAACACTTTTTGTTATTTAGATGATATATTGGCTCTCAATAATGGCGACTTCAGTATGTACACTAAAGAGATTCATCCAACTGAACTGACTTTGAATAAAGCTTATACTGTGGATTCATTTATTTTCGTGGGTACCAATTTTCGTGGATTGAGAAAAACTTGCATATTCGTGGATATTTAATTTCGTGGTTTTGGCAAAGTCTGCATACATTCCTTTAGAAAATTTGTAATTCGTTGAACATTTAAATTTGTGGTTCCACTATACCCACGAAATCCACGAAAATTGGTATCCAACGGATATTAATGAATCCACAGTACTAACAATGAACACTGCCCATTCTTGGATCTTGATATCTATATCTTTATCGTAAAGCTTAATACCAAAATTTATGATAAAAGAGATGATTTTTCATTTCCTATTGTTAATTATCCATTTTTAGATGGTGACGTTCCCTTGTCACCATCTTATGGTGTTAATATATCTCAACTTGTTCGATTCGCACGTATTTGTAACAACGTATTTGATTTTAACGAAAGAAATCTCTGTATTACTGAAAAATTATTACACCAGGGTTTAGATATCACAAACTATTCAAAACATTTTACTAAATTTTATCATCTGTACAAGGACATCATTCTTAAATATAAATCAACATGCAGACATCTTATACGTTCAGGTATTTCACACCCAATTTTTTATGGTAATATTCTTGACAAAGCACAAAAATGTCGTCATTCACCTAATAAGCTAACCAAACCTTTAAACAGACTTATTAAGAAGGGATATAGTTACGATACTGTTGTCAGGTCATTAAAGATGGCATATGTTTGTAGATAGATAGATCTTTATTCTCATTAACTAAATGACATAGTTACAGAGATGAAAATATAAACAAAATACAACATATTTTGCATGTGTGAAATATACATAAATAAATGTAATTTAACCAGGAGGACAGACTTTCACTGATATATAGTTTATAAATCTACACAATTTTTCTAGTAAGACAATATTGACTGTAGTGAATACATTTTTAAATTTAAGAATATTAACATTTGTACAACAATAGCGTGGTAAATATTTATATCGTTCTTTTTTGAAAAAAGGACAAGACATTACATAATGGAATTCATCGCCGATGTCAGTAGATTCACAAAGGTGGCATAGTCTCTCGGGTCTTTGAACATTTTGCCACCTCCCTGTCTCCACTGGCAAACGGTGATTGCCACATCTAAATTTACATAGTTTCAGTGCATTATTTAACGATAAAATTGAAATATATTATTGATTCACTCATAGGGTCTTTGCATTGGAAATAAACACATTTATTCTAAAACCAGTTGTTGGCATGATACGGGTGATGTTCTTCTCATATATTTTATGATGGTATGATACTAAACCCCTAACGGGCGGGATTGTGCTTGATTTTCATATGATGAAGACATAATCTTTCAATCAGTTTAATTGAGATCTGGAGCTATCATGTCAGTAACTGATAGTAGTCCTTTGTTAATTTATGTATCATTGTCATTTTGCTTAGTTTCTTTTGTTACCTATTCTGACATTGGACTCAGACTTCTTTTAAACTGAGTTTTACTGTGCGTATTGCTGTGTGTTTGTTTTTTCTACTTTGGCTAGAGGTAAAGGGGAGGGTTGAGATCTCACTAAACATATTTAACCCCGCCGCATCTTTGTGCCTGTCCCAAGTCAGGAGCCTCTGGCCTTTGTAAGTCTTGTATGATTTTTAATTTTAGTTCATTTATATGTTTTGGAGTTTAGTACACATTTTTGTTTAGGGGCCAGCTGAATCCCACCTCTGGGTGCGGGATTTTCTCGCTGTGTTGAAGACACATTGGTGGCCTTCGGCTGTTTTCTGCTCTTTGGTCGGGTTGTTGTCTCTTTGACACATTCCCCATTTCCATTCTCAATTTTATTTAATTATGGCTTCCATAGTTATTAGACATAGAATGTAAGGTTAAAATGTATTGATTGTCTTTGTATATTGAAAACCTTAATAGACTTGATAAATAGAGCAAATATGACATGGTGTAAAATGCTTATAATTATCTCCATAATGTCCAGATTTTCCTACTTTCTTGTTTCTTTAAAATATCAGATGATTCTTTAAAGAGTTATTGCCCTAACAAAATGTAAATGGTGATTTTTGGCTTATTTTCTTATTTTTGCAAATATATATCAGAAAGGTAGAAACTGTTTTAGCCAAACATGATATAAAAAAATACCAATATGACCTAAAATTAAGGAGTTATTGAAACTATTAACATGATTAATGAAGGTTTTGAATTATTTTAGCATTTTTTGCCTATTATCATGAAAACTAAACTAAAAAATAAATAGGTAGAAACTGTAATCAGCAAAAATAATCAGAAAACAATGTCTACAAAGATTCCAATACAACAAAAACTGAAAGATGACTCCTTTTAAATAACTTAATGAGTTATTTTTAGCAAATGTAAGGTGAGCAATACAGACTCCTGCAAGCCTCTTGTTTGTGATATTTTATGGTGAGATAATTGTTTTCTCTGTATATTTTTAGGATTTGATAATCTTCCCAGATGATATTGAGTTCAAACATGTCACTCAGTGTACAACAGGGAGAGTCTATGTCCTCAAGTTCAAGACCTCAAGTAGAAAGTTCTTCTTTTGGATGCAGGTAGGTCTTACATGAACAGATAAGAGTCTTGTGTCCTCAAGTTCAAGACATCCAGTAGAAAGTTCTTCTTTTGGATGCAGGTAGGTCTCACATGAACAGGTAGAGTCTATGTCCTCAAGTTCAAGACATCAAGTAGAAAGTTCTTCTTTTGGATGCAGGTAGGTCTTACATGAACAGGTGGAGTCTGTGTCCTCAAGTTCAGGACATCCAGTAGAAAGTTCTTCTTTTGGATGCAGGTAGGTCTTACATGAACAGGTGGAGTCTATGTCCTCAAGTTCAAGACATCCAGTAGAAAGTTCTTCTTTTGGATGCAGGTAGGTCTTACATGAACAGGTGGAGTCTGTGTCCTCAAGTTCAGGACATCCAGTACAGAGCTCCAGATAAGAATTCACAAATTGGGGTGTTTACCCACCATTTTCTTATTTAATTGGGTGATAAAGTTTTTTAATTGCATTATCAATTTCAATTCACCCCTCAAGTTGATATCAAATTGGGTTTTTCACCACCAAGCTCATTATTGTATTGGGTTTTTTCATCCACACAATATTGAATATTTAAGCAATATCAACCCCAGATGTTTTTCAATCTTAAATACATGTGTATGTTCCTTTCTTCGTATATGTGCTATAGATGTTTCATTAGGTTTATTCACTGATGAGCGATTGTAGGTTAAATTTGTGTCCTGTTTCAAACGTCTGCCAGTTTTGTATTTTGTCACAACTTATATAAACTGTAAAAAACGGATATGTGTATTCACAGACACTCGTCTCAGATTCCCCCCCCCCCCCCCTAATATACCTTTATATAAAAAATTCTGAGACGAATGCATGTGTGTGTACTCACTCATTAAATGTAAAATGGAAGATATGTATGATATAAACTGTATACTTGAATGTTTTTGTTTAATTTAATTTATATAAATCTGGGTCAAGCTGTCCCTCATTAGAACTTTTGGTTTCCGATGTTTACCAACTACAATATTGGCCTTTCACTTTTTCCAACTGATTTTGTTTTTGACGAAACCCCGTGTTAATTAGCAATGTTCTCGATAAGGTACGCATAAACACCCATGCGTTCTATGGAGGCTTCCTAATAACAATGGCTGAGTCTTGTTATCATCATAAATTTCACTTAGCTATTCAAAAGAAGCTGAAAACATGCTTCTATTCAATATTTCTACCGGACTTTCACTTTTGTTTTAATTCAATGTATGTTATGATAAATCCCGAGCAATTCGAAAAAAATATGACACACTAATTGGATAAACGCCGAGAAGATCGAAATGTTTTCAAAACCACGTGTACCTTTTGAGCAACGGAAAATTTAAACAGGGACCCATTTCAGCTTCTTGATGCAGAGATCTATTTTAAGAACGAAAGGAAATTTCCAATTATTATAAAAATAGATTTACGCGACGACTGTAAACAGATAAGGGTAAATAACGCAAATGGTAGCCAAAAAAAGGGTTGAGAACTCATGGTTTTGGCATAAAATTGGGTTTTCCTTTGAATCAATTGGGTTATTGAACCCTGCAATGGTCAATTGCATTGGGTTTTTGTCGAGCCTGCGACTTTTGTCGCAGAAAGCTCGACATAGGGATAGCGATCCGGCGGCGGCGGCGGCGGCTACGGCGGCGGCGGCGGCGTTAGCTAACTTCTTAAAAGCTTTATATTTTAGAAGGTGGAAGGTCTGGATGCTTCATACTTTGTATATGGATGCCTCATGTTACGAAGTTTCCGTCACTTACATGTCAAATGTCCTTGACCTCATTTTCATGGTTCAGTGACTACTTGAAAAAAAAGTTCAGATTTTTTGTAATGTTAGATTCTCTCTTATTATAAGTAATAAGATAACTATATTTGGTATGTGCGTACCTTGCAAGGTCCTCATGCTCGTCAGACATTTTTCACTTGACCTCGACCTCATTTCATGGATCAGTGAACAAGGTTAAGTTTTCGTGGTCAAGTCCATATCTCAGATACTATAAGCAATAGGTCTAGTATATTCGGTGTATGGAAGGACTGTAAGGTGTACATGTCCAACTGGCAGGTGTCATCTGACCTTGACCTCATTTTCATGGTTCAGTGGTTATAGTTAAGTTTTTGTGTTTTGGTCTGTTTTTCTTATACTGTATGCCATAGGTCTACTATATTTGGTGTATGGAATGATTGTAAGGTGTACATGTCTAGCGGGCAGGTGTCATCTGACCTTGACCTCATTTTCATGGTTCAGTGGTCAAAGTTAAGTTTTTGAGTTTTGGTCTTTTTTTCTAATACTATGTGCAATAGTTCAACTATATTTGGTATGTGCGTACCTTGCAAGATCCTCATGCCCGTCAGACAGTTTTCACTTGACCTCGACCTCATTTCATGGATCAATGAACAAGGTTAAGTTTTTGTGGTCAAGTCCATATCTCAGATACTATAAGCAATAGGTCTAGTATATTCGGTGTATGGAAGGACTGTAAGGTGTACATGTCCAACTGGCAGGTGTCATCTGACCTTGACCTCATTTTCATGGTTCAGTGGTTATAGTTAAGTTTTTGTGTTTTGGTCTGTTTTTCTCATACTGTATGCCATAGGTCTACTATATTTGGTGTATGGAATGATTGTAAGGTGTACATGTCTATCGGGCAGGTGTCATCTGACCTTGACCTCATTTTCATGGTTCAGTGGTCAAAGTTAAGTTTTTGAGTTTTGGTCTTTTTTTCTAATACTATGTGCAATAGTTCAACTATATTTGGTATGTGCGTACCTTGCAAGGTCCTCATGCCCGTCAGACAGTTTTCACTTGACCTCGACCTCATTTCATGGATCAATGAACAAGGTTAAGTTTTGGTGGTCAAGTCCATATCTCAGATACTATAAGCAATAGGTCTAGTATATTCGGTGTATGGAAGGACTGTAAGGTGTACATGTCCAACTGGCAGGTGTCATCTGACCTTGACCTCATTTTCATGGTTCAGTGGTTATAGTTAAGTTTTTGTGTTTTGGTCTGTTTTTCTTATACTATATGCAATAGTTCAACTATATTTGGTGTATGGAAATATTTTATGATCTATTTGGCAGTCACGCAGGTTTTATTTGACCTTGACCTCATTTTCAAGGTTCATTGCTCAGTGTTAAGTTTTTGTGTTTTGGTCTGTTTTTCTTAAACTATAAGCAATAGGTCAACTCTATTTGTTGTATGGAAGAATTGTTAGCTGTACATGCCTGCCTAGCATGGTTCATCTGACCTTGACCTCATTTTCATGGTTCATTGGTCAATGTTTAGTTTACTTGGTTAATGTTAAGTTTATGTGACAGTTGTAATAAAGCTTTATATTTAGGACTATCAACATAATATCAATGATTAGTAAAGAAGGCGAGACATTTCAGCGTGTGCACTCTTGTTTATAATTTGTATTGCGTGATCACGCAAATACGCAGCTTATCTGGAGCTCTGCCAGTAGAAAGTTCTTCTTTTGGATGCAGGTAGGTCTTACATGAACAGATAAGAGTCTTGTGTCCTCAAGTTCAAGACATCCAGTAGAAAGTTCTTCTTTTGGATGCAGGTAGGTCTTACATGAACAGATAGAGTCTATGTCCTCAAGTTCAAGACATCCAGTAGAAAGTTCTTCTTTTGGATGCAGGTAGGTCTTACATGAACAGGTGGAGTCTATGTCCTCAAGTTCAAGACATCCAGTAGAAAGTTCTTCTTTTGGATGCAGGTAGGTCTTACATGAACAGGTGGAGTCTGTGTCCTCAAGTTCAGGACATCCAGTAGAAAGTTCTTCTTTTGGATACAGGTAGGTCTTACAAGTTACATGAACAGATAAGAGTCTTGTGTCCTCAAGTTCAAGACATCCAGTAGAAAGTTCTTCTTTTGGATGCAGGTAGGTCTTACATGAACAGATAGAGTCTATGTCCTCAAGTTCAAGACATCCAGTAGAAATTTCTTCTTTTGGATGCAGGTAGGTCTTACATGAACAGGTGGAGTCTATGTCCTCAAGTTCAAGACATCCAGTAGAAAGTTCTTCTTTTGGATGCAGGTAGGTCTTACATGAACAGATAAGAGTCTTGTGTCCTCAAGTTCAAGACATCCAGTAGAAAGTTCTTCTTTTGGATGTAGGTAGGTCTTACATGAACAGGTAGAGTCTTTGTCCTCAAGTTCAAGACATCAAGTATAAAGTTCTTCTTTTGGATGTAGGTAGGTCTTACATGAACAGATAGAGTCTTTGTCCTCAAGTTCAAGACATCAAGTAGAAAGTTCTTCTTTTGGATGCAGGTAGGTCTTACATGAACAGGTAGAGTCTTTGTCCTCAAGTTCAAGACATCGAGGTAGAAAGTTCTTCTTTTGGATGTAGGTAGGTCTTACATGAACAGATAAGAGTCTTGTGTCCTCAAGTTCAAGACATCCAGTAGAAAGTTCTTCTTTTGGATGTAGGTAGGTCTTACATGAACAGGTAGAGTCTTTGTCCTCAAGTTCAAGACATCAAGTATAAAGTTCTTCTTTTGGATGTAGGTAGGTCTTACATGAACAGATAGAGTCTTTGTCCTCAAGTTCAAGACATCAAGTAGAAAGTTCTTCTTTTGGATGCAGGTAGGTCTTACATGAACAGGTAGAGTCTTTGTCCTCAAGTTCAAGACATCAAGGTAGAAAGTTCTTCTTTTGGATGTAGGTAGGTCTTACATGAACAGATAAGAGTCTTGTGTCCTCAAGTTCAAGACATCCAGTAGAAAGTTCTTCTTTTGGATGTAGGTAGGTCTTACATGAACAGATAAGAGTCTTGTGTCCTCAAGTTCAAGACATCCAGTAGAAAGTTCTTCTTTTGGATGTAGGTAGGTCTTACATGAACAGGTAGAGTCTTTGTCCTCAAGTTCAAGACATCAAGTAGAAAGTTCTTCTTTTGGATGTAGGTAGGTTTACATGAACAGATAGAGTCTTTGTCCTCAAGTTCAAGACATCAAGTAGAAAGTTCTTCTTTTGGATGCAGGTAGGTCTTACGTGAACAGGTAGAGTCTTTGTTCTCAAGTTCAAGACATCAAGGTAGAAAGTTCTTCTTTTGGATGTAGGTAGGTCTTACATGAACAGGTAGAGTCTTTGTCCTCAAGTTCAAGACATCAAGGTAGAAAGTTCTTCTTTTGGATGTAGGTAGGTCTTACATGAACAGGTAGAGTCTTTGTCCTCAAGTTCAAGACATCCAGTAGAAAGTTCTTCTTTTGGATGCAGGTAGGTCTTACATGAACAGATAGAGTCTTTGTCCTCAAGTTCCAGACATCAAGTAGAAAGTTCTTCTTTTGGATGCAGGTAGGTCTTACATGAACAGGTAGAGTCTTTGTCCTCAAGTTCAAGACATCAAGTAGAAAGTTCTTCTTTTGGATGCAGGTAGGTCTTACATGAACAGGTAGAGTCTGTGTCCTTAAGTTCAGGACATCAAGGTAGAAAGTACTTCTTTTGGATGCAGGTAGGACTTGAGATGTCTATATGGTGGTTAAAGTTATAAGCTTAATTTAAGATAAACATTATTTTCCTGAGTAGAAGAACATAAAAAAGAATAACAGATGTTAACGAGAACCAACAACGAAAATACTGAAAAAACTATAGACAGAAAATGCTTTCTTCAATAAAAGACAGATGAAAGTAGTTTTTTAGCTCACCTGGCCCGAAGGGCCAAGTGAGCTTTTCTCATCACTTGGCGTCCGTCGTCGTCCGTCGTCGGCGTTAACTTTTTACATTTTGAACTTCTTCTAGAGAACCACTGAATGGAATGAAACCAAACATGGCATGAATGTTCCTTATGAGGTGCTGACCAAGTGTTGTTACTTTGTAGCCGATCCATCATCCAAGATGGCCGCCAGCGGGGGACTTAGTTTAACATAGGACCCTATGGGAAATGCATACAAATGACTTCTTTTAGAGAACCACTGAATGGAATGAAACCAAACATGGCATGAATGTTCCTTATGAGGTGCTGACCAAGTGTTGTTACTTTGTAGCCGATCCATCATCCAAGATGGCCGCCAGCGTGGGACTTAGTTTAACATAGGACCCTATGGGAAATGCATACAAATGACTTCTTTTAGAGAACCACTGAATGGAATGAAACCAAACATGGCATGAATGTTCCTTATGAGGTGCTGACCAAGTGTTGCTACTTTGTAGCCGATCCATCATCCAAGATGGCCGCCAGCGGGGGACTTAGTTTAACATAGGACCCTATGGGAAATGCATACAAATGACTTCTTTTAGAGAACCACTGAATGGAATGAAACCAAACATGGCATGAATGTTCCTTATGAGGTGCTGACCAAGTGTTGTTACTTTGTACCCGATCCATCATCCAAGATGGCCGCCAGCGGGGGACTTAGTTTAACATAGGACCCTATGGGAAATGCATACAAATGACTTCTTTTAGAGAACCACTGAATGGAATGAAACCAAACATGGCATGAATGTTCCTTATGAGGTGCTGACCAAGTGTTGTTACTTTGTAGCCGATCCATCATCCAAGATGGCCGCCAGCGGGGGACTTAGTTTAACATAGGACCCTATGGGAAATGCATACAAATGACTTCTTTTAGAGAACCACTGAATGGAATAAAACCAAACATGGCATAAATGTTCCTTATGAGGTGCTGACCATGTGTTGTTACTTTGTAGCCTATCCATCATCCAAGATGGCCACCATCGGGGAACTTAGTTTAACATAGGACCCTATGGGAAATACATACAAATGTCTTCTTTTAGAGAACCACTGAATGGAATGAAACCAAACATGGCATGAATGTTCCTTATGAGGTGCTGACCAAGTGTTGTTACTTTGTAGCCGATCCATCATCCAAGATGGCCGCCAGCGGGGGACTTAGTTTAACATAGGACCCTATGGGAAATACATAAAAATGTCTTCTTTTAGAGAACCACTGAATGGAATGGAACCAAACATAGCATGAATGTTCCTTATGAGATGCTGACCAAGTGTTGTTACTTTGCAGTCAGTCCATCATCCAAAATGGCCGCCAGCAGGGGACTTAGTTTAACATAGGACCCTATGGGAAATACATACAAATGTCTTCTTTTAGAGAACCACTGAATGGAATGAAACCAAACATGGCATGAATGTCCCTTATGAGGTTCTGACCAAGTGTTGTTACTTTGTAGCCGATCCATCATCCAAGATGGCCGACAGCAGGGGACTTAGTTTAACATAGGACCCTATGGGAAATACATAAAAATGTCTTCTTTTAGAGAACCACTGAATGGAATGAAACCAAACATGGCATGAATGTTCCTTATGAGGTGCTGACCAAGTGTTGTTACTTTGCAGTCGGTCCATCATCCAAGATGGCCGACAGCAGGGGACTTAGTTTAACAAAGGACCTATGGGAAATACATACAAATGTCTTCTTTTAGCGAACCACTGAATGGAATGAAACCAAACATGGCATGAATGTTCCTTATGAGGTGCTGACCAAGTGTTGTTACTTTGTAGCCGATCCATCATCCAAGATGGCCGCCAGCGTGGGACTTAGTTTAACATAGGACCCTATGGGAAATGCATACAAATGACTTCTTTTAGAGAACCACTGAATGGAATGAAACCAAACATGGCATGAATGTTCCTTATGAGGTGCTGACCAAGTGTTGCTATTTTGTAGCCGATCCATCATCCAAGATGGCCGCCAGCGGGGGACTTAGTTTAACATAGGACCCTATGGGAAATGCATACAAATGACTTCTTTTAGAGAACCACTGAATGGAATGAAACCAAACATGGCATGAATGTTCCTTATGAGGTACTGACCAAGTGTTGTTACTTTGTAGCCGATCCATCATCCAAGATGGCCGCCAGCGGGGGACTTAGTTTAACATAGGACCCTATGGGAAATGCATACAAATGACTTCTTTTAGAGAACCACTGAATGGAATGAAACCAAACATGGCATGAATGTTCCTTATGAGGTGCTGACCAAGTGTTGTTACTTTGTAGCCGATCCATCATCCAAGATGGCCGCCAGCGGGGGACTTAGTTTAACATAGGACCCTATGGGAAATGCATACAAATGACTTCTTTTAGAGAACCACTGAATGGAATAAAACCAAACATGGCATAAATGTTCCTTATGAGGTGCTGACCATGTCTTGTTACTTTGTAGCCGATCCATCATCCAAGATGGCCACCATCGGGGAACTTAGTTTAACATAGGACCCTATGGGAAATACATACAAATGTCTTCTTTTAGAGAACCACTGAATGGAATGAAACCAAACATGGCATGAATGTTCCTTATGAGGTGCTGACCAAGTGTTGCTATTTTGTAGCCGATCCATCATCCAAGATGGCCGCCAGCGGGGGACTTAGTTTAACATAGGACCCTATGGGAAATGCATACAAATGACTTCTTTTAGAGAACCACTGAATGGAATGAAACCAAACATGGCATGAATGTTCCTTATGAGGTACTGACCAAGTGTTGTTACTTTGTAGCCGATCCATCATCCAAGATGGCCGCCAGCGGGGGACTTAGTTTAACATAGGACCCTATGGGAAATGCATACAAATGACTTCTTTTAGAGAACCACTGAATGGAATGAAACCAAACATGGCATGAATGTTCCTTATGAGGTGCTGACCAAGTGTTGTTACTTTGTAGCCGATCCATCATCCAAGATGGCCGCCAGCGGGGGACTTAGTTTAACATAGGACCCTATGGGAAATGCATACAAATGACTTCTTTTAGAGAACCACTGAATGGAATAAAACCAAACATGGCATAAATGTTCCTTATGAGGTGCTGACCATGTCTTGTTACTTTGTAGCCGATCCATCATCCAAGATGGCCACCATCGGGGAACTTAGTTTAACATAGGACCCTATGGGAAATACATACAAATGTCTTCTTTTAGAGAACCACTGAATGGAATGAAACCAAACATGGCATGAATGTTCCTTATGAGGTGCTGACCAAGTGTTGTTACTTTGTAGCCGATCCATCATCCAAGATGGCCGCCAGCGGGGGACTTAGTTTAACATAGGACCCTATGGGAAATACATAAAAATGTCTTCTTTTAGAGAACCACTGAATGGAATGGAACCAAACATGGCATGAATGTTCCTTATGAGGTGCTGACCATGTGTTGTTACTTTGTAGCCTATCCATCATCCAAGATGGCCACCATCGGGGAACTTAGTTTAACATAGGACCCTATGGGAAATACATACAAATGTCTTCTTTTAGAGAACCACTGAATGGAATGAAACCAAACATGGCATGAATGTCCCTTATGAGGTTCTGACCAAGTGTTGTTACTTTGTAGCCGATCCATCATCCAAGATGGCCGACAGCAGGGGACTTAGTTTAACATAGGACCCTATGGGAAATACATACAAATGTCTTCTTTTAGCGAACCACTGAATGGAATGAAACCAAACATGGCATGAATGTTCCTTATGAGGTGCTGACCAAGTGTTGTTACTTTGCAGTCGGTCCATCATCCAAGATGGCCGACAGCAGGGGACTTAGTTTAACAAAGGACCTATGGGAAATACATACAAATGTCTTCTTTTAGCGAACCACTGAATGGAATGAAACCAAACATGGCATGAATGTTCCTTATGAGGTACTGACCAAGTGTTGTTACTTTGCAGTCAGTCCATCATCCAAGATGGCCGACAGCAGGGGACTTAGTTTAACAAAGGACTTATGGGAAATACATACAAATGTCATCTTTTAGAGAACCACTGAATGGAATGAAACCAAAAATGGCATGAATCTTCCTTATGAGATGCTGACCAAGTGTTGTTACTTTGTAGCCGATCCATCATTCAAGATGGCCGACAGCGGGGGACTTAGTTTAACATAGGACCCTACGGGAAAAAACATATAATTGTCTTCTTTTAGAGAACCACTGAATGGAATTGAACCAAACATGGCATGAATGTTCCTTATGAGTTGCTGACCAAGTGTTGTTACTTTGCAGTCGATCCATCATCCAAGATGGCCGCTAGGGGGGGGGCTTAGTTTAACAGGACCCTATGGGAAATTCATACAAATGTCTTCTTTTAGAGTACCACTGAATGGAATGAAACCAAACATGGCATGAATGTTCCTTATGAAGTGCTGACCAAGTGTTGCTACTTTGTTGCCGATTTACTGTTCAAGATGGCCACCAGGATATTTTATTAAATAACGGGACCAATATTAATCAAAATTTGGCCTCAATCATTATTTGGGTATCTGTTATGATTTTTATCTATCTTTACATGATTTCTAAAACCAAAGTAGAGTCAGGTGAGCGACACAGGCTCTTGAGAGCCTCTAGTTTAGACATGTCCTCTCACCCTTTTAATTTTGATCAGTGTAAGCATAAGCTTTATTCCAATATATTCATAATGACCCATATTACCCTATTCAATGACATTTGAATTTAGATAAGGTTCTTGTGTGGCATCTAATTTCTCTGTCTGTCTTTCAGCACTTTTACTAAGTACTGTATTGTACAAGAATTTAAGTTTCTAATACATGTAAGCAATATGAAGAAGAATAAGGTACAAAGTACAAGCATTTTGATCATATGTATAATAACTTTCTCTGTATATATAACTAAATGTTAGGCTTCACTGACCTTAGTCTTTTTATTATTTCTGTGTAACATGTATATTATTTTTATTTTTGGCATTGTAAGATAAAAAAAAATGCAGTTATTGTGATGTATATTTTTTAATATTGAATTTAAGTTTTAGTTTGTTTAATGACTAATAGTCTATAAGCGTTATTTGTACAAACAATAAAAGAAATAAGCAACATTGGTTTCAAGAATGCATTATTTATGGAGAGAAATTATTTCAGGAACCTAAGAAGGACAAGGATGAAGAATACCGCAAGAAAGTTAACGAATATCTAAATAATCCACCAACACCAGGGTCCAGTAGGGGAGCTGGACTATCATCTGATCTGTCTGGACTAGGTAAACTATATTTATCTTAATAATCCAACAACACCAGGGTCCAGTAGGGGAGCTGGACTATCATCTGATCTGTCTGGACTAGCTAAACTATATTTATCTTAATAATCCACCAACACCAGGGTCCAGTAGGGGAGCTGCACTATCATCTGATCTGTCTGGACTAGGTAAACTATATTTATCTTAATAATCCACCAACACCAGGGTCCAGTAGGGGAGCTGGACTATCATCTGATCTGTCTGGACTAGGTAAACTATATTTATCTTAATAATCCACCAACACCAGGGTCCAGTAGGGGAGCTGGACTATCATCTGATCTGTCTGGACTAGGTAAACTATATTTATCTTAATAATCCACCAACACCAGGGTCCAGTAGGGGAGCTGGACTATCATCTGATCTGTCTGGACTAGGTAAACTATATTTATCTTAATAATCCACCAACACCAGGGTCCAGTAGGGGAGCTGGACTATCATCTGATCTGTCTGGACTAGCTAAACTATATTTATCTTAATAATCCACCAACACCAGGGTCCAGTAGGGGAGCTGGACTATCATCTGATCTGTCTGGACTAGCTAAACTATATTTATCTTAATAATCCAACAACACCAGGGTCCAGTAGGGGAGCTGCACTATCATCTGATCTGTCTGGACTAGGTAAACTATATTTATCTTAATAATCCAACAACACCAGGGTCCAGTGAAACACCTACTTCCTGTTTGTGAGGCGTCAGCACTTTTTGGATCGATCAAAGTGAAACACCTACTTCCTGTTTGTGAGGTGTCAGCACTTTTTGGATCTATCAAAGTGAAAAACCTACTTCCTGATTGTTGATACTTTGAAGGTTTTAATACGTTGAATGAAGTGTTTTGTCAAGTTTTTAAAGTACTACCAAACAGAACAGCTTCATATTTGATCAGCAGCTTGACAATGAGGAGTTGTACATGTAAGCACTTTTCATATCTGTGAGACACCTTTTTTCTGAGTTCCAGTACTATCAAATACAAGTGGGTGTAAACTTCTGCCCTTCAAACCTCCTCCCATTTTAAACAAATATTTCTTGATAATCCCTTAAATGACTTTATTCCACACAGTAGCAACAGAAATAGAAAATTTTGATATTTTGTAGGTGATTCAGATTTACAGAGTATACTGGGAGGAATGAGCCAGCAACAACTGATGCAGTTATTAGGTATGAATAGAAACTTCAGTATTGTAGTCTTATATTTCTAGGCGTCTATTTTAGATTTGATAGCTGCAAATTTAGTTTACTGAAAACTGAGTATGAGAGATGGACGTTTGGAAACAAAAAATCATTAATTGATGTTGACAGCCATTAAAACACATAACCCTTACATGCCGTATCCACATTGTCATGATTGTAATGCATTTGTTAAGTTTGTTGAAGAAATTCCAAATATTCATTTCCAAAGAAAATACAGATCAGTAATCATGTGAGTGATTTGATAAAATTTTTAATGTTGGCAGACCATAATTAATGTCATGAATGTTACAATAAATGTTTCTTAGAATGCAAAACTTTGTAACACCCCCCCCCCCCCCCCCCCCCAAACACACACACCGGACACTCATGTGGGGCTATATTGCAATCACCTTGTCTGTTGTCTGTGTGTCCGATGTTCAACAAATATTTACATCACACTTTTCTCAAACATTACCATGCTAACTGTACAGAAAGACTTCGTGAGTTGTAATATTTGAGCACCTATCATATTTGTGAGATACCTATTTTCTGTTTGAAGTTACTTTGATTTTTCCAATATATTGAATGAAATTTAAAAATTTTGGTCACAAATGTCTCCAATACTTCTGAACAGAATGACCTCTACATATGTGCACTTGTTTTTATCTGTGCATCATTTACAAAGGAAACGAAAACCTTTTAACTAATATGTGAAACATTTTTCACCTTCATGTTTTGTGTAATAACAATTTTTTGAGTGAGCTGTTTTCTTTTAATTTGATATTGACAAATATGTTTAGTAGTTGGTATAGTTGTTTGTGGTTGTATATTCTAGGACCAATGGGAATGGGAGGTCCTGGTGGTGGACTCTCTGCTCTGATGGGAGCTCGTCCTAGTAGTGCTCAGTCAACAGCATCTGAACCGTAAGTAAAACATTCTAATATCAATCTTTTAAGGACCAATAGGAATGGAAGGTCCAGGTGGTGGACTCTCTGCTCTGATGGGAGCTCGTCCTAGCAGTGCTCAGTCAACAGCCTCTGAACCGTAAGTAAAACATTCTAATATCAACCTTTTAAGGACCAATGGGAATGAGAGGTCCTGGTGGTGGACTGTCTGCTCTGATGGAAGCTCGTCCTAGCAGTGCTCAGTCAACAGCATCTGAACCGTAAGTAAAACATTCTAATATCAATCTTTTAAGGACCAATGAGAATGGGAGGTCCTGGTGGTGGACTCTCTGCTCTGATGGGAGCTCGTCCTAGCAGTGCTCAGTCAACAGCATCTGAACCGTAAGTAAAACATTCTAATATCAATCTTTTAAGGACCAATGGGAATGGGAGGTCCTGGTGGTGGACTCTCTGCTCTGATGGGAGCTCTTCCTAGCAGTGCTCAGTCAACAGCATCTGAACCGTAAGTAAAACATTAAACTGATGTAACACATTTCACTTCGAGAAGTCATGAGGATCCACAACCAATGATATTTCTTCTTCTGAAATCCTGAAGATGTGTTTCTTTACAACAAATCCTGAGGATCCCATTACAGAAAGTATTGCAGAGCATTGTTAAGTCTCCCAAACGAAGTTTGGGAAGACTTATTGTTTTTGCTCAGTTCTTATTATTATTATTATTCTTCTTCTTCTTCTTCTTCTTCTTCTTCTTCTTCCGCCGCTTTTAAATTTAAACTTGTCCGCACCCGTTCTCCAAAACCGCTTGTCAGATTAACTTAGGGTTTCACAATATGTTAGACTAACATGTCTAGTGGTGCAATCAGGGTTTTGTTTGTGCAATGGGGTTTATAAAGGGGTACTTTAAGGGGCAAAAAGAAAAGAGGGTTTTACTATAGAACCCTATGGGATTTTATTTTTTTAAATTTTCAAATGATTATAAATTGAAAACCGTTTGTGATAGACACAATCTTTTTAATTGAAAATGTTCTAAATGATAAAGCCCATTAAATGAAATACAGGGTTAGTCCCCAGGGGTCACCCCCACCCCCTGCCATTTAAGAAAGTTCTAATACCTGGTAAGTAGTAAAGATCCCCACCCCTAAACCATATATATTCTGGTTTGTCATGCTAAGATGGTTTGAATGATATACAGGGTTAGTCCCCAGGGGTCATCCCGACCCCCTGCCATTTGAGAAAGTTCTTATATCTTGTAAATGGTCGAGATCCCCACCCCTAAACCATATATATTCTGGTTTGTCATGATAAAGCACATCAAATGAAATACAGGGTTAGTCCCCAGGGGTCACCCCCACCCCCTGCCATTTAAGAAAGTTCTAATATCTTCTAAGTGGTCAAGATCCCCACCCCTAAACCATATATATTCTGGTTTGTCATGCTAAGATGGTTTGAATGATATACAGGGTTAGTCCCCAGGGGTCATCCCGACCCCCTGCCATTTGAGAAAGTTCTAATATCTTGTAAATGGTCGAGATCCCCACCCCTAAACCATATATATTCTGGTTTGTCATGATAAAGCACATCAAATGAAATACAGGGTTAGTCCCCAGGGGTCACCCCCACCCCCTGCCATTTAAGAAAGTTCTAATATCTTGTAAGTGGTCAAGATCCCCACCCCTAAACCATATATATTCTGGTTTGTCATGCTAAGATGGTTTGAATGATATACAGGGTTAGTCCCAAGGGGTCATCCCGACCCCCTGCCATTTGAGAAAGTTCTAATATCTTGTAAATGGTCGAGATCCCCACCCCTAAACCATATATATTCTGGTTTGTCATGATAAAGCACATCAAATGTTATACAGGGTTAGTCCCCAGGGGTCACCCCCACCCCCTGCCATTTAAGAAAGTTCTAATATCTTGTAAGTGGTCAAGATCCCCACCCCTAAACCATATATATTCTGGTTTGTCATGCTAAGATGGTTTGAATGATATACAGGGTTAGTCCCCAGGGGTCATCCCGACCCCCTGCCATTTGAGAAAGTTTCTAATATCTTGTAAATGGTCGAGATCCCCACCCCTAAACCATATATATTCTGGTTTGTCATGATAAAGCACATCAAATGAAATACAGGGTTAGTCCCCAGGGGTCACCCCCACCCCCTGCCATTTAAGAAAGTTCTAGTATCTTCTAAGTGGTCAAGATCCCCACCCCTAAACCATATATATATTCTGGTTTGTCATGCGAAGATGGTTTGAATGATATACAGGGTTAGTCCCCAGGGGTCATCCCGATCCCCTGCCATTTGAGAAAGTTCTAATATCTTGTAAATGGTTGAGATCCCCACCCCTAAACCATATATATTCCTATTTGTCATGTCTCGAACATTTGAATGACGTATACGGTCAGTCCCCAGGGGTTCCCCCCACCCCCAATGTTCTAATATCTTGTAAATGGTTGAGATCCCCACCCCTAAACCATATATATTCCTGTTCGTCATGTAATGAACATTTGAATGACGTATAGGGCCAGTCCCCAGGGGTTCCTCCCCACCCCCAATGTTCTAGTATCTTGTAAATGGTCGAGATCCCCACCCCTAAACCATATATATTCTGGTTTGTCATGCCAAGATGATTTGAATGATATACAAGGTTAGTCCCCAGGCATCACTAATGCATATAACTTTACTGGACCAAACCAATTTTCACTGGACGTTGCCCAATGTCAGGCGACCCTGGGAATTACGAATTATGGGAGCTTCGTTTGGGAGACTTCGTAACAGCATCCTGTTACAATCATTTCTTGTTGATTCTTGTGAGCACATCATGGACAAAGTATACCTGTTGATTGCTGATGAGACAGCTTTCAGGAAATCTACTTCAAAGAAAACATTTCACACCATTGGTTGAATTCAATTGTTTTGGAAGTTGTTAGCCAATCACAATGTTTTGGTATATGTTGTTAGCCAATCACAACGTTTTGATATATGTTGTTAGCCAATCACAACGTTTTGGTATATGTTGTTAGCCAATCACAATTTTTTGGTATAAGCTTTGGAAAATATTATCAAGAATGCATTAGATTCTGAAACAGCAAATTGCTGTCTTTGTTTTTGCAGCTGAATGTCTGTTGATATTTGTTTTGAATAATGTACTTTGTACATGTCATGATGCATTCAGGAGAGAAACAATTTAGAAATGGAAATTTTTTCATTGTCAGCTATAGTGTTGTATACATATGAAATGTGGTAGGCTGAAATTACTTGTACACTAACAAATTTATTTCAGGAGAGGGATTTAGCGCATGATAACATTTGTCTTAATATATTTTCTGGACCATTTTCAGTTCATTATTTTTTTGTTAGAATTCCAAATTTTAGGCAGTAATTTTCTGATAAAATGTGAAAAATACATTCATAACAGTATTAAGACTTTTTTCTGGTTTTTACTGTATTGAGATATTGTTGGTAGCTGTCTGATTGATGTCTACTTCATATCTGCTTTAATTAATATATTGATATGAAAAGTATTTTAACAGTATTTTTAAAAATCCTAAAATTAGAATTTTATCCCCTTTTAATATTTAGACCTCTGAGAGTGCAGTCATCACCTGGTACCAGAGGATCCAGTAATGACCAACAGAGACCAGTCACTGCTGCTGCTCTACCTTCCCAGAATACAACAGCTGCAACCACAACAACTACTACGGGGACTACAAGTACTACAGCAGGGGCTGCTGCTGCTACCTCCACAGGGGGCAGCAAAACACCTATACAACTCAGTGATTTACAGAATATATTGTCTAGTATGAATGGTAGGTTTTACTTTTTAATAGAAGAGGTCAAGGGCTGTCAAAGGGAGGGGGTTGAAACACATCAATTAACATTTGATGGGTGGTGATTAATTTAGAAAGACAGCATGAACAATTATAGCAAATAATCTTTTATTTTTTATGCATGGCGGGGTAAAATAAATAGTGCCTTCCAATCCCTCAATACATTTACTTCTTGAACAGCCCCAATGATAAAATATATGTGTATCATAGCAAAAGTAGATTAATTGCTGGTCTTTATTTGATAATTGCCTCAACTTGTTTATATGAAAGTGTTCAGTCTGAAGTTCTTTTAAAATCTCTGGATTTTAAATTGCAATTTTAACAGTATATTTTAATCTCTAAATTTTAAATTGATTAGAATTGAGATAGAGAATAGAATATGAAAGGAGATTTATGTATTTATAGTTTATTGATGGTTTTTCAAAGGAGAGGATTTTTCTCGGCTATAATCTCATCGAAAGGCGAAAGCCCTGAGAAGAGATGTGGCCAAGAAACATCCTCCATTTGAAAGACCATTGATAATCTGTTTGTCACTATTTTGCCTATGACTTCATTGATGTTTAAATTGACAAGGGCATGTGCACCCTTAGTTTCTATCAATAACTTTCAAATTCAAACGAGTAACATGATATGAAAAATTATCACAAAAAAAAAATCAAAAGAAAAATACACAAAATAGTGATAACAATGAGACAGCAATCTTACAACAAAATAAACCAGAAAAGACAGCAATCTTACAACATAATAAAACCAGAAAAGACAGCAATCTTACAACAAAATAAAACCAGAAAAGACAGCAATCTTACAACAAAATTTGACCATAAAAGACAGCAATCTTCCAACAAAATGAAACCAGAAAAGACATCTACTCAACGTACAGTTTTACAAAGTTATAATAATTAACCGAAACTTGATTAAAAGCCCTTCTAACAAAGATTTAACAATAGATGCATAAAGTTTTAATTACTTAAAATACACAGAAGAAAGTCAAGAACAAGACCATGGTTGCACATTGAACACTGAGCAAAAAATAATTGTTTGTTGCTTGTTCCCTGGAATACATATACCTAAACAATGTTTTGATGTTTTTTCAATCATTTCTAACTGATTTTTAATTTGCTACAGACTTCTGCATTATATTTTTTTTTATTTCAGTACCTACAACACCTAAAGAAAGTAAGTATAAAGTAAAATAACAAAAATACTGAACTCCAAGGACAATTCAAAACAGAAACAAATGGCAAAATTAAATGCTCAAACACATTAAACGAATGGAAAACAACTGCCATATGCCTGACTTGGTACAGGCATTTCCTTTTAGGAAGAAAATGGTGGATTAAACCTGGTTTATAGCTAGCTAAACCTCTCACTTGTATGACAGTTGTGTAAATTAAGTATATTAAAGTAATGTTACGCTCAAGATGAACAAATACAGTCTGTGAAAGTTATTTTATTTTAGACTTGAATTCATTTTAATGATGTCCGCTACTCTTTTTCAAAATAACAAGCTTTTTAAAAGACTGTTATTTATTGAAAGTATATGAATAAAGGAACTAAAAAAGCAGAAAACATTGGGTCCGTGTGCTTGTTTTTGAGATATAAGCCATTGAAAATTTGGCGGGAAATGATTATCTCTAGATTTTTCATACAATTTAACATTGGCACCTTTTTTCTTTCAAAAACTATGAAAAAATAAAGATTTTATAAGATTTTCAAATATGGCTTTTTAAACTATATGTAATAAAACTATGAAAAGAAAAGTAGGGGTTAGCGGGCAAAGTATTTATTAGCACTACATGGATAAAACCAGAGACATCCGAATATCTGACAAAAATTCAATACAAGAGGAGCGAACATCCTAAATGTTTTGTGGAATTTTTAATTAAGTCTTTCGTTTGGGAAGACTTATTGGTTTTGCTCAGTTCTTCTTCTTCTTCTTCTTCTTCTTCTTCTTCTTCTTCTTCTTCTTCTTCTTCTTCTTCTTCCGCCGCTTTTAAATTTGAACTTGTCCGCACCCGTTCTCTGAAACCGCTTGTCAGATTAACTTAGGGTTTCACAATATGTTAGACTAACATGTCTAGTGCTGCAATCAGGGTTTTGTTTGTGCAATGGGGTTTATAAAGGGGTACTTTGAGGGGCAAAAAGAAAGGAGGGTTTTACTATAGAACCCTATGGGATTTAATTTTTTTAAATTTTCAAATGATTATAAATTGAAAACCGTTTGTGATAGACACAATCTTTTTATTTGAAAATGTTCTAAATAATAAAGCACATTAAATGAAATACAGGGTTAATCCCCAAGGGTTCACCCCCACCCCCTGCCATTTAAGAAAGTTCTAATATTTTGTAAATGGTCGAGATCCCCACCCCTAAACCATATATATTCTGGTTTGTCATGATAAAGCACATCAAATGAAAAACAGGGTTAGTCCCCAGGGGTCACCCCCACCCCCTGCCATTTAAGAAAGTTCTAATATCTTGTAAGTGGTCAAGATCCCAACTCCTAATCCATATATATTCTGGTTTGTCATGCGAAGATGGTTTGAATGATATACAGGGTTAGTCCCCAGGGGTCATCCCGACCCCCTGCCATTTGAGAAAGTTCTAATATCTTGTAAATGGTCGAGATCCCCACCCCTAAACCATATATATTCTGGTTTGTCATGATAAAGCACATCAAATGAAAAACAGGGTTAGTCCCCAGGGGTCACCCCCACCCCCTGCCATTTAAGAAAGTTCTAATATCTTGTAAGTGGTCAAGATCCCATCTCCTAATCCATATATATTCTGGTTTGTCATGCGAAGATGGTTTGTATGATATACAGGGTTAGTCCCAAGGGGTCATCCCGACCCCCTGCCATTTGAGAAAGTTCTAATATCTTGTAAATGGTCGAGATCCCCACCCCTAAACCATATATATTCTGGTTTGTCATGATAAAGCACATCAAATGAAAAACAGGGTTAGTCCCCCAGAAGTCACCCCCACCCCCTGCCATTTAAGAAAGTTCTAATATCTTGTAAATGGTCGAGATCCCCACCCCTAAACCAAATATATTCTGGTTTGTCATGATAAAGCACATCAAATGAAAAACAGGGTTAGTCCCCAGGGGTCACCCCCACCCCCTGCCATTTAAGAAAGTTCTAATATCTTGTAAGTGGTCAAGATCCCAACCCCTAATCCATATATATTCTGGTTTGTCATGCGAAGATGGTTTGAATGATATACAGGGTTAGTCCCCAGGGGTCATTCCGACCCCCTGCCATTTGAGAAAGTTCTCAAATAAGTAAACCATATATATTCCTGTTCGTCATGTCTCGAACATTTGCATGACGTATAGGGTCAGTCCCCAGAGGTTCCCCCCACCCCCAATGTTCTAGTATCTTGTAAATGGTCGAGATCCCCACCCCTAAACCATATATATTCCTGTTCGTCATGTCTCGAACATTTGAATGACGTATAGAGTCAGTCCCCAGAGGTTCCCCCCACCCCCAATGTTCTAGTATCTTGTAAATGGTCGAGATCCCCACCCCTAAACCATATATATTCTGGTTTGTCATGCCAAGATGATTTGAATGATATACAGGGTTAGTCCCCATCCATCACTAATGCATATAAATTTACTGGACCAAACCAATTTTCACTGGACTTTGTCCAATATCAGGCGACCCTGGGAATTACGAATTATGGGAGCTTCGTTTGGGAGACTTCGTAACAGCATCCTGTTACAATCATTTCTTGTTGTTGTTTGGCATATACACAGACAGATTACCTTTGTATCCTGGCTTACATTAGCTAGATAGTCAAAGAAAATAATATTAACGTAATATAAAATGATTATGCATAAGTGCGAATTTGTAAAGCCTAAAAAATTGGAGTTTGATATCTATTGTTTTCCACAATATTTAAGTTTAAAACAACAATACCAGGTAGATAGAGAACTCTTTATTGTGTATGCAAATAATGTTTTGATATTTATAGAACAATTAATCCAAGAGTTCAAATATAGAAAAGTATTTAATGAATGACTGAATAACACATTAATTCATGAATGTGGGTACATGTAGGGCATGAGTTAATTATTAGTGTTGTTCTGTCACAAGTATAAATATTCTTTTTATTACATGAAACTATGGACTTTGTAATGGAAATAAAGTAGAAAATGAAAGGAACTATGTCTGCAACGTCAACGACAACTTCTTATGACGTCAGAGTTAAATTATCAGTCAGAGCTCAGACATAAATAAGTCTATATCTGCTTTTGACTCATTGAGGTCTAAATTTGAAGGTTTCAAGATTTATCTCCCTTTAATTTAAGACAAATTATGACTTCAATAAGTCAATTAGTGTTAAGCAAGAAATATTTGACCTGAATTAAAAAGTTGCAAAAATTGACTCCTTCAAGTCAATAAGTTACCAAAATTGGTAAACTTCAAGACCCATGCATATTTATAAAAAGGTCATGCATCTACATGAAATTATGACAATGTTGAAAGACAATGCTTTGTCTTCTAAGGAAAAATATGCATGAGAGCCTAAAAAAACGGAGATAATGTTTATTAACTTTACAATGCAACCATCTGTAATCACACAAAATGAGGAAAATAATCTATGTTAAGTAAAAATGTGCAATTAGATGATTAAATATAAATAGCTTAGGTCCTTGTGAACTCTCAGACAGGTTTAGGATGTCATAGGTGGTGCAGTTTGGCTACCAATTAAAATTAAGTCTTTTCATAAACATAAATAGACCTAAACAAGTCTGTCATTTTCAGACTTAAATAAGTCTGAAAATGAAAGTACATTTTTATAGTAAATACATTTTTGGACTTATGCAAGTCAAAAACAAAAATCGACTTGTTTATGTCTGAGCTCTGACTGATTATCGGCTTTTATTTTACTCGGAAATGATGATAATTTATTGCAACCAATGTAATAATAATGTATATCAATTATTGCAAGAGAATCAACTATTTTCTCAATATATTTATTGAAATCATCGAGAAGAGACTAGTCACCTATGAAAGTGTAAACATCACAATAAGTATACAAAACCATTTCCTTGCATTTATATTCAAAACTTCAAATTGCATTAACAGTAACAGTTAGCATTTCGATTTTACCAAAATTTCTTTATGCATACTTTCTACTTTCTTACATTTCCATGATAAAATAGATTAACCATATATTTAAATAGCATATCTGATGTTTATATTCTCTTATTTTTTTTAGGTGTAGATTTAGTTCAGGCTTTAAATCCTGAGTCAATGATTCCAATCCTTGCCAACGCAGAGGTCCAGGAGAGACTAGTCAAATTTCTGCCAGAGGGTGAAACACTACCCAAAACAGAACAGGAACTGAGAAACACTATCCAGTCACCTCAATTCCAACAGGTAAGTTTTGAGGGAGTGGGGAGGAAAAAAAGGACAGGAACTGAGAAACACTATCCAGTCACCTCAATTCCAACAGGTTAGATTTGAGTGGGGGGGGGGAGGAAAAAAACAGGTAAGTTATGAGTGGGGGTGGGGAGGGAAAAACAGGACAGGAACTGAGAAACACTATCCAGTCACCTCAATTCCAACAGGTAAGTTTTGAGGGGGTGGGGAGGCAAAAAACAGGACAGGAACTGAGAAACACTATCCAGTCACCTCACTTCCAACAGGTAAGTTATGAGTGGGGGTGGGGAGGGAAAAAACAGGAAACACTACCCAAAACAGAACAGGAACTAAGAAACACTATCCAGTCACCTCAATTCCAACAGGTAAGTTTTGAGAGGGGTGGGGAGGGAAAAAAAGGAAACACTACCTAAAACAGAACAGGAACTCAGAAACATTATCCAGTCACCTCCAACAGGTAAGTTTTGAGAGGGGGTAGGGAGGGAAAAAAACAGGAAACACAGTCATAGGTCCCAAGAAAAAAAACTGCAAAAATTCCTGAAGGGATTCATGATTAACACAGAGCAAATGATAAAGAGACAGGGAACAAACCCAGTTAGTGAAGAGCAACTGTCAACTTTCTGTCTGAAGAAAAGTTATTACCATACAGTCAACAATTCTGCATGGTAAGGTTTTATTGAATGGAATTTAACAAACCAATAGATCTGGGATAACTTTTTCAAATTTTACATTAAACCTTGATTTGACATAAAAGACGGGGTGAAGGACAATAGTTTCATATTGACTTTAGACTCTAGAGTGTATTATTTTTAGACAAGTTACCTTCTTTGTGGAAGGACATTCTGGTACTCTGTCAAGTAAGAGCAACTAAAAAAAGTAAAATCAGTGCAACTTGGGGGATAATAGCTGTTTTCCAATGTTTTTGTCTTGTAAAGAAAACATAAAACAGTTAATTTTCCCCCCAAATTACACCTATTGTAATCTTGATTTTACTTCTTTTAGTTGACATGTCACAACAGGTTTTTCATTGAAATACTTAAAAGAAGCAAATACAAAATGAAGGAGAAAAGCAAAATGAATTTTAATAAACAAGCCAAATACACTGAGAATTAAGAAACCAGAAATAGTTATAATTTAAACAAAGAAGGTATTGATATGCAAGGATTTAGTATTATTTTCTAAAGTATAAATAAACTGTTATCTTTGTAGGCATTGTCATCGTTTAGTGCTGCATTGCTGTCAGGACAGTTAGGTCCTCTGATGTCACAGTTTGGTCTCGGTGAAGATGTGGCCAATGCTGCAGCTCAGGGAGGTAGGTGTACAATATTTATATACTCATCACCTGGGGAAAGAGGGTTTGGGGGAGGGGGAATGACCGTAAGACAACCTCCTTAGATATTAAGGGTAATAGCCATATATCAAAATATCAATGCTTTTATTGCTGTTCTGCATCTTGACAAGTCTGAAAGGTCTGTTGCTACTGTGTTAGTTATTTTATTTGTAGTTCATCAAAAGCAGAACAAATAATACACAGATTAAATGTCTTCCACTGTCACTCCTATATTTGTTATGTTCATAGACTGCATCAATGACTTAAAATAACCCATGGATGAACCAATTAATTGATCATTAACCATGCAAAAACTTTATATTTCTCATTCAGTACTGAAGTTTTGGTTTGTAATGGATTTTAGTGCAGAGTTTATATAAAATTAGGGAGTGGTATAATTAGCATTGAGTCAACAAATTAATAGGAATAGAAGGTGAATATCTACAGGGCAAGTTTACACATCTACAGGGCAAGTTTACACATCTACAGGTCAAGTTTACACATGTATAGGTCAAGTTTACACATCTACAGGTCAAGTTTACACATGTACAGGTCAAGTTTACACATGTATAGATCAAGTTTACACATCTACAGGTCAAGTTTACACATGTACAGGTCAAGTTTACACATGTATAGGTCAAGTTTACACATGTATAGGTCAAGTTTACACATGTATAGGTCAAGTTTACACATCTACAGGTCAAGTTTACACATGTATAGGTCAAGTTTACACATGTATAGGTCATGTTTTCACATCTACAGGTCAAGATTACACATCTACAGGTCAAGTTTACACGTCTACATGTAACATTTACACATCTACAGGTCAAGTTTACACATCTACATGTAGTATTTACACATCTACAGGTCAAGTTTACACATCTACAGATCAACTTTACACATCTACATGTAGCATTTACACATCTACAGGTCAAGATTACACATCTACAGGTCAAGTTTACACATCTACGGATCAACTTTACACATCTACATGCAGCATTTACACATCTACAGGTCAAGTTTACACATCTACATGTAACATTTACACATCTACAGGTCAAGTTTACACATCTACATGTAGCATTTACACATCTACAGGTCAAGTTCAAGTTTACACATCTACATGTTCGGTTTACAAATCAAAAGATAGTATTTTTTTTTACATCTACAGGTAGAGTTAATTGAAATGATGTGAACAAAGTTTTGTTGTTAATTGTATGGAAACTTTGAAGTGTAGTTCCATTATGTTTTTACATTTGTCATCATGATGGTTTAAAAGAATGTTGGTTATATTAATGAGATATTTTATTTTGTAGACCTTATGACCTTTGTTTAAGTTATGCAAGAACAGCTAATATTATTGGACTATTTTATTTTGTAGACCTTGGAGCCTTCGTTAAAGCTATGCAAGAACAGCAAAAGAAAAAAGATTCAGACGATGATAAGATGGACACTAAATAATTTTGTTGATGTTTTGGTTACAAGCTTTCTTTAACATGTGCGTTTATATTTCATAATAGAATGCTAGATAACAGCTACTTGTACTGTATGAATCAAGAGATTCATTTTCCGTATCAGTATCTAATATATCGTCAACTATGATTCAAATATTTTCCTTTTTTATGCACTCAAATGTTCTAGTCTTATGAAGTAAAAATGTTTATTTTCAGTCGTCGGATGTTAAAATGTTCATAGTTTTTTTTCAAACCTGATTTTAAGCATTGGTACATACTAATTACTGTCTGTTGTGTTTAGAAAATGAAAATAACTTAAATTAAATGAAATTACAAATTAGTTTTCAGACACTTAAAGTTTCATGGGAAGGCTTTATAAATTTTAAATATTTAGTATTAAAATCATCTTCATATTTCATGACAGTCTATTCAGAAAATCTTTGTTACATTCTTTTATAGTAATAGCAAGTCTGAGAAAATACAGAATTGACCTTTTTCTGGAAGTAACATAGATTACCTCCCTTTGACCAGTTTGTTTTTATTGGCTTTGTCCTGTAGTCACTGTTGTCAATACATCTCAGAAAAGTTTGTTGTTAATTTATTCTTAAATACTTAAAATAATTTCATATGAAAAAAGTAAAAATCAAGACCACTTTGTTTAATTGTAGGATAATAACTGTTTCTTATTAAAATATTTGTACTCATTCAAGAAATTGAAATATTTTTAACTTTTAATAAATTGTATTCTGAGACTTTTTTGCCATGTTATAAACAAATACTCAATACTTGTAAACAAATTCATTACAATTTAAGTAGACGCATTTATGAAGAAATAAATATAAATTTGTTTAATAAATGTCTTTCTTATTGTGTTACCAAAATTGAAAAATGATCATAATTTCCACACACTTAGGGCTATTCCATTAAAATGTATGTGGGAGGGTAGGAAGGGAAGTTTAATCATTGAATGTGGGTCATGGGTCTTTTTTCAGTATGCGTCCATTACCATTATGCAAAATTATCTAAAAAATGGTTCTTGGTTGTAGGGATATTTTGAAAGTCCCTTCCTACCCTCCCACATACATTTTAATGGAATAGCCCTTACCCAAGTCGGTAAATGATAAACCTCAAGGTCTGATAGTCAGCAGTTTATACCTAGTGCTTAATACTGGATTAGTCTTTATCAGCTACACTCAAGACCACAAAACTCAGGAAAGAATTTACAAGATTTTTTTGAGAATACACATTAAAATAGTCTATATAAAAGGACGGAAACTCGAAGGTCAATTTGGTCTCAAGTTTGGAGTTAGTTATGGCTATTTAAATTTAATTGACAAACAATGTTTACACATTTTGATATCTAAACGTGAATTGAACTTAACATAGTGTATTTTCTAGGTCAATGTTACACGTTGTTCAACCACCTCATTGTCAAAACTAGATATCATGTATGACTTTAATCTTAAATGTTCAGGTTTTAGAGAAAATGTCTGATTCACCTAGCAATAGTGATTGTTGTTTGATGTCAGGAGGTCAAGGATCACTTAAACAAGAGAAATGTCAAAGAGACCCAAATAGTGATAGGTTTATTGAGGTTTATTCTGGGTTGTGTCAGACTTTCAAATCCCAGTAAAGATGAGCTTTGCAAACATGTTTCACCCACCACAAATTTGTAGGAGACTGCAACTTAGTGTTAGTCATCAGTTGCTTTCAGTCATATTTGTTATGCCCCCACTGGTAGGCTGATGGGGTATGATGTGTTACGCTTGACCGTCCATCCTTTTGTCCGTCCCATTTTCGTTTCAGCACTTTAACTTAAGTTTGCCTCATGCAAATCTTATGAAACTCATACACAATGCTAAGAACCAAAACTAGCAGACAGAGATTGAATTTGGGCAGTGAGTCATTTACCGTTCTAGAGTTATGCCCCTTTTTAACTTGGTAAATTGCAAAGCTTGAGCGGGGGCATTCATGGCCTCTAACACATTCTTCTTTTATTGCTTATTGTTTCATCATAAATCTGGATGTTGGTTTTATTGTTTTACATTTTTTCATATCGGGGCATTTTATAACTTACTATACATGATTTAGTCACAAGGTACTTTATCTAATCTGGAAACCAAGGAAATCCCAATTTTACAGGTTAGAAAGGGCATACAATTAATGAGAATGTTGAAGGCTGTACAGTGACCTATAGTTGTTTGTGTCTGTCAATTGGTCTCTGGTGTAGAGTTGTTTCATTGGCAATCATACCACATCTTATTTTTATAATTCAAACCAATAAAATAATACTTTATCTGTAATTTATGGTCCATGGCATTGTGTTCAAATTTCAAAAGTTAAGTTATAGGGTACTTTGTCAACCAGAAACCAAAATGTGATGGAGGGACAAGCAGACATCACTATTTACCTCTCCTCTTCGAGGCCAGGGTATAATAATTGAAGCAAATGATGTAAATTGCAGTCGGGGAAAGAGTGATTTGATGTATTTATTCTTGATATCCAAAAGAACAGTACTTTTATTGTTGTTCTTCATCTTAAGGGCAAAATGAGGTCTTAAACATGGAGCAAGAGCTTGCACCCGATTTTAATTTCTGGATTGCTCCTAGACAATAATCAGAGCAGAACTCTTTAATAAACATTGACAATGCTAAATTTTTACATTTAAGAACAATTATCCATGCTGAAATGTCTTTTCTGCTATACTTAACAGAACTGAATGAAATTCAGTCTTAAAGAAAAAGCTTATATATGTACTACAATTATCATATAAAACTAATATTTTCAATGATCCATGTAATTCAGGTCAAGGTCAGATGAACCCTGAAAGACAGACATGTATGTCTTAAAATCATACCGTACTGACCTTTGAACAATAAAAATGAGGTCAACATTAGATGATCTAGCCAAATGGACATGTACACCTTATGATCAATCCATACACCAAATTAAATTGACTTATTGCTATCATTACCCAAGAAACAGATCTTACCAGGAAAACTTAACATTCACCTATGAACCATGAAAATGAAATCAATGTCAAAATACATGTACACCTTACATACATTCCAAACACAAAATGTAGTTGACCTATTCCATATAGTTTCTGAAAAAAGAGCAAGGTCAGATAAAACCAGCAACTGACATACACATTACAATCATTCCATACACCATATACGGTACCTACTGCTAAAGTAACCAAGAAACTTACTTGACCACGAAAACTCAACCTTGATCCCTGAACCCTGAAAAGACCTTGCACAGAACCGATATACCAAATTTTTTTATCTTATTTCTCATAGTAAGCGAGACATTCACTTGACTTAAAATTTGTAAGGGTTCCGCGGAACCCAGTGTCTCACCTACTTTTGCTGTTAATCACAGGCTCAACAAAAATGAGGAAAAAAATCAATAAAAATATTCCTTTAGATACTATCTTTAGATTGTAAGAAGCTTCTGTCAAAATTTGGTATAAATCCAGGATAGTTTATGAATCTAATAAATGTTTTAAAAACTTTAACTGCAGACTGTATTTAATGTTAACTGGATGAAAAACTAAGTCCATTTGTAAGTAAAATACGGATAAACAGGTACAACATTTTATCAAAATTTCCCTCTTGATACTAGCTTTTGATCATAAACAAGCTTCTGTCCAAGTTTGGTACAAATCCAGGATAGTTTAAGAAAGTTATTAAAATTTTAAAAACTTTAACCACAGAGTGAATGTATTGTTTCCTGGCAGAAAAACTAAGTCCATTTATAAGTAAAATACGGAAAAAATGAAAAAATGTTTTAACAAATTTACTTCTGAATACTATCTTATGATCATAAACAAGCTTCTGTCCAAGTTTGGTATAAATCCAGGATAGTTAAAGAAAGTTATTAAAATTTTAAAAACTTTAACCACAGAGTGAATGTAATGTTTCCTGGCAGAAAAACTTAAGTCCATTTACAAGTAAAATACGGAAAAACAGGAATTTTATTTTTACAAAATTTACTTCTGGATACAATCTTATGATCATAAACAAGCTTCTGTCCAAGTTTGGTACAAATCCAGGATAGTTTAAGAAAGTTATTAAAATTTCAAAAACTTTAACCACAGAGTGAATATTTGTGGACGCGGCCGCCGCCGCCGCCGACGGAATGTAGGATCGCTATGTCTCGCTTTTTCGATTAAAGTCGGATGCTCGACAAAAACACCTAGTTTTTTAAGCAGTCGTTGAACCATGAAAATGAGGTCAAGGACAATGGACATATGACAGCTGGAAACTTAGTAACACAAGGCATCTGTAAGCAAGATATGAGGCATCCAGGGGCCGGTATCATGAAGCAATCTTAGTGCTTAAGATCATCTTATCTGCTAAGAGTGTATTTTGAAGTAATCTTAGAATGATTGACAGCCCTTAAAATTCATGTTGCACTCCCAACCCTAAGAGTACTCTTTATCCTCCTCGGAACGCTCTCTTAGTTTTAATCTTATCGACTGGGTATCTCGAACGTTGATAATCAACTTAAGATCGTCTTTGATTACTCTCAGCAAATTTTAAGTGTATCAGCATTCTTTTTTTATGGAAAACTTAACAGAAAATTCTAAGAGTGGTCAGGGGCACCCCTATCTCTCTCTTACTTGATAAAATGTCGCTCTTGCATGTGCGTTTAAGAAAACAAAATAGGATATCCAAAAGGATCCTTGAGATCGAACAAATCCATTGGATTTCCTAAACAATCGTAGGATTGTCCATGATTAAAGAATCTTAAAATGTTCCGATTAACTGCATTTTGTTCTACTGAATAGCTGTCAGCATTGTTTCCAATTCATCTTTGTTAAAGTTGGCTTTTCTTATAAAAATAAGGAGATGTGGTATGATTCAGATTGCCAATGAGACAACTATCTACCAAAGTTCAAATGAAGTGGATGTTAGGAATTATAGGTAACTGTACGGCCTTCAATAATGAGACATGAAAAATATCAAACAATTCAATTTAGAAAACCAACGGCCTAATTCATTACAAAACAATTTACAAAATAAAATGCTCCGCAGGGCGCAGCTTGATACGACCGCAGAGGTCGAACCCTGAACAGTTGGGGCAAGTATGGACACAACATTCAAGCTTGATACAGCTTTGCATTTGGATTGTGATTAAATATTTGACACAGCATAGGTTTCTGACACAGAATGAATGTAGTCTAAGAACTTAAAAATTTTAAATTGGACATTCACCTATTATGGTCCAATATCCAAAATCTAAATACATGGTTAGATTCAGCATATCAAAGAACCCCAAGAATTCAATTTTTGACGAAATCAAACAAAGTTTAATTTTGGACCCTTTTGACCTCAATGTGGACAAAGTTGATAACGGGGCCCAAAAATCAAAATACATGGTTAGATTCGGCATATCAAAGAACCCCAATAATTCAATTTTTGATGAAATCAAACAAAGTTTAATTTTGGACCCTTTGGACCTCAATGTGGAGCAATTTAAAAACGGGGCCCAAAATCCAAAAACTAAATACACGGTTAGATTCAGCATATTAAAGAACCCCAAGAATTCAAGAATAAAACCCCATTGAAATTGGTCAAGAAATAAGCAATTTATACGTAGTATCTTCTTTTGCACAATACTGTGCAATTAAATATTTCTTGCTATTGTGCAATACTGTACAATTGACAATTTCTTGCTATTGCGCAATATTGTGCTATTGGATATTTCTTGCTATTGCGCAATACTGTGCAATTGAAGATTTCTTGCTATTGCGCAATACTGTACAATTGACAATTTCTTGCTATTGGGCAATATTGTGCTATTGGATATTTCTTGCTATTGCGCAATACTGTGCAATTGAAGATTTCTTGCTATTGCGCAATACTGTGCAATTGAAGATTTCTTGCTATTGTGCAATACTGTGCAATTGAAAATTTCTTGCTATTGCACAATACTTATTATATAATAATTCACACATCCTGTTTGGTGTGTATCTCCTACCATATCATTATTATTTGCTTTTAAATATAAATCAGAAATAACCAACTTAAAATGGAAAATTTTAAAAGAAAAAAAAAGGAAAAAAAGAAAAAAAAAAGGAAAAAAAAAAAATCCCCCGCCCCAAATTTTTTGAACCCCCTTATGATTCATCACCCCCAAACTCAATCCCAGCCTTCCCTTTGTGGTATGGTACCTTGCAGTACAATTTCAGAGAGATCCATACACTTGAACACAAGTTATTGTCTGGAAACTAGAAAAATGTGTTTTTTGGCCCCTTTTTGGCCCCTAATTCCTAAATGTTTAGGGCAATTACCCCCAAACTCAAACCCAGCTTTCCCTTTGTGATATGGAACCTTGTAGTACAATTTCAGAAATATCCAAACACTTACACACAAGTTATTGTCATGAAACTAGAAAAATGCTTGTTTTTTGCCCCTTTTTTGGCCCCCAATTCCTAAAATTTTGAGGCAATTACCCCCAAAATCAATTACAGCCTTCCCTTAGTGATATGGAATCTTGTGGTACAATGTCAGAGAGATCCATACACTTACACACAAGTTATTGTCTGGAAGTTACAAAAGTGCTTATTTTTGGCCCCTTTTTGGCCCCTAATTCCTTAACTGTTGGTACCCTAACCCCCAAAATCAATCCCAACCTTCCTTTCGTGGTATTGAACCTTATGGTAAAATTTCATGGAGATTCATTAACTTAAACTAAAGTTAGAGTGAGAAAACCAATGTGTCTTCGGACGACGCCGGACAACGCCGCCGACGACGACGCCAACGTCATACCAATATACGACCAAAAAATTTTCAATTTTTGCGGTCGTATAAAAATCAGTTGGAAAGGGCTTAACTCATCAGATCGATACAAAGCAGAAAAAAACATCTAACAAAAAACAAAGCGGAAGTGGCAGAGTATTTATACATCCATAACAACAAAAAAGACACAAAGTACAGATCTAAGAGTACCCACAGCTACTAACAGCTAGTTCAAAGGCATGTATCATGTATCTAAGACTTAAAATCGAAAATATTTCATCAGGATTCCAGGTTATCAATCACTACACACCCAACATCCAATGGATTTAGTGTAAAAAACGTCATTAACAGTCAGAGAAAAACATGACCTTGTGCAATGCCAAAATATAGGTATCAACAGATTGTAGTATCGTGAAAGTACATATGTGTATAACAATAATATAAAAGGCCCCGACATGAAAAATGTGAAACAATTCAATTGAGTAACCTATAAACGGCCTAATTTACAACAGCAATTTACGAAAAACACATATGACAGACATGAACCAACGACAACCATATGAGACAACCACTTAATTACAGGCTTGGGATAGGTACATATAGAATGTGATGGGGTTAATAGATATAAGAAGATGAGGTATGAGTGCCAATGAGACAACTCTCCATCCAAGTCACAATTTATAAAATTAAACCTTTATAGGTCAAAGTACGGCCTTCAACATGTTTGAAGGCGCTAACCCTCTTCGAACTTTGGACAGTGGTATAACAGTTCAATATAAGAATAAACTATAAAAATCAAGTACTTAATTAAAGTATGTTTTTCAGGCGATCTATTAAACACACAGATGACTTTTACTATCGATGTTGCCACGAATTCTAATATTCTCTTCAAAAATCAAAGGCATTACCTTCGGAAAGTCGATAAGAGAGCTATCTTAACTCACAGTCGTAAGTGTATGCTAAGACAGCCGTAAAATTGTTAAGAGTAATAAATAAGGGGATTGGAGATACGCTCTTAGCGCTATCGTAACGTTCTCGTAAAGTGTTCGTAAGTTTTCTCTTAAATGAAACTTAAGATAGGTTTTCATGATACTGGCCCATGGTCTCCTACCCTCTGAAATATAAAGCTAAATACAAATTGTTTATGCTGCCTCCAGATTGTAATTCCTATGTCTTGTATTCTGTGACTTTTGCTTTTGCGAGGGGAAAATAAAAAATTGAGCTGGCAAATAAAACTTATGAATACAGGTATAATTCCCGGTCTAAATCATTGTAAAATATAGAAGTGTTTCATTGGATTGCAGTCTGATTGACATGTACCTAATATTCATATACAAAACTAAATATTTAGACAATGAATGCCCTCATCAACACCATTTCAAAACATGTAGACAACCAATGCTCTTATCAAGATATTTGTTATATCAACTTGTCAAATCTGCACTTGTTTTTTTAATAGGCTTGTCTGTTTCAATCTTACATATAAAACTCAACACAACTTTCACTTTTTTATGTTTTTTTTATAATTTTTTTTCATTTTCACAAATAAGATTATTAGCAGTGGGTTCTTCCTCGCAAGTTTAAGAAATACAAATAATAAAGTTACAATACAAAAACCCACTTAATGAGAAAATCAAACCACGTTTCCCCTACCCCCAATCTATCCAATTAACAAACCAACTTTTCAACAAAAGAATATAATTTGACGTCAAAATTTTTCACAGCCGTAATTTAACATATCAATACACGCGTACGTGCAGAAGTCATGTGACTTGCCCCTGTTTAAAATAAATATCGTATGATTGACAAGGGTGGTAACTCTTTAACAAACTATATAATTGACGGCCACTTGTATGTCATACAATCTTTACTTAAACAGGAACAAGAACTGGTGAATAAGTTGGTTTGTAATGTATGATTATTTCCTTCTCAAATGATTTAAATTAGCACAATGATAACTAACATACATCAACAAGTGGTCATGTGATAAGGAAATACCTAAGATCACATGATTTCTTAAAATAGGAATTGTGGTCATGTGACAAGGAAATACCTAAGATCAAATGATTTCTTAAAATAGGAATAGTGGTCATGTGACAAGGAAATACCTAACATCACATGATTTCTTAAAATAGGAATAGTGGTCATGTGACAAGGAAATACCAAAGATCACATGATTTCTATAAATAGGAATATGTGTAAGAAGGTGCTGTAAGTCACTAATGCTTTTGGTAATTTTCAAGTGTATAAAACATTCCAATATAAAGTTAATTCATACAAACTTATTCCAAGAGATCATTTGACTAATAAATTAATTGTAATTTTGACATGGTTGGATTTCCTCAGAAAAATGCAACAAAATAACTGACAATTTCCATGGAGACATTCTTCAAATTATAAAACAATCAGGTCAATAATTAACATTTTTGAACAGTAAAATATTCAGGATTTTTAAACTAGAGATAAAGTGTTAACTCCCTTAGGTGTTATGTTACTAGGAATATTCAAATATAAAAGTGGAATAACTTGCATCTTCACAAATATTTTACAATTCTAAAAAAAAAGTTAAATTTCAATTTATGATTGTAATGACACGATGCCATAATTTTGGTTTTTGCTGATTTGAAAATGTCACCTCAGCAAAAAACTGTAAGGGCAGTTCTATCAAAACAAACATGTTACCTAGAGAAGGCACTTTGAAAATGGAGTAACCATATATAGAGGAAAAATTTAGAATTTGTTCTACACTTTCACTGTACAAAAAAGCTCATCCATAGTTAAAGATTTTAAAGTGCCTTCCCTGGGTCCCATGTATGATTTTGAAGTGCCTTCCCTGGGTCCCATGTGTGTTTGTATAGAACAGCCATAATTGTTAATTTGAAGACGTCTCCTATATGCCATACAGTTTATACTAAAAAGATATATTATGATTATACATGAAGACAACATTTCAAAGTTGATGTAAAGAAAAAAAATCACAAAGACATGAATACTTATTATTTTGATACAAATGTACTAAGAATGCTATAGTCAAGAGCAAAAAATACAAAAAACTTTCTGGAATATGTTACAAATTCATCCTTCAATTCATTAAATGTTACAATATAAAAATTCTTTTCTCTACATTTTATACTTTTTGCTGCATTCATTTTGACTTTTTCTGTAAAATTATATTTTCTTTTTTAAGAGTTCATTAATTTATAGTTCGTCTTTATCCAATGAACACATGAAAGTTACAAAAAAAAAATTTCAAAGTGCTTGGTTTTTTTTTTAACTTCCCATAACTATTCACAGTTCACTTTCTAAAATGACTTACAAAAGGAGTACTAAAGCCCTTTTACGGCTGGAATACAGTTTTGAGAAAGTCCATATATACACATGTTATTTCATGTTCCCTTTTCTATTTAATACCTGTTGACAAACACATCGAATATATTGCAAACAAAATAAATCAGTGTGTTTTAACTATAACAATATTTTCCTATATTATACATGAATTTGTACATTTACATTCTACAAAGAATCAAAAGTGTATTCCTTAAATTTCAGAAACATATTTTTAATGAAATGAACTTCCCAAAAAAAATCCACTTCTAATAAAAATGGACTTCATCAAGAAAGACCTTTCCGAATAAAAATTACAATTTCCAAAATATTTTCAATTTATAACAACCCATAGAAGGACATTTAAACTACAAGAGTTATTGGACTTGTTGCCTAGTTACATAAAACATTGTTGTCTTCACATGTATTCATTACAGAGTTCCCACCCAAACTTTGAAGAAAATATTCATCACAACAATTTCAAGAGTTACCCAAAATATTTGATTTTCTGTTCAATTTATTAAGATCTAAACCAATAAATACCTTCCCTGTAATCTGAGATCGTTAAAAAATCTAAACTCATTAACGACAGGGAGAACTATTGATCATAATGTTGGCCATCTTTGTCAACAAATTAAATTAATATCTAAGAAGGTAGACCTAGGTTTATAAGGGGCACAACTCTTTAAAATCTCTTTTAAGTTTGTAGCATCTATTATCATACATATATTTTAAGCTTCTATGTAACACAGATTATTCTTATTCTGTATCACACAAATGCTTAAAATACCATTGTCGAAACTGCCTACTACAAACACATGACTGATGTAAAGAGTTATCTCCATTGACTTAAAACAGTAGAAAATAGAGAACGTTAGGGACCAGTTTTTGCACATAAATGCTAGGGCTGTAAATGGTATGATAAAAATTTACAAAGAGAAAAAAAAAGGAAAATGCTCTCTTATGCAACAACTGGTTCCAACATGTAAAATTCCACTAACAGTTACCAGTAAATCAACAATCATAATTTGCAGTCATTTTTCAAAGTCTATAATAAAGCAGTAAAACATCAATCTTGAACAAATTGTGAAGATTAAAATTAGCATTGTTATTCTTCAAATTGGGTAGGTCAAAGGTCATCAATGTGTCTACATCGGGCCAACCCGACCAGGGGCACCACCGAGTGTTGAGTTGGTAAGTTGATCACTGGTCTTCATATGTGGGCTGAAATATAAAACTCATGTTATATACAAACGGTGAACTGTTAGGCAGAATATTTTCACAAATAAAAATTCATCACACATTTACACTTTCAATTATTCTGGATTATTGAGATAAGGGGGGTATAAATACTTGATTTTGTTCTATTGGCAAATTCTGACCAAATATGTGAGTTAAGTTCCAATTGCTGTAAGGTTTGTTGTGATAAACTGGAAACCCCATTTCTCAATAATTTCAGTTTATTTCTTGTAGTCATGACCTTGACTTTGCAAGCAATCTCAAAATCAGTAGGGATTCTCTTCTCATTATGTGACCATGTATTCATGTAAGGTTCTGGAGTCATTATCTGGAATCAATTATTTCAGTCTATTATTTGTATCTATGACCTTGACCTAGGAGACAGTGTGTTAATAAATATGAATAGGAATCTGCAACTCATCATATCTGACTATGTATTTAAGTTTGTTTCATATCAAATGTAAGGTTTTAAGATAGATAAATCCAGAAATTCCTTTCCATGACTAATTTCAGTCTTTTTTTAGTAGCTGACCTTGACCTTTGAGGTAGTTACCACAAAAATTACTAGGAATCTTCCTCTCATTATATGTAACATATTACCAAGTAAGGTTGTAATATGATATAAAGTATTTGATTTATCATTAGGAAACCAAGCTGACTGACCAATGGGTAAAAAACTATCGCGGCTATTTTGTTACAATGGTAACTGTAAATTCAGATTTTTTCTGCAATTTTTAAAGAATGAACAAAAATGTGAGTTTAATTATTGCTATTTTAGGAAAAGCTACATACAGTTATATGTACCAGATATCATATAAAGTTCTTATTATTGCGAGTAGTATTATTTTTATTGATAAAAACCTTGCAATAATTTCTGAATTTACAGTATATAAATTTTAAGTAGCAGTATAATATATCAATTATAACATCATTCAAACACAGACATAATTTAGATGTACAAACATTGAAAATATAATTACTTTTGACTGTATGTCTTACCCGTCTCCTGTCATTTTTATTTCTTCCCTGCCAAGCTCAGCCAAGAATTTGAGAGCCTCCAATGCTGCAGCATCTTTAGCATAATCTGAGTTTGGGCCTGTACCGTGGAACATCTGATGAGGATTTGTAAGCAAAGTCACTCGACATAAAATCTCTGTGTTCTGGAAAAACGAGTATTAAATTAATATATTGAAGACCCATTGGTGGCCTTCAGCTGTTGTCTGCTCTTTGGTCGGGTTGTTGTCTCTTTGACATAATTCCCCATTTCCATTCTCAATTTTATAACATTTATTGCATTTATCATGATCATGACTTATTACACCATATTAATGAAAATAATCATGACAATAATTGTATCTTTAATGTTTTTGTCTTCTGCATGTTGTGTTTATTGTATCTATAGTAACTATGAGCTAGTTTGCAGTGTGTATCATCTAACATCTCTTTAACAACAAGAGGTGAAAGCTGTATACCTACCTTGCCTGTGAATTCATTCTTTAACAACAAGAGGTGAAAGCTGTATACCTACCTTGCCTGCAAATTCATCAAATTTGATTTCCTTTTAACAAGAGGTGAAAGCTGTATATCTACCTTGCCTGTGAATTCATTCTTTAACAACAAGAGGTGAAAGCTGTATACCTACCTTGCCTGCAAATTCATCAAATTTGATTTCCTTTTAACAAGAGGTGAAAGCTGTATATCTACCTTGCCTGCAAGTTCATCAAATTTGATTTTCTTTTAACAAGAGGTGAAAGCTGTATATCTACCTTGCCTGCGAATTCATCAAATTTGATTTTCTTTTAACAAGAGGTGAAAGCTGTATATCTACCTTGCCTGCGAATTCATCAAATTTGATTTTCTTTAACAAGAGGTGAAAGCTGTATATCTACCTTGCCTGCAAATTCATCAAATTTGATTTTCTTTTAACAAGAGGTGAAAGCTGTATATCTACCTTGCCTGCGAATTCATCAAATTTGATTTTCTTTTAACAAGAGGTGAAAGCTGTATATCTACCTTGCCTGCGAATTCATCAAATTTGATTTTCTTTTAACAAGAGGTGAAAGCTGTATATCTACCTTGCCTGCAAATTCATCAAATTTGATTTTCTTTTAACAAGAGGTGAAAGCTGTATATCTACCTTGCCTGCAAATTCATCAAATTTGATTTTCTTTTAACAAGAGGTGAAAGCTGTATATCTACCTTGCCTGCAAATTCATCAAATTTGATTTTCTTTTAACAAGAGGTGAAAGCTGTATATCTACCTTGCCTGCAAATTCATCAAATTTGATTTTCTTTTAACAAGAGGTGAAAGCTGTATATCTACCTTGCCTGCGAATTCATCAAATTTGATTTTCTTTTAACAAGAGGTGAAAGCTGTATTTCTACCTGGCCTGCGAATTCATCAAATTTGATTTTCTTTTAACAAGAGGTGAAAGCTGTATATCTACCTTGCCTGCAAATTCATCAAATTTGATTTTCTTTTAACAAGAGGTGAAAGCTGTATATCTACCTTGCCTGCAAATTCATCAAATTTGATTTTCTTTTAACAAGAGGTGGAAGCTGTATATCTACCTTGCCTGCGAATTCATCAAATTTGATTTTCTTTTAACAAGAGGTGAAAGCTGTATATCTAACTTGCCTGCGAATTCATCAAATTTGATTTTCTTTTAACAAGAGGTGAAAGCTGTATATCTACCTTGCCTGCAAATTCATCAAATTTGATTTTCTTTTAACAAGAGGTGAAAGCTGTATATCTACCTTGCCTGCGAATTCATCAAATTTGATTTTCTTTTAACAAGAGGTAAAAGCTGTATACCTACCTTGCCTGCAAATTCATCAAATTTAATTTCTAGTTTACTTTTAGTAGCAATATCTCTCAGTTGTAATTCTGGTCTCATGTGTCCTGCACCAAATACTAAAGGTTCTGTCATTGGTGGTTGAGCTACAAAGGAAAACTCACATGGTAAAATATTGCAGGTCACTCTTTTTAAACTTTCTTTTTATTATTTTTTTTTTACTAATACAATAATTACAAATTAATTATAATTGAAAGTTCCCTTTATGATTTTTCCAAATAAACAGTAAAACTTGACATTTTATGTTTAGACTGAAAAAAAATCTGAAATAATCTATGCCTGTACTTGTGTATTTCTTGTGGGACTTCTCCTGAAGCAAGACTTTGACCTTGGGATAGTTTCTAAAGATGTATCCTGTGAGGCATTGTATTCCCACTTATCTTGTTTAGATATATCCACTATAAATTCTTAACAAAATTTAAAAGTATGGCCAATATGGCCAGTAAGAGCGTAAATTTACTGGCCCAATTCAAATAAAATTTGCCCTAATAATACTATCTAAGTGAAAATATAGTCAAATGTAATGGCCAATGGGGCCAGTAGTCTTTATGTTCAACTGACCCTATTGAAATTCCACTGGCCTTGGGCCAGCGGGCCAGTGCTTAAGTCGACCCCTGAATTCAGGTGGTGTTGAGAAACAACTAATCAATCATTTAATCTGTAACAATAGTCAGGAGCCTGTAGTTCAGTGGTTGTAACAATAGTCAAGAGCCTATAGTTCAGTGGTTGTAACAATAGTCAGGAGCCTGTAGTTCAGTGGTTGTAACAATAGTCAAGAGCCTGTAATTCAGTGGTTGTCATTGGTTCATGTCTGTAACAATAGTCAGGAGCCTGTAGTTCAGTGATTGTCATTGGTTCATGTCTGTAACAATAGTCAGGAGCTTGTAGTTCAGTGGTTGTCATTGGTTCATGTCTGTAACAATAGTCAGGAGCTGTAGTTCAGTGATTGTCATTGGTTCATGTCTGTAACAATAGTCAGGAGCCTGTAGTTCAGTGGTTGTCATTGGTTCATGTCTGTAACAATAGTCAGGAGCCTGTAGTTCAGTGGTTGTCATTGGTTCATGTCTGTAACAATAGTCAGGAGCCTGTAGTTCAGTGGTTGTCATTGGTTCATGTCTGTAACAATAGTCAGGAGCCTGTAGTTCAGTGGTTGTCATTGGTTCATGTCTGCAACAATAGTCAGGAGCCTGTAGTTCAGTGGTTGTCATTGGTTCATGTCTGTAACAATAGTCAGGAGCTTGTAGTTCAGTGGTTGTCATTGGTTCATGTCTGTAACAATAGTCAGGAGCTTGTAGTTCAGTGGTTGCCATTGGTTCATGTCTGTAACAATAGTCAGGAGCCTGTAGTTCAGTGGTTGTCATTGGTTCATGTCTGTAACAATAGTCAGGAGCCTGTAGTTCAGTGGTTGTCATTGGTTCATGTCTGTAACAATAGTCAGGAGCCTGTAGTTCAGTGGTTGTCATTGGTTCATGTCTGTCATACTTGTTTTTTCGTAAATTGTTTTGATATAAATTAGGCTGATAGTTTTCTCAATTGAATTGTTCCATATTTTGTATGCTGAGGCCTTTTATAGGGGACTATAAGGTATGGTTTTTTCTCATTGTTGAAGGCTGTATGGTTGCCTATAATTGCTTACACCCACTTCATATGAACTCTGGTGTATAGTTGTCTCATTGGCAATCATACCTCATCTCCTTATATTTATACTATAATATTCATGTAGATTTCTATGCAAAAATTAAAGTGCAATATTATATCTAGTTTTCCTTTATACAGTTATCTTAAATGTAGAGCATTTCAGACGAGATGAAAACATTGCATTCTATACTTTCTCCTTGCAATATGATAAATTGTTAGGGACAATGTTCCTCAATATAAGTGCAATCCCCCTATAGTATAAAATTGTGAAAATTTATAAATACCTTGATACATATTTTGAGTTCCGGACGTATAATTAGAATCTCTCAGTAGCAAAAGTCCTGGCATTAACTGTCGTCCACTTTTACCGTTAGCTATTTCTCCTGGACCAGTGCTGCTTACTGTAAAACAAAAGTTTAATCAGAATCTCTCATTAGTAATAGTCCTGGCATTAACTGTCATCCTCTTTTACCGTTAGCTTTTTTCTCCTGGACCAGCACTGCTTACTGTAAAATAAATGGGGAATGTGTCCATGGGACACAGATGATGCCCTCGCTTGCATATCATATAAAGTTATAATGGGACATAACTGAAAAACGGTAAAAGTGACACTACCCAAATTTGTACTTGATCTGAGTTTTGTGGTAATAAGTATTGTGTATAAGTTTCATAACATTTGGTTGAAGCAAACTTAAGTTAGAGAACAGAAACGAATAATTCAGCAATTTTTCCATTTGTAAAGGGGCATAACTCTAGAACAGTAAAAGTGATACCATCAAAATTCAAACTTGATCTGTATTTTGTGGTAATAAGCATTGTGTATAAGTTTCATAACATTTGGTTGAGGCTAACTTAAGTTAGAGAACGGAAACAAAACATTTTTCCAATTATAAAGGGACATAACTCTAGAACGGTTAAAGTGACACCACCAAAATTCAAACTTGATCTGTATTTTGTAAGTTTCATAACATTGGTTGAGGCAAACTAAATTAAGAGAAGGGAAACCAACTTTGGGACGTACGGATGGACGGACAATGGTAAAACTTAATTCCCCCTCCGCTAGGGCGGGGGCATAACAAAAGAATTAGAATCTCTAAGTAGCAATAGTCCTGGCATTAATTGTCATCCACTTTTCCTATTAGCTATTTCTCCTGGACCTGCGCTGTTAATATAAATATAAGTTTATCTTGAAACAAACACTTTCATAATAGAGTTTCAAAATCCTTAATTACATGTAGATTTCTGATTGGTTGTAGTTAAACCTTTAATGTTTTAGAACTAACAATTTATGCTCAACTATTTGTTCATAAATAAACTAAAAGAAAGTACTTAGAAACTGATGCCTGTCTCACTTTAGACTTTACTAGAATAGAAAGACAAATTCTTTATTTGGCAATCATGGACCCATTGGTAGTAAAATTTCATACATTGATTTTTTTCCTATGAAAATAAAATAATCAATAAAATACCAATGGCAATAACTCAAAAAGGAGAAATACTAAAATCGTGAAAATTGAACTTGACCTTCATTTAGTCACAGGAAACAACATATCTAAATATGAAAAAAAATCATCACAGCGTTTTCATGTTATTGAAGAGACACTGTTTGGCAGTCACCCTCCCGCCGTACAACCCCAAAGCAATAACCAATATTTCCTTTGAAAATCCGGTTAAAAATACAGTATTATAGCATAATGAATAGTCAAAGAGAAAATGTTAATAGGGGAGACAATCATTCAATATTATCAGGATTACTTCCCTTTAAACAGTATTTTGATAAAATCTCCAGATCTTTTGTTCTTCAGAATTGGAAAAAAAAAAAACTTATTCAAACTGAGGGTAATTCCCAACCAAATAAAAAATACACCTAGACAACTTGCAGATAATAAGTACAACAGACATTAAACTATGATGGTTATTGGTTGTTTACAAAACATCCTTCATACGATTTTGTGGATATAGGTGAACCTTAAATCCCCAATTCACGAAAATTGGTACCCACGATAATAAATAAATCCACAGTACACAGGTTCTCATATTTTACACGTACACATGTTCTGTTATTTTACATGTACACATGTTCTGTTATTTTACATGTACACATGTTCTGTTATTTTACAAGTACACATGTTCTGTTATTTTACATGTACACATGTTCTGTTTTACATGTACACATTCTGTTATTTTACATGTACACATGTTCTGTTATTTTACATGTACACATGTTCTGTTTTACATGTACACATGTTCTGTTATTTTACATGTACACATGTTCTGTTTTACATGTACACATGTTCTGTTATTTTACATGTACACATGTTCTGTTTTACATGTACACATGTTCTGTTTTACATGTTCTGTTTTAAATCTCATTCACTTTCTTATTGTAGTCTTACCTGGAGTGGCAGGCTCTGGCTTTTCTTGGAAGGTAACTTTCTTTTCTGCTGATCCTGTTGTTTGCTGTAATAGAAAAAATGAAAAATAACAAGCATTCTGTGAGTATTGCATGGCAATACATAGTCAGTCCCCTACCGGTTAAAAATTCATTGTATTGGAACAAAATTCTAACTTGATCTATAACTTGTCATGTAGTAAACTGCATAAAAATATCAAGTCAAAATATTCAAGCATGAAAAAAACTGTTGAAAACTGATTATTTAAGTGAATTTTCTATGTCCAAAGACCATAACTCTGCACAAAATCATCATACCGGAACAAATTTCCAACTTGATCTGTAACTAGTCATGATAAAACTATATACTAATTATCAAATCAATATCTTTAAGAATGACAAACAAACCTACCACTAAATTCTTCAAACAATTTACCAAAGAAAAGGAAAAAAATCCAAAATGTCATTTTTAAAAAATTAGTTATTTCCCTTTGAACAAAAATCTACTAATTAATAAGTATTTCATCAAAAATTTAATTCTAGGGAAAGGGCTTTAACTGAAAAAAGAGAAAAGCTAAAATCGTGAAAATTGAACTTGACCTGTAACTTGTCATGATAAAACAATAAACCAAATATCAAATCAATATCTTCAAGCACGAAGAAAAAAAGTCTGGAAAACTGATTTGCCGGACTGACAGATGGAGAGACAGACGGAAAGACAGACGGAGTGCAAACCTAAAATCCCCTTCGACTTTGTCGATAGGGGACTAAAAAACAAGAATGTGTCCATAGTACATGGATGTCCAACTCGCACTATCATATTCTATGTTCAGTGGACCATGAAATTGGGGTCAAAACTCTAATTTGGCATTAAAATTAGAAAGATCATATCATACGGAACATGTGTACTAAGTTTCAAGTTGATTGGTCTTCAACTTCATCAAAAAGTACCTTGACCAAAAACTTTAACCTGAAACGGGACAGATGGACGAACAGATGGATGGACAGACGGACGCACAGACCGAAAAACATAATGCCCCTCTACTATCGTAGGTGGGCCATAAAAACTGTATCAAAATAGAGGCTAAGAATACTAAAGAGATATTCAAACTTATAAGTCGATGCCATATCAATTATTATTTATGGCAAGTAATGATGATTTAGAATTAGAGGGGAAATTAAGAATATGTAAATTTTAAAAACAATGAAAAACTAGTTTAAGCTATAGAATAAAAACTTCTAGCGTTTCCATCAGTCTAATAAGATTGTAGCCCTACAAAATACTCTCTTTATAAATAAATTATGGTATGATAGTTTTAAGATGTGTAAGGCCATATCTTTCAGGCCAGTCCCAATCCTGTATAATAAATAACTTAAGTTGGAGTTGTTGTATTGATGGTTTACCTTTTAGATCCTCTTAAGATAACCATATACTCTGTATACTAACCTCAGGTGTTGTAGTTGTTTACTTTGGAGTTGTTGTATTGATGGTTTACCTTGTAGATCCTCTTAAGATAACCATATACTCTGTATACCAGTGTTCTCCCCAGGATTTTTTTAAGGCGCAAAATTCAAGGGCGCGTTACTCTTTTTTTAGAGTGATCTGAAGCAATAAGTCATAAATCATGACATGCAATATGAATTATAATGCTTTGTGTTATGTGTTTAATAATGCAGAGTATTAATGAATTACAAGAATATATATATGAAATAAATTGATTTTAAACACAAAAGTTATTTATATTCAGTCAATTAAAGAAGTCAAAATATAAATATTCATCTCTACTCTCTGCTCCTTCTAGGGATATTGTTTTTAGATAGTGTTATTTTGTTGGACAGTCTGTTCCTCAACTTTGTCTTTATCCTCTTCAGGGTTAAAAATTAAACCCCCACTCACAATAACTTTTGCTTATACCCCCTTTAACATTTCTAAGCCATGAAAACTCAGTCAGCCACTTGTCATTGAAACCAGAAACATGGTGCTTGCTTTTATCAATTGCTAAAACTTGAGCTTGGTTGGGATTAGGAGAAGCAATGAAATCTGCTTATACTGACAGTGTAGACGGAGGTGACTATTCCCCTTTTCATTAGAAGTCATTGGTCTGAAAAAAACTTCTATACTTCCATCATCTACCTTTTACTTATAATTCACCCCTTTGTTATTTGCAGAGAACATGTTCATTCAGAATTAATAAAATCGAATATGGTTAAGATATTTGGTATACAACTTTTTAAAACAATTTTTTTTTATAAATGAACAGCTGACCAGTTTCCGTAGTTTCACATTACGCTTCCGTGCGTATTATTGTTTAATACTATCTTTGGCAGATAGATATAAACGAAATTTTACAAATTCGTTTAAGTTAAAACCATTGAAATTATTTACCAGTGACATTATACAGAAGCTGTGGCGATACTGTACCCGTTTTGATTGTCACATATTTCCCGACGCACGGATTCACGATCGATGTTCAATGATCATTTTATTTCTAAAAATATGACAGTTTCAGACGAATTTACCTTGCAAGCAACATTTTTTCATTTTCTATTAAAGTAAATCACTCCTCGTTATCTTTAATCAAACTTTATTTTAATTTTTTCAACTAATAATACTTTCATTCATAGTTTTCATCGTAAATTTTTTAGCAATGTGTATTCAAATTTATCATGTGTATTCAACACGTTCATTGGTCGTGTTTAAATAGATTCTTCTTCTTGACCAATGAAAAAATTCGTTATATAAATGGTCAAGTGATCACACACACGATGCGTAAAAACAATGTATTTGCGATCTATTTCTTCAATTTCTGCACTGAAGTTTTTAAAATTTTTTATTTTCTTCAAAAAATATCTATCTTCTTGATGATCACTTACGCTATTACCTGATAACATAGTCCGATAAGGCTGAGATAAGCGTGGCTCAGGTAAAACTAATTATCAGTTATTGCGTAACACTGACCGACCCATCAGCGGTGATCAGTTACTTGACAATTTTAACCAACATTTATAATGAAAATGTGAAAATTAACACGCTGCGGGATCAAGTATTAAGGGACAGCGGCCAATTAAGACGCTGCGGGATCTTCAAAAATATTATGAAGGCGCTGCGGTACCGCAGCGTCATATCGGCCTGGGGAGAACACTGTATACTAACCTCAGGTGTTGTAGCTGTTTACTTTAGAGTTGTTGTATTGATGGTTTACCTTGTAGATCCTCTTAAGATAACCCTATACTCTGTGTACTAACCTCAGGTGTTGTAGCTGTTTACTTTGGAGTTGTTGCATTGATGGTTTACCTTTTAGATCCTCTTTATATAACCCATATCTGTATACTAACCTCAAGTGTTGTAGCTGTTTACTTTGGAGTTGTTGTATTGATGGTTTACCTTTTAGATCCTCTTAAGATAACCATATACTCTGTATACTAACCTCAGGTGTTGTAGCTGTTTACTTTGGAGTTGTTGTATTGATGGTTTACCTTGTAGATCCTCTTAAGATAACCCTATACTCTTTATACTAACCTCAGGTGTTGTAGCTGTTTACTTTGGAGTTGTTGTATTGATGGTTTACCTTGTAGATCCTCTTAAGATAACCCTATACTCTGTGTACTAACCTCAGGTGTTGTAGCTGTTTACTTTGGAGTTGTTGCATTGATGGTTTACCTTTTAGATCCTCTTTATATAACCCATATCTGTATACCAACCTCAAGTGTTGTAGCTGTTTACTTTGGAGTTGTTGTATTGGTGGTTTACCTTTTAGATCCTCTTAAGATAACCATATACTCTGTATACTAACCTCAGGTGTTGTAGCTGTTTACTTTGGAGTTGTTGTATTGATGGTTTACCTTTTAGATCCTCTTAAGATAACCATATACTCTGTATACTAACCTCAGGTGTTGTAGCTGTTTACTTTGGAGTTGTTGTATTGGTGATTTACCTTGTAGATCCTCTTTATATAACCCATATCTGTATACTAACCTCAGGTGTTGTAGTTGTTTACTTTGGAGTTGTTGTATTGATGGTTTACCTTGTAGATCCTCTTAAGATAACCATATACTCTGTATACTAACCTCAGGTGTTGTAGCTGTTTACTTTGGAGTTGTTGTATTGGTGGTTTACCTTTTAGATCCTCTTAAGATAACCATATACTCTGTATACTAACCTCAGGTGTTGTAGCTGTTTACTTTGGAGTTGTTGTATTGATGGTTTACCTTTTAGATCCTCTTAAGATAACCATATACTCTGTATACTAACCTCAGGTGTTGTAGCTGTTTACTTTGGAGTTGTTGTATTGGTGATTTACCTTGTAGATCCTCTTTATATAACCCATATCTGTATACTAACCTCAGGTGTTGTAGTTGTTTACTTTGGAGTTGTTGTATTGATGGTTTACCTTGTAGATCCTCTTAAGATAACCATATACTCTGTATACTAACCTCAGGTGTTGTAGCTGTTTACTTTGGAGTTGTTGTATTGGTGGTTTACCTTGTAGATCCTCTTAAGATAACCCTATACTCTGTATACTAACCTCAGGTGTTGTAGTTGTTTACTTTGGAGTTGTTGTATTGATGGTTAACCTTGTAGATCCTCTTAAGATAACCATATACTCTGTATACTAACCTCAGGTGTTGTAGTTGTTTACTTTGGAGTTGTTGTATTGGTGGTTTACCTTTTAGATCCTCTTAAGATAACCATATACTCTGTATACTAACCTCAGGTGTTGTAGTTGTTTACTTTGGAGTTGTTGTATTGATGGTTTACCTTGTAGATCCTCTTAAGATAACCCTATACTCTGCATACTAACCTCAGGTGTTGTAGCTGTTTACTTTGGAGTTGTTGTATTGATGGTTTACCTTGTAGATCCTCTTAAGATAATCCATATCTGTATACTAACCTCAGGTGTTGTAGCTGTTTACTTTGGAGTAGTTGTATTGATGGTTTACCTTTTAGATCCTCTTTATATAACCCATATCTGTATACTAACCTCAGGTGTTGTAGCTGTTTACTTTGGAGTTGTTGTATTGATGGTTTACCTTGTAGATCCTCTTAAGATAACCCTATACTCTGTATACTAACCTCAGGTGTTGTAGCTGTTTACTTTGGAGTTGTTGTATTGATGGTTTACCATGTAGATCCTCTTAAGTTAACCATATACTCTGTATACTAACCTCAGGTGTTGTAGCTGTTTTGATGGCAGGTTTGGTCGGTTGTGGCGATGGCTTGTTGTAACCAAGCAACGTGAGCATCTGTTCGGCTGCATGTCGCTTGGCTAACTTTTTATTGGGTCCCACACCAGTACAGGTCTTGTCCTCTATTTGTACCTAAAGAAAAAAACAACAATAACAATGGATTCATTATTATTACTTTGAAACCAATTTTCGTGATTTTCATGGGTCTAGATGGATTTTAAATGTTCATCATAAATGCATTACTTATGCTATCAATGCTTAGAAAATCTCTACTGCATTAAAAGACTATTAATAAAACATATTTATTAGATATAGGTAAAATATATATACCTTTAGGCATTCCAAACTTCTAACATAACCTGACCATTGACAAGTCAAAACATTATAGGTGATAACAATATAAAAAAAAGTTATATTTTCTTCTGGATGCATAAAATCAATCTTTCAATCATTCTAATGGAATTTTTATGTAACAATTTTTTTCATTGGCTAAATGTTACCATCAAATCCAGTTGACATGTCTTAACTAAGGAGGGACCCGCCATTTTGAAATGCTTGGATCAACAAATGTTCGATTACTTCAATATCTCTCTACGAGTACCTGCATAACAAATTCCCTTCTCCTAAGAAGACTTCTCTCTGTGATTAATGTGAAGACTGGTTCCTTTTTCTGTTCTGCCTGTTGAATCTGAATCAGTCTACTGATGGGGTTAATCCCTACTCCATAATTAGGATCTGTCTTCTGCATTTGCTGTAAGAAGAACAAAACAATGGGTAACCAAAACAACATTAGAACTTATAAATCCTTACAAACTTGTTCCTGCTTAATTATCAATTGTGTAAGTTTAATCTTCTTCATAAAAGACTTTGTTATAAGAAATAAAAAGGCAATCTGAGTATTCCCTTAAAAACTTAATGCATTAATCTGTTCATCAATGAGGTTAAACTATTTAGGTTCCTAAAGAAATTCCTAATAGTAGTTTACATAAGAATTTTTTATTTGTTGTAAAGGGAGAACTTCTTTTTAATTCAAAGTTAAAACCAGTATATGTAGCACAAGTTACATACATGTAATATCTTAACTGTTTCATACTCTGCACTGAATCCGGGTCCGTTCACCCTGATTCTCATTTGCCCTAGTACCTGTTCGCCCTAATACCTGTTTGCCCTGGGTCCGTTCGCCCTAATTCCTGTTCGCACTGAGTCCGTTCACCCTGATTTCTATTTTCTAAAGTTTGTTGAAAATTCCGCCGAAATATTTGGTCAGATCATACGTTTTCGTACGTCATATGAATTCGTACTATGTATGCTTTTTCAATGGAAATTGTGACATCACAATTCATTCTTAATAGCACGAAAACCCGTGAGACGAGGATTTATGTTGTATTGATGCTACCAGATAATGATTTTTGTTTTGATTTGCATTAAATATTCTTGCAAGAATATTCATCATGTTGAATGTGGACAGTATTTTGAAGAAGAAGAAGTGTTCAGGAACTGGAGACCAAAAAGTTATCTGTATGAATTTATCTTTTTTGAAACCTTGTAACAATCCAAACAGGTATAACAAGATCCAACTCACTCAACACCTTGAGATCAAAGAAGCCAATTAAGCGACGAAAACAATTTTTCTTTAATGTCTTACAATTCTTACATCATTGTTTTAACTCATTCCAAGCTGACTTGTTTATTTAAAAAAAACAATTTCATTATTAATCCACCAAAAATAATAACTGCAACAATCAGTGAGACCAAAGACATCGTAATCATATCTAATCAGCATTCTAAATTACAAAACTTTGAATTTTCGGAATACTAAGGCTTTTCCACCTCAGAAATATATTACCTTAGCTGTATTTGGCAAAACTTTTAGGAATTTTGGGTCCTCCATGCTCTTCAACTTCGTACTTTATTTGGCCTTAGTAACTTTTTTGATTCGAGCGTCACTGATGAGTCTTTTGTAGACGAAACGTGTGTCTGGCGTACAAAGTTTCAATCTTGGTATCTATGATGAGTTTATTTACAATCAACAGTCATTAAAAGTAATTCTGAATAAAAACAAATAAAATAGCCTGATTAATGCTCCAAAACAAAAACCTTTTTTTTTAATTTCAATGTTTATTCATGAATTTGGAGATATATTTTTTAATATTTTATATAAGATTACAAAACTTTAAATTAAACCATTAATATTATTTTTTTTTATAAAAATCAGGGCGAACGGACTCTATGGGCGATTGGATTCAGGGCGAACGGACCCCGGGCGAACATGTAACTAGGGCGAACGGACCCGATACCCTCTGCACTTGATATAAAGATAGTCATATTTATTTTTCTTCAAATTTTGCAAAATTTTATTTAATTTCATTTCTAACAAAGAGAAGATATTCTGTCCCTTGATTGTGCTTTTAAACAAATAATTTGTACAGTAGACTCTGGCATATCGATACCCAAAATGTCAGCTAAAAATATCCCATTACCCGATATATTCAATTAGACGATAAATGTATATTCATTGAATATTCTGCAATAATGAGTAGACCTAATCCTGAGATGTTACTAGCCCTGACCACTGCTATAAATACGAAAGGCTGGAGTGATTTTTACCAGTTACATCACCACAATGTTTGTGTAAATAATTATCAGCTGGTTATGTAATGCTCAAATTTGTTTGCAGTTTTTAAATCCTATATTTATTAAAATAAATGAAATGTCCTGAAATATTTATGTGAATGAATATCTACCATCCATAGTTTGTGTCTTTATTTGTTTTGTAAACAAATTAATATCCATTATTTACATTATCACAGGTAAACTAATTTGGCTACAAATAGATCAAAGCATGGTCTGTAAAGTCTCTAAACTAAAATCGTACTTGTTATATATTTTATTTCTTTAAATAATCAAATTTAAATTTATGAAAATACTCATGATTGATAAAATATTATTGCATCAAGTTTACGTTTTCTGAAGACTGTTTATGTTTAGGTCATGGTTCTAGAGGCTTCCACACAATTTGTAAATAACCCAAAATGGCGTCCATGACATGTGGTTACTTATGCACGTGTGAAAAAATTATTTCTGACAAAAGTCAGATTTCTCTTGTCAAAAGGGATTTATATTTATACAGTCGACTCCACTTAATTGCATATCACTTAATAGCATAATTCGGTTAATTGCATAGTTTTCTCCTGCACAAAACCATTTCCCATTCATCTAATGTTAAATTGTCCGGTTATATGCATAGCCTTACAAGTGGCCTTTCGGTTAATTGCATAGAAAATATTCGCCAGCTAGATATGCTTAGTTAAAACTGACGAGATTTTTGACCGGAAACAGCAATTTGGTAAGTATATTTTTCTTGAATGCATCATAATTTTCGTTCTTATTTCATATTAACTTTTGTGTTATTTAAATAAAGTTTTAAAACAGTTTCTTTCGTGTTTATATGATTATAAAATAAGCCTTGATGTGTACACAGGTAAAGTTTCCCATGTTCTATTTTAAGCCTCGAGGTCATAAAAATGTCAAACATGTGATTGTTGTAAAAACACGTCCATTCTATCTCAAAAGGTGTAAATTATTGATTGGATTTCAAACATTGTTCATAGATTACATTTGGGGTGAATTTTAAAAACAACTTCAATAACCCCTGCTAATTATCGATCATTATACAATGTGTACTCTCGTAATTCAGCTAGGGGTGATCTACACTTATGTTAAATATTACAGGGCATTTATGTATGGTTGAAGAATTTTATACATTAATCTTTTATTTTTTATATTTTTTGAAAAGAAAATTAACTTCGAATTATTATATTTTCTCACTTTCAACACTCGTGTACAGTAAATAACCTGTGCAGGGCCCCATTACCTGTTAACTGCTTTGCATATACGAAACTAACGAGGTTAAAGAAACAGTGTTACATCACTGTGCAAGCGGTAAATACTGCATATCAAAGGCAGTTCAGTACACATTTATTGTTAAAATGATTATAAACTGTGTAGTATTGTTAAACAGTTAATTTAAGCAAAGCGTAACAATGTACATTGTACATCCGGGTCATTTTTAGAACAATTTGTTTTATTTTCGTATCTCAGGTAAAGGAAAAGTCGGTACGCAAATAAACTAAAACAAAATGTGTTTATAAACTTTATTGAAAGAATACAAAATAAAATAACATGTATGACACTAGACACATAACTTTTATTAGAATAAATAAGCATTCAATATGTTGTAAGTGGATTATGGACGTTCATCTTTCTTCAGGGATTTCCTTTACTGATCTGTACTATTGATGTTATTTGACTCCGTAATTTGGCATTTCGGATATAAGCATACTCCGCTTTATTGCATAATTTTGTCTGACAAATAGGCTATGCAAATAACCGGAATCGACTGTATTGCAATAAATTATTCAGAAGGAGGTCCATTCATTATAAATTATATTTCTGATTCTGTGAGCATTTAGAGTTTTATCAAAATTCTCCAAACAGCAACGTACTGCTCTTGTATATTTTATAAATAAATTCAAACCATTTGAAGTAAAAGGGCATCTTATTCACATAACAAAGGAAGACAATGAATAAAGACAATAATTTATTAATAGTTCCTTTTTATTTAGTAAAAACATTGAAAATTTCCGATTGTGCATGGTTTTGAACCAAATTATCTGAATATTCTTATCCGATTTGCCGATATATTCTTATATCTGATATTCGATTACAAGATAAAATTAACATTAAACATATAGGGAAGGGTTTGGTGTTTTGAAAAAATATAACAATAGCCGATATATTCGTTTAGCCGATATCCGATTAGGTGGAGTCTACTGTACAATAATCGAGATAGATAAATTTTGAGACAAAAAATATAGTAAAGTGACTTACATTTTGAACCTTGATTATGTTTTTCGATTTCTTCTTGTTCTGATTTTGTTTGTTCTTTGGTCGCTGTGCCATCGGAGGTAAGGGAGATAACTCCTTCAGTTTGTCCAGCATTAGTTCGGCAGCTTTCTTTTTCGATACTTTTTTACTGTTTCCCTCAGCTTCTGTTTCGAATTCTCCAACTCGACATTTTGTTACAAAACTTTTCATGTGTGGTGGTCCAGATTCCCTTATGACCTGAATACATATAAACATATAATATGATTAAGATATAAGGATCTGACAATGCTACGTTCTACTTTCTGTTTTAAAATGATTAGATCATGAAAATCAACCTTGACCTTCATTTAGTCACAGGAAACAACATACTGTGGATTCACTTATTTTCGTGGATTAAGGAAAACTTACATGTTCGTGGATATTTAATTTCGTGGTTTTTGACAATGTCTGCATACAAGCCTATAGTAAACTTGCCATTCGTTGAACATTTAAGTTCGTGGTTAACCTATAACCATGAAACCAAAGAAAATTGGTATCCAAAAAATAATAATGAATCCACAGTATCTAATTTCGAAAAGATTTTGTGAAAGCATTTTCAAGTTATTGTAAGGACAACGCTCTATCACTTTTGGCTACTCAAAGAACTACAACTCATCAATGATAAACTTTTAACTTTATGTGGTTTATTATCCCAAAATGAATATTCTTTTAAATATTTCTAAGGAACTATATATACAAGCAGTTCGTATAAAAGTGAAAATAGGTGAAAGTAATGTTTGAATTATTAAAAAATTTTCAAAAAATAGAAAGATTTCTTTTCTTCCAAGAATGCAATCATTTAATCATCTTTTCTTTTTTCTTTTCCTTATTCAGTTTTTCACATTCCTCTCCACAGTGCCCAAAATATATACCAAAGGTTTTAATTGGTCAATCCCTCCAGTTAATTCCCTCAGTTTTGTCTTTCAAGATGTTAGCTTTCCTCCCCATTAGCAATATGTCATATTCCTATTTAATTTCATTCATGAAAAAGAACTCAAGATTTTAATTTCTTTCATGGCTAATTAAACGTCCTATTCAAAACAACAAAACAAAGCAGTATCGTCTGCTAGTTGTAAACTTTTTATACTACAGTCTTTACCATCCAGCTTGATACTTCTTTTTACTTTAATCTTATTATTAGAGAGAATTTATTACCCCTTCTGATTGAATGTATTTCATTAGGGAGAATGTATTACTCCTTCAGATTAAAATAAATAGGTAAAAGAAGATTACATTTCCTTGGTTTTTGAACAAATGCTTGACAGATAATATGCATACATTCAGTCTGACATTTCCCACGTGTGGTAATACTGCTACATCATGCCTGAACTTGAATCAGAAATAATTCTATGAACAGTGCCTGCATTTACCTTACCAAATATATGACAATACAGAACCTCAAGTTACATCTTAGCTTATTTACTTACATCAAAGATGACATTAAGATTTCTCCTCAGAGCTATTTCATGAACAAGACTTATCTCAGACTTCAGTAGGTCTTTCTCACCTGAAAAATATATTTAATATCTAAATATTCCATCATATTCTGTATTTGTTCAGTCATAGATGTTTCTACCAATGTATTAAATGTAACAGGATTAGGTGTAATTATGTTCAAGTAAAAAGCAATCACCATGTAATTATATATGTCCATGTTAAAGAAAATGTGCATATTGAAAGTTTATAATTTGGCCTACCAAGTTCATGTTTCTCAGGTGTTTGTGTATCAGATTTCTAAAGTTTATAATTTGACCTACTAGGTTCCTGTTTCTCAGGTGTTTGTGTATCAGATTTCTTTGGATCATCGTTAGGAACCGGTAGTTTCTTCAGAATGTTGAGAGCTTTGGTGGCAGCGTCATTCCTTGCTTCCTGTCTATTATGTCCTTCCCCTATAAACTCACGCTGGCCACATTTCAATGAAACATAGAAAACTCTTGGCATTCTGGGATAATGATATCTGAAATGAAAAGTATAAAAACCTGGAGATGTGGTATGATTGATTATGAGACATACATCTATCAGAGACAAATGTTGTGAATGTAATAACTATAGGTCACTATACAGACTTCAACAATGAGCAAGATTTCAGGAGATTCAGGTCAATTACTATTTATATAAACATTTCTATAGAACATTCTTTTAGAAGTGAGTTAACTAAAATTTTCAAATTTCTTCAATATATTTAAGTCCCCATTGTGTAGATAAATCACTGAGGGTTTTATGTATCTTTTTTAAGGCTCTCTGTTCTCACATTTTCAACTTTCCCATGATATAATGCACTCTGTTGCATTTTCCTAGGCTATGCATTATAATATAAGGCAAGAACCCCTTCTTTTTTTCTACCTCAGATACATTTTGAAAGCCTTAGAATTAATATATTTTTTATCAGTTGCGCTGCGTCGGATAAAAAACGACCTTATACAAGTGCACATATACATGAATATGAACAATAATTTGACTGATTTTGAAACGTTCAAATATGAAATTAAGGATGAATTTATGTCTGTGTTGTAGGGTTCTTATAACAACTCAATTTTCAAACAGTTACAGGTTTCAAAAGGTATTTCTTTTCAATACAAAGGGGTTAACAAATGTATTGATATTCATTGGCATAAGGTCGATTTCTATCCATCGCAGCTCAGTTAAAGGACAAGGTACGATAAGCCCCCGTTTTGGCCCCCCTATTTTCTCATTTTTTAAATTTTGTTTTGGAAAGCTACTTATTATGTTGAAATATTCCCTTAGGTTTGAAGTTTGTTTGGATGAACTTCAAAACCATTAATTTCATTAACTAGGTGAGGTGAAGGGGGTGAAAGGGCATCAAAAACGCCAAAAGTAGGAAAAATTACGATATTTGGCCTGTGTTTTTTACAATTTAATAGCGTACACCTACGTGACCCGGAGAAAATTATGGCGATCTAGACAGCAAAAATAGTGATAATGACATTGTAATAAAAAAATTACTGGGTCACGTTGGCGCAGCCACTTAAAAACTAAAAAATCGTTGTACGGAACACCTCCAAAGTGAATAATAATTACAATATCTGAATAATAACGGAAAGTTTACCCCCCTCACCTCACCCAGTTGCTGAAATTAATGGTTTTGAAGTTCATCCAAACAAACTTCAAACCTCAGGGAATATTTTAACATGATTAAAGTAGCTTTCCAAAACAAAATTTGAAAAATAAGAAAATAGGGGGCCAAAACAGGGGGGCTTATCGTACCTTGTCCTTTGTGTGTACAGTTCTGTTGTGGATAGTGAGGATATCTATATTTAGACATGATGTAACACCTACCTATGATTATACACTCCTCTATAGTTGTAATTCTGTTGTGGATAGTGAGGATATCTTTATTTAGACATGATGTAACACCTACCTATGATTATACACTCCTCTATAGTTGTAATTCTGTTGTGGATAGTGAGGATATCTATTTTTAGACATGATGTAACACCTACCTATGATTATACACTCCTCTATAGTTGTAATTCTGTTGTGGATAGTGAGGATATCTAGTGTCAAGTGGTTTATAGAAGGTCTGCTCTCCACGCTTCATTGCCAAGGCATTCAGCTCAACTGTTGGAGTAATAGTACCAGCTACAGAAAATATATACATGCCAATCAGATGTCTTTCGACATCCAAAAGGACTAATACATTTTCTCATGCAAGTCAATAGGTAATTAAGTGAGCCAGTAATTCTTCATGTGTACAAAAGGAATGAATATTTACTAATATTACAAAAAATTGTGTCAAGGGAGTATTGACCTGATTTTCAGAGAAAATTTAATGGCACAATGCCCTTTTAATGCCACAAGGCCATATTTATGCAAATATGCCATCTTAAAAGATCCAAAATTAAAAATAAGCAAATAACTTCCATACAAATTTTAAGTCCATTTTTGAATAAAAAAAATTTCTAAGAAACGCCTACATGAAGAAAAAAAAACCGGACATACCTTATTACTCACCATAGAATACAGACATTAAAATATCTCATAACATACAAAATAAAATGCTCCGCTGGGGCGCAGCTTGATACGACCGCAGAGGTCAAACCCTGAACAGTTGGGGCAAGTATGGACACAACATTCAAGCTTGATACAGCACTGAATTTGGATTGTAATTAAATATTTGACACAGCATAGGTTTCTGACACAGAATGAAAGTGGTCTAAGAACTTATAATTTCTTAATTTACCTATTCATACATGTGATGGACTGTGAAACTCAGATCAGGAGATTGGGAAATTTTGGTCAGGAGATTAGGACTCAGATCAGGAGGTTTTTAATCGACATAAATTTTGTCGTAAATGTAACCGTGTGCTGTAAAAATGGTCTTTTAAAGTGTGTTTTCTTCAACTTTCCATCCAATTTATTATGTTTATAGTACCCTTGTACTTATAAAGTTTCTCCATCTTTCTATTTTACATGTTCAATCTAACATTTTTTTTTTTCAGTATGTTCTTTAAATTTTTTACTTCATATTCTATAAAACATTTATTGCAACCAGAACATTTGTTTAACTATCTGCAAATAGCTTTTGTTTGCATACTCTGAAAATCATTCTAACTGTAAATCAAGGGTCATAGTTATTATATAAATTTCAATTTAAGGAAGTATAGAATCCTCAAATAATTTTCAAATTATTATTTTTTTATTTGTCCTAAGACATTTAAAATCATTTATTTACCATCCTTTTATGATTATTTGTTCAATTTATATTTTATTTATATTCTTTTAAAAATTTTCATTATTAAAGGAAAGTAACTTAAAACAGGATAAATCAAGGGAAGTAACCCAATAAATACACAGTTTTTGTTACACAACGGCAGTTAGCCTGAGGTAAAAAATCATTGATTACCAGTATGTTTGACACCCAAGCTGACAAGTGAAGCCATATAATTATGCATGTTAATTGATTTACAGGTAAAATATAACTTCAGGTAATGTGAGTTACACCAGATGCCTGAGATGTTATGTTGGGCAGAAATTTTTCATTCATGAAAAATTTCATACACGGGATTATAATTTTCCTCTTCAACCGGAGGTCAGGAGGAGACTCCTGAAAACAGGATTATTGTACACCTGTCGGGAGGTTCACATGTATGCTATTCAAACCATATCATTATTATTTGCTTTTATATATAAATCAGAAATAACCAATTTAAAATGGAAAATTTTAAAGAAAAAAAAGGAAAAAAAAATCCCCCCCCCCAAATTTTTTGAACCCCCTTATGATTCATCGCCCCCACACTCAATCCCAGCTTTCCCTTTGTGGTATGGTACCTTGCAGTACAATTTTAGAGAGATCCATTCACTTGAACACAAGTTATTGTCTGGAAACTAGAAAAATGCTTGTTTTTTTGTCCCTTTTTGGCCCCTAATTCCTAAACGTTTAGGGCAATTACCCCCAAACTCCAACCCAGCTTTCCCTTTGTGATATGGAACCTTGCAGTACAATTTCATAAAGATCCATACACTTACAAACAAGTTATTGTCCTGAAACTAGAAAAATGCTTGTTTTTTGCCCCTTTTTGGCCCCTAATTCCCAAAATTTGGAGGAAATTACCCCCAAAAATCAATCCCAGTATTCCCTTTGTGATATGGAACCTTGTGATACAATGTCAGAGAGATCCATACACTAACACACAAGTTATTGTCATGAAACTAGAAAAATGCTTGTTTTTTGCCCCTTTTTGGCCCCTAATTCCTAAAATTTGGAGGCAATTACCCCCAAAATCAATCCCAGCATTCCCTTTGTGATATGGAACCTTGTGGTACAATGTCAGAGAGATCCATATACTTACACACAAGTTATGTCTGGAAGTTACAAAATTGCTTATTTTTGGCCCCTAATTCCTTAACTGTTAGTACCATAACCCCCAAAATCAATCCCCACCTTCCTTTTGTCGTATTGAACCTTATGGTAAAATTTCATTGAGATCCATTCACTTAAACTAAAGTTAGAGTGCGAAAACTAATGTGTATTCGGACGACGACGACGACGACGCCAACGTCATACCAATATACGACCACAAAAATTTTTTTGCGGTCGTATAAAAAGTTAATTCATATTGTCACAATAGCTATTGGTGAATCAATGAATACTAGACATTCATTCACAAAAAGAATGAACTATGAAGTATTTCCGTACAACAAAATTATCATATCTAAATTTACCCGTGTATGTATTTCATTAAACACCATTTTGTCCCAGGTTAGAGTTGTCTTTTTTACATTATTTTGCATCCCCCTTTTTTTTTATTAATATTATATTTATAATGTATCATAGATCAAATTTATTCTTTCAGTATACATGTATGTTTACTTGTTTTTGTTAATATGTCTTTTTGATCGAGTTAAGCCATTTTAAGCGATATTTTAATAGTGTGTCTTTCTATGTTGTAATGTTACACTACTGTTTCAGGCTAGGGTGAAGGTTGGTGCCTGTTAAATTCTTTAAACCCGCTGCATTTGTTTGCACCTGTCCTGAGTCAGGAGCCTGTTGTTCAGTGGTTGTCGTTTGTTGATGTGGTTCATAAGTGTTTCTCTTCTTTATATAGATTAGACCGTTGGTTTTCCTGTAGATAAGTTTTACACTAGTCATTTTGGGGCCCTTTATAGCTTGCTGTTTGGTGGGAGCCAAGGCTCCGTGTTGAAGACTGTACTTTGACCTATAATTGTTTACTTTTTACACATTGTGACTTGGAAGGAGAGTTGTCTCATTGGCACTCATACAACATCTTCTTTAATATTTCTATATTTAAGATATATTTAAAATAGAAACTATATCTCTGCTGTAAAAATATATGAATGGATCAATGTATAAAAAAACCATCGTTTTATTTTTTTTTCTGCCAAATTGACAGCTCTAGAGACTAAACACAGTTAAACAGATTTAATAAAAGACAACAGCATTTCTGACATGACCTCAAAACTTACGTTCATGAGTAGTTCTATTTTTAGGTGGTTTGGGTGGAGGGTGAGTATAAGAGGTCTTTTCTAAGGCCACAGCAGCAGCTGAATGCTGGGCCTTTTTAATGCTGGGTCCATTTTCTGCATAGGTTTCATTGTCTCCTAGTTTGAGTGTTACATAGAAGGTCTTCTTATGAGCTGGTCCTTGTTCATCATCCAGGGTGTACTGGTGGGAGATCTATAAAAATAAAGGTACCAGTAAAAGTCTGGGTAAAGGGAGATAATCTTTATTATGAGCTGGTCCTTGTTCATCATCTAGAGTGTACTGGTGGGAGATCTACAAAAGTAAAAGTCTGGGTAAAGGGAGATAATCTTTATTATGAGCTGGTCCTTGTTCATCATCCAGGGTGTACTGGTGGGAGATCTATAAAAATAAAGGTACCAGTAAAAGTCTGGGTAAAGGGAGATAATCTTTATTATGAGCTGGTCCTTGTTCATCATCCAGGGTGTACTGGTCGGAGATCTATAAAAATAAAGGTACCAGTAAAAGTCTGGGTAAAGGGAGATAATCTTTATTATGTGCTGCTCCTTGTTCATCATCCAGAGTGTACTGGTGGGAGATCTACAAAAGTAAAAGATGGGTAAAGGGAAATAATCTTTATTATGAGCTGGTCCTTGTTCATCAGCCAGAGTGTACTGGTGGGAGATCTAAAAAAGTAAAAGTCTGGGTAAAAGGAGATAATCTTTATTATGAGCTGGTCCTTGTTATCATCCAGAGTGTACTGGTGGGAGATCTACAAAAGTAAAAGTCTGGGTAAAGGGAGATAATCTTTAAATCAATTATATGTTTGTCCGTCAGTTTTTGCAGTGCCTTTTTTGGAATTCATGTATTTCATGACCATGGTAGACGCACACATACATACATGTATGTGATTTAATAAGAGTTATTTCCCTTGAACTAAGTCTATCTTGTAAGATATAACAGGCTGAAAGACTCTCTAACTTCATTAAATATCAGTTTTAAGACAAGTGAGTACAATTTTAACAAATAAGGGCTGTTCAAATGAAACATACATAGTATGATTTTTGGAATAAAAAATTGGTAAGGGTTCCGCGGAACCCAGTGTCTTGCCTACTTTTGCTGTTAATCGCAGGCTCAACAAAAATGAGGAAAAAAATTAATAAAAATATTCCTCTCTATACTATCTTTTGATTGTAAGTAGCTTTTGTCCAAGTTTGGTAAAAATCCAGGATAGTTTATGAATCTAATAAATGTTTTAAAAACTTAAACTGCAGACTGTATGTAATGTTAACTGGAAGAAAAACTAAGTCTATTTATAAGTAAAATACGAAAAAAATGGAACAAAATTTTAACAAAATTTCCTTCTAGATACTAGCTTTTAATCATAAACAAGCTTCTGTCCAAGTTTGGTACAAATCCAGGATAGTTTAAGAAAGTTGTAGAAATTTTAAAAACTTTAACCACAGAGTTAATGTAATGTTAACTGGCAGAAAAACTGAGCCCATTTATAAGTTAAATACGGAAAAAACGGAATTTTTTTTTACAAAATTTACTTCTGGATACTATCTTATGATCATAAACAAGCTTCTTTCCAAGTTTGGTAGGAATCCAGGATAGTTTAAGAAAGTTATTGAAATTTCAAAAACTTTAACCACAGAGTGAATGTAATGTTTCCTGGCAGAAAAACTAAGTCCATTTATAAGTAAAATACGGAAAAAATGGAATTTTTTTTTTACAAAATTTACTTTTGAATATTATCTTATGATCATAAACAAGCTTCTGTCCAAGTTTGGAAGAAATCCAGGATAGTTTAAGAAAGTTATTAAAATTTCAAAAACTTTAACCACAGAGTGAATATTTGTGGACGCCGCCGACGGAATGTAGGATCGCTATGTCTCGCTTTTTCGACAAAAGTCGAAGGCTCGACAAAAAGGGGTAACCATCAATAGAGGCAAACTTAGAATGTATAATGCATCAATATAATGAATGAGAGGTCCTTAATTTTTGTAATTTAAAATAAATGGAGAATGTGTTTATGGGCCAAAGATGCCTCCGCTTGTAAATATGCATGAGTCAACTTCCTCATACAGATGCAGGATCACGTAATTAAGACTGTTTTCTGATTACAAGCAATGTGTATAAATTTCATATCATTTGGTTGAGGTAAACTACAGTAAAAGAATGGAAACAACAAATTTAGCAATTTTTCCATTTATAAGGGCATAACTCAAGAACAGTAAAAGTGACTCCACCCAATTTCGAACTTGATCTATGTTTTGTGGTAATACTCATTGTGTATAAGTTTCATAACATTTGGTTGAGGCAAACTAAAGTTAGAGAAAAGAAACGATACATTTAGCAATTTTTCCATTTATAATGGGGCGTAACTCAAGAAGGTTAAAAGAGACACCAGCCAATTTTGAACTTTATTCATGTTTTGTGGTAATAAGCATTGTCTTTAAGTTTCATAACAATTGGTTGAGGCAAACTAAAGTTAATGAACAGAAAACAATTTTGGGGACGTTCCGGACAGACAGATCGGACGGGACGGACATGGGTAACACTTGAAAGCCCCCTCCACTATGGCGGGGGCATAAAAATTAATAGTCCCTTACCTTGTTATAACGGGCCAATTCATTGATGAGACACATTAGGGTTTTCTCTTTTGTGTTTGCCAATGATTCTGTCTCTGATGATTCTGTCTCTTTATTTTTCCCTTACCTTGTTATAACGTGCCAATTCATTGATGAGACACATCGGGGTTTTCTCTTTTGTGTTTGCCAATGATTCTGTCTCTGTCTGTATTTCTCCCTTACCTTGTTATAACGTGCCAATTCATTGATGAGACACATCGGGATTTTCTCTTTTGTGTTTGTCAATGATTCTGTCTCTGTCTGTATTTCTCCCTTACCTTGTTATAACGTGCCAATTCATTGATGAGACACATCGGGGTTTTCTCTTTTGTGTTTGCCACTGATTCTGTCTCTGTCTGTATTTCCCCCTTACCTTGTTATAATGGGCCAATTCATTGATGAGACACATCAGGGTTTTCTCTTTTGTGTTTGCCAATGATTCTGTCTCTGATGATTCTGTCTCTTTATTTTTCCCTTACCTTGTTATAACGTGCCAATTCATTGATGAGACACATCAAGGTTTTCTCTTTTGTGTTTGCCAATGATTCTGTCTCTGTCTGTATTTCTCCTTTACCTTGTTATAACGTGCCAATTCATTGATGAGACACATCAGGGTTTTCTCTTTTGTGTTTGCCAATGATTCTGTCTCTGTATTTCTCCCTTACCTTGTTATAACGGGCCAATTCATTGATGAGACACATCAGGGTTTTCTCTTTTGTGTTTGCCAATGATTCTATCTCTGTATTTCTCCCTTACCTTGTTATAACGGGCAAATTCATTGATGAGACACATCGGGGTTTTCTCTTTTGTGTTTGCCAATGATTCTGTCTCTGTATTTCTCCCTTACCTTGTTATAACGGGCCAATTCATTGATGAGACACATCGGGGTTTTCTCTTTTTGTGTTTGCCAATGATTCTGTCTCTGTATTTCTCCCTTACCTTGTTATAACGTGCCAATTCATTGATGAGACACATCAGGGTTTTCTCTTTTGTGTTTGTCAATGATTCTGTCTCTGTCTGTATTTCTCCCTTAACTTGTTATAATCATGATAATGGGCCAATTCATTGATGAGACACATCAGGGTTTTCTCTTTTGTGTTTGCCAATGATTCTGTCTCTGTCTGTATTTCTCCCTTACCTTGTTATAACGGGCCAATTCATTGATGAGACACATCGGGGTTTTCTCTTTTGTGTTTGCCAATGATTCTGTCTCTGATGTTTCTGTCTGTATGTCCTCCTTTCCCTCTTCTTCCTCCTGGTTCTGCTGTTGCTGCTCACCACTAGGTAGGGTTGTTCCATTCTGTGCAGCAACAGCAGCACCACCTTTCAGATGGATGATCCCATTCTGGTTAGGCTGTGAAACTGGAGGGGGAGTAGGTTTCTGTGGAACTGTATTGTGTTGTGTTGTCTGATAAGGAGGCATGACAGATGTGGGAGGAAGTGATGTAGGATACTGAGCAGCAGGGTTCTGTTGGAGGATAGTTGGCTGGTTCAGTCCTGGGTTATGCTGTAGAATGGTTGGTGTCTGTTGTGTCATTCCAGGTCCCATCATGCCCCCTTTGTTTCTTTGACTTCCTGAAATTATAACTAAAGCTTCAGTTGTATTTGACATTTAGGTGAATATGTTTTACAATCTCTCTGTTTGATTTGCATAGTGCTATTTACCTATCTGAGAGAGTGAATTAAGAAATAATTAAACAAACCAAGCATTGGACTTTAGATAGGGATATGCTAACTTTTCTTCCTTTGAAGTTTACCTATAAGACAGGTCTGAAAGACAGCCATTGTGATTTGAAGAAGCTAATATGTTCTAGAAGACCAACTGTTTCATGAATAAAAAGTAGTTTTTTCAAAGATTTTATAGAATATCATATAAAGAAATATCCACAGAAATGTAAAAACTAATCTCCATCATCGTTCAAAAACAACATGCTAAAATTGCAAATTGAATAGACTTAGTGCTGTCAAGAATCATGTGTTTCCCATGTTTTATTGGAATTATATCAAATGGCATCATATTAGAATTGAGGATTTTCCATTTGCATACCACGGTAATGATCAATACAATTATTACAGTGTGTACATATGTAAATCAGAGATCACATAGAACATTTTTCCAACAGCAAAAATCAGTAAAATTGGACTTATAAAAAATGTTAATTAAACCAGTTGATATTTTAGAAATATTTAGGTACATGTTAATTGTTCAAGGAGGGAACAGATGTAATGTTAAATTTTGATGTATCCATGGTAATCTTGCTTGAGGAGCGGAGTCAGTTTCCACCCAGAGAAATATTGACTTACTGTTTTGCTGTTGTTTTTGTGGCATTGGTTGTGGCATGCCTTGATTATGTCAGAGATGAGACAGTTTGGAGAATATTGACTTACTGTTTTGTTGTCTTTGTGGCATTGGTTGTGGCATGCCTTGATTATGTCAGAGAGGTGACAGTTTGGAGAATATTGACTTACTGTTTTGCTGTTGTCTTTGTGGCATTGGTTGTGGCATGTCTTGATTATATCAGAGAGGAGACAGTTTGGAGAATATTGACTTACTGTTTTGCTGTTGTCTTTGTGGCATTGGTTGTGGCATGTCTTGATTATGTCAGAGAGGAGAGAGTTTTGAGAATATTGACTTATTGTTTTGTTGAACATTGTCTTTGTGGCATTGGTTGTGGCATGCCTTGATTATGTCAGAGAGGAGAGAGTTTGGAGAATATTGACTTACTATTTTGTTGAAGATTATCTTTGTGGCATTGGTTGTGGCATGCCTTGATTATGCCAGGAGAGTTTTTTGAGAATATTGACTCACTTTTTTGCTGTTATCTGTGTGGCATTGGTAGGGGGCATGACTTGATTATGTGAGAAGAGAGAGTTTGGAGAATATTTACTTACTATTTTGTTGTTGTCCTTGTGGCATACCTTGATTATGTCAGAGAAGAGAGTTTTGAGAATATTGACTTACTGTTTTGTTGTTGTCTTTGTGGCATTGGTTGTGGCATGCCTTGATTATGTCAGAGAGGTGACAGGTTTAAGGGAATATTGACTTACTATTTTGTTGAACATTGTCTTTGTGGCATTGGTAGGGGGCATGCCTTGATTATGTCAGTGAGGAGACAGTTTGGAGAATATTGACTTCCTGTTTTGTTGAACATTGTCTTTGTGCCATTGGTTGGGGGCATGCCTTGATTATGTCAGAGGTGAGAGTTTTGAGAATATTGACTCACTTTTTTTCAGTTATCTTTGTGGCATTGATAGGGGGCATGCCTTGATTATGTGAGAGGAGAGAGTTTGGAGAATATTGACTTACTGTTTTGCTGTTGTCTTTGTGGCATACCTTGATTATGTCAGAGAAGAGAGTTTTGAGAATATTGACTTACTGTTTTGTTGTTGTCTTTGTGGCATTGGTTGTGGCATGCCTTGATTATGTTGAAGTGGATATGAGTTCATGTTGTGTTGCTGTAAAAAAAATCACATAAAATTCGAATTATTTTGACAAATAGATGTTTACTGTGGACTTGTGAAAATGTTCTGTTGACTTTTCGTAGAGTAAGAATAAGTATTTTTTAAGAGATAAAAGTCTTTAATTCGCAGCAGTTAAAGTTAAGTTGGTGCTGCTCAATGTCCATTTAGATGTTGACTGTTGTTCAGAGTTTGCAAAAATCCAGGCTCCAATCGGTATTTTGATTGCTAGCTGCGGTCGCAATGACCAATGCAAAAACAGCCGTTGCAGTGCCTATGTGGGCATGTTTTTTTACATCGGTCATCAGATGTACCAGCTGCTAATTTCCAGTACATTTTTTTCATCTGTCATCAGATGTACCTGTGGATCATTTCCGGTACTGGTTCCGAATTTTATTAAAAACAAATCAAAGCGGCGAGCTATAGTGGCCTATCAAATTTGTTCACGGAGCCATCCCTGGCAACGATCGACCGTGGAACCTTCCAATGAAGAAAAAATAAAAAGGAAGCAATATGAGTGCAAATGAAGACCTGACCAGTGAAGAATAAAACTAATATAAATAAAGTTATTTTTCAATAAAATATGTTATTAATTTTATTTCAGGATAAAATTGACAGATTTTGTAAGACCGGCAAAAATTTTGTAGGACTGACATATAATCTTACTTTGTCAGGCCCATGACTGACAGGTCAAACATTTTTTCTCATATTCTGGTTGTTTGTCATTTTTGGGATGGTTTTTTACGTCATGCTTATTGTTTTATATAAAGGTGTAATACCACCAAATCATAGTACATCACATCCGGTTGCATACAAAAAAGGGTCGAAAAAAAATATTCCCTTGAATTTGACAGTTGTAGGAAATTTATCCTACATTTCATTGCAGTAAAACAAATCTGTGTCATAGACATATATCTTGGGCGTTTCAAAGCACCATTATTTTTTTAGTTAGTGTTTCTATAGAATATTGTGGAAACTTGAGGTTACATGGTTACTAAAGCTTGTACAATGGTAGAAAAAGGGTGAAAATTTGATTGGTTAACTTCCAGTGATGGTTATTTTCTTATATGCAATGAAACAGTATGTGAAATTTTTTCTATAGTACTGGACAGGATAAAACTACTCATGCCAAGTATTTCTTTATTTGAAACAAAGATAAATTCTGCACAATTTTTTGAAAAGTTCAAATTTAACAAAGACTAATAGGGGAAAATCAATGGTGGTACAGTAGACTCCGGCAAATCAGATACCCAAAATGTTAGCAAAAAATATCCCTTTATCCGATATATTCAATTAGACAATAAATGTATATTCATTGAATATTCTGCAATAATGAGTTGACCTTATCCTGAGATGTAACTAGCCCTGACCACTGCTATGTATATTAAAGGGTTCAAGTTATTTTCATCAGATTCATCACTACGATGTTTGTGTAAAACTTTTATCAGCTGGTTATGTAATGCTCATATTTTAGTTTTTCAGTTTTTAAATCCTATATTTATTAAAATAAATCAAAAATGTCCTGAAATATTTAAGTGAATAAATATCTACTATCAATAGTATCATTATGTGTCTTTATTTGTTTAATATACGAAGTAATATCCATATTTACATTTATATACATGTGGTAAAATCACAGATAAACCAATCGGGCTATAAATAGATTATAGCATGTTCTGTCTCTAAACTGAAATCGAATTTGTTATATATTTTATTTCTTTGAATAATCAAATTTATTTGAATATCAATGAAGATAATCATAATTAATAAAATACTATTGCATCAAGTTAAAGTTTTCTGAAGACTGTTAATGTTTTGGTCATGGTTCTAGAGGCTTCCTCACATTTTGTAAACAAAAGAAAATGTGGTCAAACCTACACGTTACAAAATTATATCTGACAAAAGTCAGATTTCTCTTGGCAAAAGGGATTTATATGTATATTGCAATAAATTATTCAGAAGGAGGTACATTAGTCTAAATTATATTTCTGATTCTGTGAGCACTTAAGAGTTTTGTCAAAATTCTCCCAACGTATAAAATTTTCTCTTGTACCGTATATTTTATAAATAAATTCAAACCCTTTGAATTTTATGGGCATCTAGGTTCGCATTACAAAGGAAAACAATGAATAAAGACAACACTTTATTAAGAAATAGTTCCTTTTATTACTTAAAAACTAAATTTTCTTGTCTGCAAGATTATAATTGCGTAACTTCCGGGTCAATTTCCTGTCAGAAAAACATTGAAAATATCCGATTTGTGCATGGTTTTGAACAAAATTTCCTGAATATTCTTATCCTATTTGCCGATATATTCTTTTATCCAATATTCGATTACACGATAAAATTAACATTAAATGTATAGGGAAGGGTTTGGTGTTTTAAAATTATATTACAATAGCCGATATCCGAATAGGTCGAGTATACTGTATTACACCTAAAGCATAGTTTGAAACAAATAATCTTAACCATACTACACTTGCTACCAATATCTTGTGTCTTACATTGCAGTGTTTTTAAATTAGATACTGTAAATTCCGAATTTATTGTGAGGTTTTTATTAAAATAAATATCCACTTTTTAGTTATGATGTTTAAAAGGCATACTATCAAAGTGACATTAAAATACGCCTTATCGCTATTTAGTCCATTCTGGAAATCATTTAATAAGACAACTTTCTGTTTCCATGGTTTGGGTCAGTTGTCACAAAGGCCCTATCACAAAACAAAGGTCATTAGTAATAGGCAGAGAGAGGAAAATGTGTATGAAGTGAACATTTTGAATTCGTATAGTTTATGATCCAATCTTTTAAACACAAATTCAAGTAAGAAAATTTTTTGTTCAAAGTGTTTTCAATTGTTTAAATATTAACTCTTTCAAAAATTTTATGCACAGTACATGGCTCCAGCAGGGCCCAAGATAGCTTCACCTGCTTTGAAAGAGTTGTGTAATCCCAGAACTTATCTGGCATGGAATAAATAACGATAAGTTGCGGTCTCACTAATTAGAGACAAGAAGAAAAATATTAGTGACAAGAAAGTTAATTTACTATTAAAACAATAGATTTATAGAAAATAAATCATCTGATTATACTAAGGGTCCATAAGAAATGTGGAAATTTAAAATTTTTAAAAATTAAAAAATGACCTTCTCATTTTTTTTTATTAATATTGTAAATATTTGAACCTTATATTTTTTTATCTTTTTCTTTATTAATATTGTAAATATTTGAACCTTATAATTTTTTATCTTTTTCTTTATTAATATATAGTAAATATTTGAACCTTTTATGGTGTTAAGACAGAAAAAAAATGTGTAATGTATTCATATATATATATTAACCTTTTGAGTCGGAAATAAATCTAGATTATTATAATTATCTTACAATTTGGTTTTGAATCTTTGATACATCAACCATGCTGACTCTACATGTACAAATGTATAGTGATTCATTCATAATGAAAAAAAAAAGTTTATGCTCTTGTTTCTCATATATTATTATTAAAAAAGACAATTTAATGTATGTTTCAATATTTATTTATTTAGAATAATTTATAATATTTAGTTTTTTTACGCTTAATTTGTTTTCTTGTCAATAAATTATACTTCTTGTCGCTAATGAATGAGCCCCCGATAAGTTATATTAAAAGCTGCATATACATAGGTCATAGCTAAAAAAACTTGGCTGTTAGGATTTTATTTCTATCAGTCATTTCCTGTACTTAATTTTAGTTATTCATGTACATATATTGTTTGTTATGATTTGTTGAAATAAACATTGTTTACACTAGGCCTATAGACTATTAGTCCAAATAATTATGACGTCTAGGAAGGCTATTTCAAATTTTTGATTCCTGCGATAAAAAAAGTCAAAATCGAAAAATACCCACAGCAGACAGCATGATTATCTGGACTTATAGACTATATGCATCACATTATAAACTATTGCTTCCTTGTATTATTCCACCACAAGTTCGAATAAGAAAAGAAAATGACAACTCATACGTTATAAAAGAAAGGCTGGACGGCTATTTGTTTTTTTTTTATTGTTCATGGTTACTGTCTAGAAACTGTCTAGCTTCTGACCAAAAATGGTAATGAAAAAGAAATAGGAATAGTGATGCTGCGAGTTGAGCAGCCATGTGCCGGTATAGACTTAACCCAGAATTTACTCAAACATATCAGTACGTACCATCTTGATTGTTACTTTGTAAATTTGGAGAGTAATTTAGTTTGATGACTTATGGAAAATTGGCTATGTATAATTTGTTCTTAAACCTTAATTCATTTGGCAAACATTAAAGAAAATTTCAGACAATCATGCGGCCATGTTTGTCTGCACCCAAAGTACCGAATCTGTGTAGGTGGGATGCTTTTAGTGTATAATATATTTCAAATTATATAAAACGTTTAAATGATGTCAATAAACTATTAATTAGAACGGGCACCTGCTAATCTTGTTTAATCTGTTAATTAGTGTGAAGGGTAATTAGCAGATTAACTAAATGATTGAATTAACATTATTTCAAAATCTAATTATTTAATTAGTCTATTTTTTTTCGAACGTAGTTCGGAAAGCATCGGCATGGATACATCGGCGGCTTCAAAATGGCGACGAAAATAGTGTGGAATGTTTGAACATGTACAGAAATATTGACAATATTCATTTCCATATAAAAACGAGTTGGTGAACGTAGATTAAAACTTAAAAAATGTCTAAGATAGCTAAAAATAGGATTAAGAGTGCGTGGACACCATTGAGTAATGGAGAAACAAATAATAAGGTATAATTTGAACAGAATTTTGTTAAAAAAAACACACTATTAATAATAATTATGATTATATTGTCTATTAGAAATGACAATAAATACTAAACACTCAATGAACATTAACACTATAATTTCATTGCAACACAGTAGATTTGTCATAGCCATTTAAAAAAAAAATATTACAATATTATTTTTGAAAACAGAAAAGGTAGAACAAAAAACATTGACAAGAGCAAGCTTAAGGGCTACACACAAATAAATGAATATTAGCATGAATGGGTACAATTAGAATCCTGATTTAGTTACCAATTAATTCAGTTGTTTTATAATGTGATCATTGATGATACAAAGTAGCTACATTTTAACACCTTGTAACTTGTTAATAATGGTTAATGGAAAGTGAATCTCATTTGATTACATGCACCCTGATTCCTGTTTGCACCTTAAGTTGGTTTGCTCTAGGTCGTTTTGCCCTGAATCCCTGTTTACGTCAGCTTGTTTTGGCGTGATTCAAAAAATTAATGTTATTGGTCGTTAGTAGGAACTGTTAAAATAAAAAAGAAGATGTGGTATGATTGCCAATGGGACAACTCTCCACAAGAGACCAAATGACACAGAAATTAACATCTATAGGTCACTGTACAGCCTTCAACAATGAGCAAAGCCCATACCGCGTAGTCAGCTATAAAAGGCCCGAAATAACAAATGAAAAACAATTTAAACGAGAAAACTATCGGCGTAATTTATGTACAAACAAATGAACGAAAACAAATATGTAACACATCAACAAACGACAACCACTGAATTACAGGATCCTGACTTGGGACAGGCACATACATAGAGAATGTGGCAGGGCTAAACATTTTAGCGAGATCCCCCCCCCCCCTAACCTGGGACAGTGGTGTAACAGTACAACATAAGAAGGAACTATAAAAATCAGTTGAAAAAGGCTTAACTCATCAGATGGATACAAATAGAAATACATCTAACCAAAACAGAGTGGACGTGGCGGGGTACTTGTATATCCCAACAAGAAAAAGACACTAAGTACAGATATGAGAGTACTTGCAGTTACTGACAGCTAGTTCAAAGCCACTAACAACTAATAAAAAAAAAAATGATGCATCTAAGACTAAATTATCAATCAGTACACATTCAACATCCAATGGATTTAGTGTAAAGACATCATAAACAGTCAGAGAAAAACATGACCTTGTGCAATGCCAAGATGTTAAGTTTACTGGGTTTGTAAGGTATGTAATTTGTATGTGAGGGCCGCAGGGAAGATTAGTTTATTGTAACTAACTGTGTTTACCCTCTTTAAATAAAGAATTTATTATCATCATGATTATTATTATTACATGTCAGGAAGAAAAAGTAAAATAAATTCAAATAAAGTGAACAAGTCAAACAGTCACCTAGTTATTTCAGCATGTATAAAAAAAGTCAAATCGGCACCTGGTGGTCCAAGGACACAGTTATCGTCCTTTGGTTTTCGTTGTCTACGAATATAGTCCCTAGTGTGAACAGTGTATAACTTGCATTTTTTTTTTATACACTTTCTAAATTTATTTCTTGATATTTTATGCATGAAATATTAAGTAAGGGGATGAAATTACATGTTAAAAAAATTTGGGTGCTGAATCTTTATGTTAAGTAGTGATTGGGTCCAGTTAAAAAAGGTCAAAAATTAGAATGTCGGAAGCTGTCAAACTGAATTTTAGCCCCCCTTAACACAGAATTGTCAATATTTTGAATTAGAGCTGGTAGAAGTTTCTATAATTTTGATATTATTTGTATCAATAGTAGTACACTACACTGTAAAAATCTTTTTGAGATAGAGCAGGTGCGATTTTTTTAATTTGAATTTATTGTCTAAAAGAAATGCACTACGAAATAACTGTGTTCTCGGGCCTAAGAGATGAATTCCGTAAATGTAGATTCTGTACTTTGGCAACTTTCCTGAATGGTTTTCTGGTTTCAATTTGTCAAACTCAATAAAAGTAAAGGATTTACATCTTTGTTTGACAGAAATTCTGTTAAAATGTCCCATTTTGGCATTATACGGCTAAAATAAGCATTTTATAGCAGTTTCCATTTTATGCCTAAGAGCCATGCTGACTTTCTATCTGACAGCTTTTTATGTTCCTGATATTTGTGTTTCTATGCTTAAATCAAATTTAATTAACCATCTGTGAACTCGGAATCTAGAGAAAAGTAGATTATCACAGAAAAAATGTGCAGAATATTTGTATTTATGTCTCTGGTTAAACGGCCTGTTTGATGTATGTGAAATGTGAAGAGCTTTGTATATAAAATCTGTAGTCCGTCACAAATATTTCACTAAATCTGTAAAAAAAACACTTTACAATGATCAGTACACCCTATTCATTTCATATGCTACCATAATTTTCTTCTTTAGGATAGTAAGTGGTTCAAATATATGCCAAGTGAGACTAAAACTACATGCAAATTTTCCATTGAAAAGTGAAAAACTGTCATCAGACCATACTGTCTGCAAAAAAAAGTTGAATTCAAGAGTCCTTTTGCAATTAGACTTCTTGTATCATGACATCTTAGCATAGAAATGAGCAAAAAGTAACAAATTTCAATTCCTTATAGCCTCTGTGTGCATTTTTATATGTAAATATGGGCTACAGCCTAAATCGACTCTAAATAATTCTCAGTCTTACATGGCCTAAGACCATTTTATACTCATGTGGTATGCTTTTTGTAACTTTTCTTTACATTTAAAGTACATTTAATATATATGGAAGAATAATGTATGGTTAAAAACTTTCAAAAACTTCAAATTGGTTGAAAAAAATGCATGTTTATGTAAGGCTTCCCTTAATTCGAAAATCTCTATTTTCAGGCACAGGCTCATATAAATTTGACTTTTGAATAACTGTAATAAATCTGATAAATCAAATGAGTGTTCCGTTGCTTTTAATACTTATTATATTAAATTCAAGAGTATTTAAAAAGCAAATTTTTGCAATATTTAAATTTTTTAGGCCAAAATCTTGACAGTTGAAAATATTTGATTTAAACGTCAAAAATAAACATCCAAATTTCAATATTAAAATGGCCCTAGTTTCTATAATATATATCCTATGGCCATGAAACTTGGCCAACTATCTTAAAATTGCCTAAGCTTAAGTCATGCAAAGTTTTATTAAAATTGGTCAAGTCTTTCTATCCTATTAGGTCCAAGGACACAGTTATCGTCCTTTGGTTTTCGTTGTCTACGAATATAGTCCCTAGTGTGAACAGTGTATAACTTGCATTTTTTTTTTATACACTTTCTAAATTTATTTCTTGATATTTTATGCATGAAATATTAAGTAAGGGGATGAAATTACATGTTAAAAAAATTTGGGTGCTGAATCTTTATGTTAAGTAGTGATTGGGTCCAGTTAAAAAAGGTCAAAAATTAGAATGTCGGAAGCTGTCAAACTGAATTTTAGCCCCCCTTAACACAGAATTGTCAATATTTTGAATTAGAGCTGGTAGAAGTTTCTATAATTTTGATATTATTTGTATCAATAGTAGTACACTACACTGTAAAAATCTTTTTGAGATAGAGCAGGTGCGATTTTTTTAATTTGAATTTATTGTCTAAAAGAAATGCACTACGAAATAACTGTGTTCTCGGGCCTGGTCAAATCGTCACAAATTTCAAGTCATTTCAGCATTTAGTTAATCAATCAATTCAGTACCAAATAAAATTTTACCTCTTTCTGCTTTTTAATTACATTGTACTTGTACAATGTATATATAATTATTAACTTAAACACCGCAGCCATTGTTCCCGTCATGAACTATGTGTACACTATATAGATTGAGCAGCTTAAAGGATGTTTGATCAAACATAAACCAATGCAAACATGCATAACAAATATCTAATACCATGCATGACTTGAAATTACACATTAAGCTGAACAAAAAAAATGCATATAGAATTAAAAACCAATTGTTCAGAGAACAATTGAAGGTCTTTCCACTTCTAAAGATTTATTTTGATATGAAAATATTAAAATTCGGTTTAAAATGTCATAACCAGTGTCAAATGATAGCTTATTGTTTGCTGATTCCAAAAATATATGGTTTCTTTACAATTTTGTTTGAAATAACGGAGGTAATTTGATACTTCCGGTCTGAAAAATGTCATTTCCGGTATTATTTGATAGTTTATTTGAAACTGCTTTCAAAAGTATATTGTTCTATATACTTTTACATGAAATAAGTACAAAAAATAGCCACTTCCAGTTTACACAAGGTCACTTATGTTTGCTTTTTCAAAGTCATATGGCTTGTAACCTAATGCACAAAGTCCTATGGCTTTATGATGTTTAAATATGAATTTAAAGCAAAGGTCAAAATCTAGAACGTCAAATTTACCTATGACCTTGACCTCAATTTCAAGATCATAAACCAAGGACCTCAAATCAAAAGACACTAGGTCTTTATTATTTATGGTTGATGAGTTATATCATCATACGCGTAATTTTAAATATAATAGCGGAGAAAACTCCCATTTAACATGTTTAATGTCAGCGTACCCTTTCAACCAAATTGTATGTGTTACAACAATTTAGTAAAAATATGTTGTCGATATCTTATATGGTTTTTGAAAAGAAGTGAAAATAAGCCAAAATCAAAATTTAGAATATGACCTTGACCTTTGACTTTTACATGTAACTTTTGGTAAGTGACTTTTCCAGAAGAAAAAAAAAGTTGTTAGATTGATCCCTCTAAAAGCAGCTTCTTCCAAGTCATCAAATTCATAAACAAACTTAAATGTTGCTAGACAAGAGTTGTTGACTTTACCATGTTTACATGTCATCATGTGATGTACCTAATCATTGGCACTTTGAATAAAAGAAAACGTCTTTTGGCTCAATAAAGTAATATCCCATTTGAGGTACATGTATGATATCCCAAATCTCAGGTAAGAGTTTGGGAGTTATTTTGATACATGATATATTAAATATCCTTTATTCTATGTTATTTGCAGTATACCTCATAGTTAAATGTGTGGGTATTTTTGTTTTTTGTTTTTTGTTTTTTTTTATATTGAGAATTCTCCGCTCAAAATACTAATGCCTCTTGTGTTTTTCTTTTTATAGTAAAAAGACACTAACTTGAGTCAATGTCAACATAATATTAATTGAATTATAATATATTGCTATTATTTTGTTGTGTGTGTTGCCTGTAGCATTTTTTTTTTATTACACATGTTACATATCTATTGTCTGTGTATTGCATATGTTATTGTTTATAATAATATTGTTTGTATGCTATATGCCCTCCTGGGGCCCTAATTTGGCAAATAAAAATATTCTTTTCTATTCTTTTCTATAGTATATACGTGTTTGTATTCATAATGAGACTTTGTACTTTTTTACAGATATTTGAAGAAAGAAGAGGACTTTTGAAGAAATGGGTTTGTTTGAAATTTATTTCTATTCATACTCTGGTTTGGTAAATCTTCATCTGAAGATCAATCTCTTCAAAGTGGGAGGGGTAGTTCTTTTTCTCCTTTAACAATATATTTATCAACCATGTTTACATATATATCAAAGTAAGCTGTAAACTGCCATGACATGCAAAAAATGTGAAAAAAAGAAGCCAACAGCATGATTTTTTAACAAAACAAATGAACAAAAAATATGTATGAGATAACAACCAAGAACAACCACATTAGAGGTATTACTAAGGATCTTTGGCCATGGTGAGTCCAACAGTAAGAAGAAGATATTTGATTGCAATATGATTTGTTATTTTAGTCTCCATGACCTTATACACCAATGCAATGACATTACATTTTTTTATAAATTCAAATTACTTTAAACTTTTGCTATAAAATGATTATATGTGTTCAGTTAATACAACATTTTACAATCTTGATGCATCTTTGGACTCTCCAGTTTTGAAAATGGTGAGTCCAGACAGATTGTCATGAGTCCAGGACTCATGGACTCACCTTAGTGAGAACCCTGAATTTATCTGTAACAATTTGCCAGGTTTGACTCAATAACTTATAATAATTTTCTATATTTCAGTATGAGAAATGGACAGATGAACAGAGGAAAAGAATTATAGAAGATTTAGTTCATGTATCAAAAATCAAACAATTACAGCATGCACAAACATTAGTTAATGATAAAGTTCCAATGAAGCAAGAAGATTTTACAAGGGTGCTACCAAAAGTCCTTAGTGTTTATTTATTTTCATTCTTAGATCCAAGGAGTTTATGTCGGGCCTCAAGAGTAAGTTACATACAATTAAATAACAAGTGCAGTTTTGAGATTGAAGATACCTTATATTAAGCCGAACAAAAAAAATTGATTTGTTTTGGGTTTTACTTCCAATCCTTATTTTTAGCACTGACCCTAACATTTTAAAGAGGATTTCTACCAACACTTTTCACCAGCATATCAATTTTGATAATTGTTGAAGTATTTCATCAAAATGTGTGACAGTTATGATTAAGAAACATAGTAAAACATCATCATTACTACCTGGACTGTCAGAGAACATTAGCTTTCTCACTGTTATGGTAAATTAACTTTAAACTAAATTTTGTATATATATCAAACTTAGTTAAACATGTTAAAGTCAGTTGAAATTGCGAAAATTGTCCAAATCAGCAAGATATTCATGATATTGTTAAATGCTGTTTCTGCCTCAAATTGAGGATGCATGCTCAACCTTAGGGAGCTACCATTTGATTTTTAGGGGGGAGGGGGGCTAGGATGAAAAATTTTGTCCTGCCTTCATTTTTAGTTGTAATGTCTGTCCTGCCTTTTTATTTTACACTCTATTAGATCCTGCCTTTTTTTATTAGTTTATCCTAACTTTTTTTTTACATAAATTGTCATCCTGCATTTTTTTTTTTTGCAAAGTGTCTCATCCTGCATTTTTTTTAACTCAAAACTCCTGTCCTGCCTTTTTTTTTTTAAATTCATCCTAGCCCCCCCCCCATAAAAATCAAAAATCAAATGGTAGCTCCCTTAGTTATGTTTTAAAATATAGAAATAAGAAGATGTGGTATGATTGCCTATGAGACCAAAAATGACTAGAGGAAAACCATTCAAACAGGAAAACCAATCTAATTTATATAAAAAACAAGAAACGAGGAACACTTATGAACCACATCAACAAACTACAACTACTGAACATCAGGTTCCTGAACCATAGATAAGCCATGAATCCATATTTTTAAAACCCCCCTCATACATTTTAATGGAATACTGTACCCCTAAAGATACTTTTATTTCCTCTAAATAACTGCTATCATTGTAAACATTTAATGAAATATTTACAGGTATGTTGGCATTGGAAGTTTTTAACAGAATCTGACCAGTTATGGATGCCTAAATGTCTGCGACTTGGATGGTATCTACCTTTTACACCCAGTCCTTATGAAACAGGTGTATGGAAGAGAAACTATATAGAAAACATCAAAAGTTTACAGGTGTTAAGACCTAAGGTATTTAGATGCTAGTTTCTAAAGGAAGTGAAAGTTTTCATGTTTGCCAAGTATATAGGTCAAGGCCAAACCAAAGTAATTCTTCAATGTGTAACAGTGGCGGATTCAGAAATTTTCATAAGGGGGGGGGGGGGGGCATTGACTGCCTAAGAGGGAGGCCGCTCTAGTGATTCCCTAGTAATAATCTACCAAATTTTCTTCACAAAAGAGGGGGGGGGGAAGACCCACTGAAAAACACTCTAAACCTGCCTCTATGTAAAGATCATGTATGTGATTTAAGCCCAAACAAAATCATTAATATTGATCTATTATGTATCTCATATTTATGATTAGAGGAAAGAAAATTAAATCATTAGTGTTTTGTTAATATTTTTTTACCACAGTAATATCATTGTGTTCTTAGTAACAGTTTTCATAACAATCAAGAAATTAATTTGAAAAACAACCAGTTTAAAAAATATTTAACCAATACAGTTGTTGGAGAAAATAACTTAAATTTAATAATGTAAGAAAGACTAAAAGTATTTTTCTTATTCTGATATTTATGAGATTAAGTAAATTTGTATATCAATCATACTGCTATGTTTGTAAATCTTGGCATAAATCAGTTAAAAATGTTTCAGTCAAATTTGCAAATTATAAAACATGATTTGTTGTAAATATTTCACCTAAGATTTGATTCTCAAATTTGAATAATTATTTGCCCGTGAATGGTGATGCAAAGTTTTCATTGCTGTTTTTCATCTCTATGATCTCCGAGGCATCAGCAAGGCTTCTAGTTTTATAAGTTTGATATGAAAAATTTTAAATCACATTTGAATAGTTTTGTGAGATATTGTCCATAAATAATTCTACCCTCCAGTTTTGAATTTTCTTTAATGAAGATAAAGTTTTCTAATAACTTTCACTTCTGCAGTAGATTAAGCTATACTACTGTATAGATAAAATGTTGAATGGTTTTGTTGTGTTGTTGGTTGCTGTCTATTTGACACATGCCCGACTTATGATAACCTGATAAATGGTATCCTTTCTATATGGAAATAAAAAGTGTATTTGTTGTGGTAATTTCAGAGTGATGTTTATGAATACAAGGACTTGATTCTGAGCCCCTTTAACAGAAGGAAACCGAGGGTTCAGTTCTCAGACCAAGTATTGAATTTTTGGCATGGCATTTTTAACTGCATTGTCATGCAAATAATTTGCATAGTGCATATGATAGGCATATTAGCTAAAACATTTTGAAGACCATGTTTATACTGTTATTTATATGAATGCCACACTGCATAAATAAATGGTTTGACTCTTCATTAGCATGTCAGGACAAGATACAGACGACTCTTTCATGACAACTGAGCTGTTTATTCACCATGTAAACCTCTTCAATTCTCAATAATTATTTAAACAATTTTCAAAAAGGGGAGATAAACAGTTTTCAAGGATGGAAAAGTTAAATTCTAATATGCATTATTAATTTTTTTTTATCCCCCTAGAAAATATTCAAGCACTAAACATTTTAGATTTAACAAATTCCTATATAGTATATTTTTATACAATATATATCAAAAGACTGAGATTGACTTATTTCACAATAGCTCACACTCAATTTGTTTATCTGTTTTCATTTTAGTTTTGATATAACATACTATCACTTGTTTAATCAAAATCAAAACAAGCATTCCAGGCTTATAACAGAGAAGTCCAGGATTAAAGTTATCATGAAAGAGTCAGCTTGTAAGTAGGACAGCTGCGGAACCATAGCTCTTACGATCCTTATGATAATTTCAGCAAATATCATAAGGACCATTAGTGCCATGGCTCTGTAGCTTTATGCTGTAGGACTTGTCTTATATAAGTAAGGCCTGTTTGTGATAACATGATTTAATGAAGTTTGTAACAGCATGGTTTGTTTTCTTTTATTAAAGTTAGAATACAAGAAGGTCAGTTTATATGTTTATTGTAGATTGCCAAGGAACAAACTGAAATTCTAATTCATATCTATATTGGAGGTTATTCCAGTAAGAAATATACTAAAGGATCAGTTTGTTACTCATTTGAAAACTGAAAGAGTTGTCAAAAGTTCTTATTTGCCAGGATTCTTTTTTTTTCTAATAGTTTAAGCAAATAAATATCCTTTCACAAAAATTAGAGGTACTTGACCTTGGACCTCCATAGTTTTGGTTAACTTTGATGCAAAAGAGGCATTTTGAATGAAAATTAGTATTAACTGACTTCCAGAGTCTCCATTTGCTTTTGTCAATATATTAATAAAATTTATGGTGTATTGAAAGGCTGAAAGAAATTTTAGGTAATATTGAACATTTGTATTTAGATTTTTTACTGGAATAAACTTCAGAATTTGGGCTATTCCAAAAAATAATGTATGAAAGTGGAAGGCACACAAAATGAAAACAAATGGTTGGTTTAGAAGTTTTTAACCTTGAGCATATTGCATTCAAATACTGTTTTAGAAAGAAAATACTCAGATTTTTATACGACCGCAAAAAAACATATATTGGTTTGACGTCGGCATCGTCGTCCGAAGACACATTGGTTTTCGCACTCTTACTTTAGTTTAAGTGAATGGATCTCTATGAAATTTTACCATAAGGTTTTATACCACAAAAGGAAGGTTGGGATTGATTTTGGGGGTTATGGTACCAACAGTTAAGGAATTAGGGGCCAAAAATAAGCATTTTTGTAACTTCCAGACATAACTTGTGTGTTAGTGTATGGATCTCTCTGACATTGTACCACAAGGTTCCATATCACAAAGGGAATGCTGGGATTGATTTTGGGGGTAATTGCCTCCAAATTTTAGGAATTAAGGGCCAAAAAGGGGCAAAAAACAAGCATTTTTCTAGTTTCATGGCAATAACTTGTGTGTAAGTGTATGGATCTTTCTGAAATTGTACTACAAGGTTCCATATCACAAAGGGAAAGCTGGGTTTGAGTTTGGGGGTAATTGCCCTAAATGTTTAGGAATTTGGGGCCAAAAAGGGGCCAAAAAACAAGCATTTTTCTAGTTTCCAGACAATAACTTGTGTTCAAGTGTATGGACCTCTCTGAAATTGTACTGTAAGGTACCATACCACAGAGGGAAGGCTGGGATTGAGTTTGGGGGTGATGAATCATAAGGGGGTTCAAAACATTTGGGGGGGGGTGGTTTCCTTTTTTTTCTTTAAAATTTTCCATTTTAAATTGGTTATTTCTGATTTATATATAAAAGCCAATAATAATGATATGGTTTGAATAGGTAAATTAAAAAAATTTAAGTTCTTAGACCACATTCATTCTGTGTCAGAAACCTATGCTGTGTCAAATATTTAATCACAATCCAAATTCAGTGCTGTATCAAGCTTGAATGTTGTGTCCATACTTGCCCCAACTGTTCAGGGTTGGACCTCTGCAGTCGTATCAAGCTGCACCCAGCAGAGCATTTTATTAAAATGTGCAATTGGGGGTTATGAGAAAGAGTGCCTTCCAACAGTTCATAAGTATTTTTGGAATAGCTGTACAAAAAGTATGCTTTGCTAACTGTTCTTGTAACAAGGTACAACATATTTGCTGATACTGCGTGGAATTTAGGTACATGCTTGTTTAACTATATAGGTTTCCATTTTATATGCTAGGGATTAATATCTGGAATCTCTATGTTGTGCATGATCATTGTCTAGTAAGCTTAAATTCAGCTTTGAAATATTTATAACTTGGAATGGCAGTAAAGCCCTTTCTCAAAAGTCATGCCTGGAGTAATGTATTTAACTTGAAAGGAAGCTTTTCTGATTACTGGCAGTACAGAGCAAAAGTAAGAGCAGGCAAGGATACAGAAAATACTAAGGGTGATTCTAAGATGTTTCACTTAAAATGGGGGATGGGGCTCTAGTCCATTTTTTTCTGGATTTGAAAAAAAAAAACATGGAAGGAGGTTCCTATTCCTGGAACTCTCCTTTAGGATCCTCCAATGGGGAGAGAATGTAAATATACTTATCCACACGCAAATATGCTTTTCAATCAAATATTGATGCAGAAAACATCAACGTTACTATATATATTTATATAGAAATTGACAGGGATAGAAAGCAACTATTGCCTGACTTTATGATCACCTTGCTGTAAGACAATACTGCTTTTTAAGAAGAAACAGCTTCTTATTTCAAAAATACAGTTTTAATATTAGAGCTAGATTCATTATTCCAGACATGAGTTTCAAGAAAGGGTTTATATATATATGTAGGTATTATGTGTTAGTCTCCAAATTGAAGCAGCAGTAAGTACTTTGTGTTATCAATCATTTGTCAATACAAGTTACTTGATAATTTCTCAATTCTTTTATTATATAACTTTTTTTATTCTATTCAAAAATATGAATTTAATGTATGTATTTCTAGCTATTAAACCAGGTAATTCTAGCTGACCATGATTAGTATCTTTTTTAATCTTCTCTTTCACTGACCAGATGAACCATTATCTTTTTTAATCTTCTCTTTCACTGACCAGATGAACCATATATGTAAATATAAGTTCATAACTCTCAAAATTTAAAATATCTTATCTGGCACCGTAACGACAACTGCTATGGTCAGATGTCAAGGTCTATTCAAAAAAATCCTGCCTTGATTGACATACAAGCATTACATCTAGAGCAGTGCTTTTCAACTTCGTACTTTATTTGGCTTTTTTTGTCTTTCTTTTTTGTGAGCTTCACTGATGAGTCTCATGTTGATGAAACGTGCATCTGTCATACAAAATTTGAATCATAGTATCTATCATGAGTTTAAATTTTAAAGCAGCCTGCTAATTTTCTAAATACAAGCAGAAGACAGGATGTACATTGTACATGTTGTTTGAAAAGTTTTTATTGAATCTTTTATAATTATATCAGTGTAGAAAGTAATTTTGCCGGAGTAAAAAAACTACAGACAAAACTGCCTTTATTTGGTATGAACAAATCTGTAGGCATTCTTTCTGAATGGTATGATGATTGTGATCTATTTTTTACATTCAAGTAGATATAAGAAGATGTGGTATGAGTGCCAATGAGACAACTCTCCATCCAAGTCACAATTTATAAAAGTAAACCATTATAGGTCAAAGTACGGTCTTCAACACAGAGCCTTGGCTCACACCGAACAGCAAGCTATGAAGGACCCCAAAAATTACTAGTGTAAAACCATTCAAACGGGAAAACCAACGGTCTAATCTATATAAAAAAACGAGAAACACTTATGAACCACATCAACAAACGACAACTATTGAACATCAGATTCCTGACTTAGGACAGGTGCAAACAATTGCAGCGGGTCTAAACGTTTTAATGGTACCAAACCTTCACCCTTATCTGAAACAATAGTGTAAGGATTTCAGGAAAAAAGAAATTTTAAATCAGTGATTATGAAACTTGTCTATACTAAGTATTTTTAATAACATTGTAGCATGATGCCCTCCTAGAATTAGAGAGATTAAAAATTAGCCAGGAAAGAGCTCTTCGCTCACAGAAAGATAAGAAAAAGAATCCACAGCCATGGAGAGGTTCTGACCCAGTACCAAAAGATACCTGGAGATACAATGTACTAGAGAATAATGATATTGTAGGGGATGTTAACAAAATGTAAGTATATTGCAGATATATTCAGATATATACAGTTAGATACATGTTTTGTCTTCTACAAAGAAAGGAGTAAGTTCAAGAAGGGTCAATAGTGGCCCTTATTCCATGATATTTAACTTAAATCAGTACACATCAAATGGATAAACCAGTACACATCAAATGGAACTTTGTTAATATGGCAAATATAAAAAAGAAGATGTGGTATGATTGCCAATGAGACAACTCTCCACAAGAGACCAAATGACACAGAAATCAACAACTATAGGTCACTGTACGGCCTTCAACGATGAGCAAAGCCCATACCGCATAGTCAGCTATAAAAGGCCCCCCAAGACCTCATAAACAGGTTGAATTGCATGATCGTGTACCAATTTAATTTCAGCATTTGCCTTTTCATATCTATACTACAAACAGGGCTCACACTACTTCAGAATCATAGGGAGAAGTGACTTCTCTTTTTGAAATTGAGAGGGAGAAGTGGTGAGATTTGAAAGAGAAGTGCTTGTTCGCTCGCGGGCTACAATGTTTGGATTTTACTATAATACATTAAGGGCCATATGTATCTTATCTTTTTTATATTGTTCAATTTGTACCTGGGTATACAATTAACATGATTAAAGTAACTGTTCAAATTTAAATTTGTTTAATTTTATCATATCTAGTTGCACAATCAAATGAGTTCTCTTGTCAGAAAAAAACAATTAAATATCTGGCAATCAAAAAAAATAAAATTCAATTAAAAAACTACTCTGTTATCATGTTCATGAAATTAATAATTTCTCATTAAAAAGATATATAAATTTAACAGTTAAGCTTGGACATAATATAATTATATTAGTGTAATAGTCCCAGAGTTGAGCAACTTAAACTTATCAATTGAACAATGCATATACATGGAAATATATATATTAATCAAGAAGATCTAACCAAAAGTATGTTAATGCGTGTGGAATGCGTAATTTTTCCTTTTGGGATCAATTTTTGTCTGTCAGTAGTGCCATTCATTCGTCTGTAGTCATTATCGCAAGAATCCAGGTTTCGGTCATAGCGGGTCCGTTTCCAATTAAATCCTGACTCCGATCCGTAGTTGTACAATAATATACCCAATAATTTAAATGTCGGACGAAGAAAAATTTACAAAAATAAACGATGTTTGACACGCTATTTGGAAAGGAATATGACGTTTTTAATGCAATACATGGATAACAAGTTTACTTCAGGCAAATTTCATCAAGTTCTAATGAAGTAATAACTTATTTTGCCGAAAGTTAGAATAATTTCGTGTAACAAGTACCGGAAGTGATAACAAAAATTTGTTTTTATGAAATAACATGCCACCAGCTTAAAAATGAATGTTTTAACCTCTTTTTTGAAGAAAATAAATCGTTTATGCCTGGAATTTCTTTTCTTTTAAATGAAAATTGCTGTTTTTTCGTCGACTTGGTAAAAATTGAATATTGCCGATGAGGAAAGCGACTGAAAGCGAGTATCGTAAACAACATGGCACCTTGTTTTCGCTTTTGGGGGTCGGGCAAAGCGAAGTGACGGACGGGAAAGCGACTTTTTCGCCCTAGTCGCCTGGTAGCGTGAGCCCTGCTACAAACAGGCGAGATATGTCCCTGTGTCATTTTTTATTGTGAAACCTACATTTGTAATTCTAAAATTTGCAAAAAAAACAGTTGTATTGCATTTATTTTATTTAAAAAGTGTATTATTGAATTGAATACTTGTAAATTGATAATTTTTTGACACAAACATACAATTTTTACTCTTTTTGGCTCTCAATAGGTCTGACCTTACTTTCATTGGGTTAAAGAATGTCAGAAGGTATACTCGATTACAAAAATAAGAAGATATGGTATGATTGCCACTGAGACAACTCTTCACAAGAGACCAAATGACACAGAAATAAAGAACTATATATAGATCACTGTACGGCCTTCAACAATGAGTAAAACCCATACCGAATAATCAGATATAAATGGCCCCCTAAATGACAAATGTAAAACAATTCAAATAATATTAAACATGTTAAATGTGCATCTGATATCTGACATCTGATATCTGACATCTGACATCTGACATCTGACATCTGATATCTGATATCTGACATCTGATTTCAGGAGGAAGAAGAAGTCTTATGGACCTCATTCTGATTATATTAACATTAATGCCAGAAGTAAAGTGAAAACAGGACAAAATATACTCAACCAGGCACGCAAAAGTCAGTCTATGTCGGTAAGTATACTCAACCAGGCACGCAAAGGTCAGTCTATGTCGGTAAGAATACTCAACCAGGCACGCTTAAGTCAGTCTATGTCGGTAAGTATACTCAACCAGGCACGCAAAAGTCAGTCTATGTCGGTAAGTATACTCAACCAGGCACGCAAAAGTCAGTCTATGTCGGTAAGTATACTCAACCAGGCACGCAAAAGTCAGTCTATGTCGGTAAATATACTCAACCAGGCACGCAAAAGTCAGTCTATGTCGGTAAGTATACTCAACCAGGCACGCAAAAGTCAGTCTATGTCAGTAAATATACTCAACCAGGCACGCAAAAGTCAGTCTATGTCGGTAAGTATAAGTCAAATAAGGATTTTATTGTATTCAAAAATTTTATAACGTTTAACTAGGACAAAACCATTAAACCGACTGAGACAATGGTCTCATAAGATTACTAATTTGCCCACCTAAAGTTTGTGGGTTCAATCTTTGATTGGGTACAACCAAAGACAAAGACTTTTAGATTTGTATATGCTACTGCTCAATGCATGGAATTAAGGAGTAAGATAAAAGAGTGGTAAGAGAAAAGACAGACAAAAGATTCCAAAGGGACATTCAAACTCATAAGTCGAAAATAATCTGACAACTCCATGGCTAAAAAAGAAGAGTGGTCAACATAGATTCAGATTGACCAGTCTAGACGGGAGACGTATATATATGTAGCAGAGTATATTGATATGACATTTAATTTATCATATTTTATTGAAAACTGTACATTTGTTAGTTATAAAACATCTAGTACCGGTACCTTATCCCGGCCTCGTTAACATTAGTAAATAACATATTTATACAGCTGTTAGTATTTGTTAGTAATGTACATACAATTTTCCATTTTTGAAAATTATATACCATGTCAGTAATATCAATAAAGAAGCTTACCATTAAGATTATCAAACATATAATTATCTTATATAACAAATGCACAGGTTATGAAAAATATATAGTTTGTGTTGTTTTAGTAGTAAGATATAAAGATATATGTTTAAGTATGTCTGTAGTTTTTTTTCGTAATCAAATAATGAAGGAGAGAAAAAAAAATAATGATACTAATAATTGAAAGAAAAATAAACAAGAATTTTATTGAAATTAAAAGTTGTTACATAAATATTAGCCACAGCAGCCATCAATCAAACTATAAATAAATCCTATCAACACGTACAGCAAAAGTGTTCTACAAATCTGACTTAACCTTTAGAAATTTTCAAAACTAAATGAATGAATTGTACTATTTTCCAGAGGCTGAGCTATTCAATGGATGCTATGAATGCTGACCGCCCACAATGGGCCCGAGACGATACTTCTCAGAATATTAATGTATCATTTGATAAGAATGTATCCAAACCCAGGGTAAAACCAGGACATCTAAGTCCTGAACAGAAAATGCCAAAACAGCCACCTTCAGCCAGATCTGAGAGAGATCCACCCAGTAAGTGTTCACTAACAGACTGGACTCTTTCATGGCATTTAAAAAAGAAGTGTAGTTCATGCTCAATTCTACTCCCACATAGATAGGCAGAGGCAGAACTCTCAGATATAATAATGATTGAACAAGTTATGGTTCAAAACATAAATGTTATTTGGAATGGGGCAGATGGATTTCACTTTTGATTAAAAATATTCACATAAATTTAACATGACAGCTTAAAATTTTAAATATTCAATTGAATTTATCAAGTTGACTTAAGATTAAAATTCATTTATGTATATATATATATATTAACTTGATCTTCCTGTTAAAAAAAAAATATTTACTCGACAAATCCTTGATACCATTTTCATGTCAGTACAACTTGCAAGTATGATAGTTGTGTTTGAAGATCTATGGAATCTGTCCCATGACAAGTTTTTGTTTTGTACTGAATAGAACTAATAGGAATATTTAAAATTGAGAATGGAAATGGGGAATGTGTCAAAGAGACAACAACCTGACCGAAGATCAGAAAACATCAATGGGTATTCAACACAGCGAGAAAATCCTGCACCTGGAGGCCAGCTTCAACTTGCCCCTTAACTAAAATGTGTATTAGTTCAGTGAAAATGGAAGTCACACTAAACTCTGAAACATATAAATGAACTAAAATTTAAAGACAAGATAAATTTTGATGTCCCACCTCAAACATTGCAGCATTCTATCATTCTATCATTCCATATTTTTGAAATCAAACAGTTGTTATTTATAAGTCAAAAAAGTAGGACTTAGACTTGATGTTTCAGGCAGAATAGGCAGCTTTGACAATGTATGAAGTTATGATTAGGTCATTTTAAGAGAACCACTTGCGGTAGATCAATGATACTTGGTATACCTTTGTTTTAGAATTTGCACATCTCATTTCCAAAGAGATAGTTTTACTCCACCCCTTCATGCATAGCTAATTGACTTTCAAACTTTTGAATAGTTTACATGTAATTAAAGTTTGTGATTAGGTAATTTAAAGATGAACCACTAATGTTAAGTCAATGATATTTGGAGTGAAGCTGTGTTAGCCTTTGCATAACTCATTCCACTGGAGATTGTATAGCACACCCCTCATCATGGTTCATTTGACTTTGAAACTTTTGCATAGTTTACATGTTAACATTTGTGTGAAGGTCAGTGTAAAGGGAACCATTTATTATATGTAAATGATATTTTGTATGCAGTTGTACAAGAATTGACATTTCTCATTTCCACAGAAATTATTTTGCATTGTAACTTTAGTCATAGTTCATTGACTTTGAATATTTTTCATTGTTTACATGTTGAATTATTGCCAATTTAATTCCAAGATTTACGCTTTATCGAAATTACATAAAGGCAAGATGTATCTTTTTTTTCAATAATTAATTGTAAATTTAATGGTAGCTGAACTAGTTTATGACAGTTGAGGTAGTTTCTGCCTAATAACACATAAACTTAAGTATGTGTATATCGACACATTCACAAAAACTTGTGTTTAATTTTGTCTCGCCTTGACGGAGTCAAAAAGCGAGATATAGGTATGCTGTTTCCGGCGGCGGTGGCGTCAACAATGTATAATGTTGTGATTAGGTCTTGTTCATGGTGAACCACTAGTGGTAGGTCAATGATATTTGGTATGCAGTTGTATTAGCATTGGCACATCTCATTACCATGGAGATTATTTGGCCCCGCCCCCTCAGTCAAGGTCTATTGACTTTGAAACTTTGCTTAGTTTACATGTATTAGTTTGTGATTAGGTCAGTTTATGGGGAACCAGTAGTGGTAGGTCAATGATATTTGGTATGCAGTTGTATTAACACTGGCACATCTCATTACAATGGAGATTATTTAGCCCTGCCCCCTCAGTCAAGGTCTATTGACTTTGAAACTTTGCTTAGTTTACATGTATTAGTTTGTGATTAGGTCAGTTTATGGGGAACCACTAGTGGTAGGTCAATGAGATTTGGTATGCAGTTGTATAAGCATTGGCATATCTCATTTCCATGGAGATTATTTGGCCCCGCCCCCTCATTCATGGTCTATTGACTTTGAAACTTTTGCTTAGTTTTCATGTATTAGTTTGTGATTAGGTCAGTTTAAGGGTAACTGTTAGTGGTAGGTCAATGATAATTGGTATGCAGTTGTATAAGCATTAGCACATCTCATTTCCATGGAGAATATTTGGTCCTTACGTCTCAGTCATGGTCTATTGACTTTGAAACTTTTGCTTAGTTTACATGTATTGGTTTGTGATTAGGTCAGTTCAAGATGAACCACTAATGTTAAGTCAATGATATTCGGTATGCAAATGTATTAGCATTTGCAAGTTTCATTTCCATGGAGATTATATTACCCCAACCCCTAATTATGGTTCATTGACTTTGAAACTTTTACATAGTTTACAAGTTAATGTTTGTGTTTAGGTTTGTTGAAAGGGAACGACTCATGAAAAGTCAATGGTATTTGGTATGCAGTTGTATTATCATTGGCACATCTCATTTCCATGGAGATTGTTTAGCCCTGTACCTTCAGTCATGGTTCATTGACTTTGAATACTTGCATAACTTACATGTTAAAGTATTGCTATTTTAATTTCAACATTTGCATTATCAAAATAACATATAGGCGAGACATATCTCTGTGTTAACAGTTTATTATATTTCTCCATGCTGTGTATATCTGTGATTGTATATATTTTGTCTTTTCCAGCTGCCAGATTGTTCCCAGAAACTCCATGGAAAGTCCCAGATAGTACAGATTCAGATTAAACTCCACAAAAACTTTATACAATTTAAACTTTGCATTTTATAATGTAACTACTCAAACATTGTTATACATCAATTATCAATAGCTTTGGTTTCATTCATTTTTTCAATTGAGAAAATTTTCATTTATATACTTTATTTTATGACTTAAACTAACTCTGTAGTAAAGCCTTTACAAAATTTGTATTGTGTTGAATAATATTCATGATTAACTCTTAATTTTACGACATATCTAGGGTCATTCCCACTATTTTTTTGTGTGGTGAATTGCTATTTCATTGATGTTAACATCACATCTCCTTTATTTTCAAAAATAACTTATTATTCTTAGACAATTTAAGAGTAATTTGAGATATGATTACATACTATTATTTCTACGTTTAAGCTAGTTTAGAGCTAAATATATATATATATTCATGTGATATTTGATACTATTTATTCAAATTTTTTTTAATTTTTAATTGGTACAACTTGAAATACATTTTTGTATTTGTAATAAAAATTGGTGGTAATTAACTTCAGATGTTTAATAAGTAATCACTCTTAAAAAATAGAATAAGGGGAGATAACTCTATATGTTTTAATACAAATTTAGCTAAGGCTTTATAGCTGGGGATTCCTAGAGATTAGGCTGATTGATATTTCTTCCGGAAGCCACATTTTAATCAAATATGACATTTAAAATGTTGGTTTTTTTTAGTTCTATCCATACTCTTCCTAAAGATGCATTTTGACTTTTAAAGAAAAATGAAAGATTGATTTTTATGTTACAAATTGCAACCTGAAAAAGACTGAAGTAGACATCATATATGTGATTAGAAAATTAAAAAAAATATATAAGCTTTTTTTTAGGACATGACCTGCCAAGGAAAATGATTCTATCAAAGAAGTTGTCTGTTAAAAAAAAAAAAGAAGTTGTCTGATATTGATATAACGTACTGTATACATTGTACTTTTATATTAGCTTTTTTTTAGGTCATGACCTGCCAAGGAAAATGATTCTAACAAAGAAGTTGTCTGATAAAACATACTGTATACATTGTGTTTTTTTTTGTTTTTTTTTTTTGGGGGGGGGGGGGGGGGGGGGGGATTTTTATAGAATTCCATTCCATTTAAAATTCCAAAATCAAAGATTCCTTTTATGTGATATTGTTTGTTATTCTAATATTTTTTTACATTTTTTTACATTTTTGTCAATTTATTGTATAGTATGTAAGGAAGATTTTTTTATATGACCGCAAACAAATTTTGGGGTTTTATATTGCTATCACGTCGTCGTCATCGTCCGAAGACATTTGGTTTCTGGACAATAACTTTAGTTTAAGTGTATGGATCTCTATGAAATTAAACAAAAGGTTCAATACCACAAAAGGAAGGTTGGGATTGTGTTAGGGGTGGATGGTCCCAACGGTTTAGGAATAAGGGGCCAAAAAGAGGCCCAAAACAAGCATTTTTCTAGTTTCAGGACAATAACTTGTGTATAAGTATTTTGATTGCTCTGAAATTGTACCACAAGGTTCAATACCACAAGTAGAAGATTGAGATTCATTTTGGGGGTAATTGCCCAAACCAATCAGGAATTAGGGGTCAAAAAGGGTCTAAAACAAGCACTTTTCTAGTTTTCAGACAATAACTTGTGTTTCAGTGTATTGATGTCTCTTAAATTGTACCACATTTTACAAAAAGAAAATTTCTTCAAATGTTATATTTTTAGGAGGGGGGGGGGGGGGGGGGGGGGGGGGGTAGAAAAAAAATTTTTGGAGGGGGGGGTGACAATTTTTTTCCCTCAAGATTTAAGAAATTAAAAAGAAAATTTCTTCATATATTATTTTTTTAGGAAAAGGGGGAGGGTTAAAAAAAAAAATTAAAAATTTAAGAAATTGTCAATTTTCCAAAGAAAAATTGGAGGTCACAATTTATTTTGCTAATTCTTTGTATATAGTCTGAAGACAGATTTACTAAGTATTGCGCAACAGCACAGTGTATTGCACAAAAGCAAGAAATCTTCAATTGAATATAAATTCAAATCATATAACAAATTTCAAGTACTTTGACTACATTTATTCTGTATCAGAAACCTATAATGTGTCAAATATTTAATTACAATCCAAATTCAGACCTGTATCAAGCTTGAATATTGTGTCCATTTTTGCCCAAAACTATTCAGGGTTGGACCTCTGCGGTGGTATCCAGCTGCGCTCGGCCAAGCAGTTCATTATTTATATGAAATGTACTATTTCAAAAATTCAGAGTCAAATCTCTGAAAAAAAAAGGAAAATATTAAATTTTCATAGCTGACAACTGATATCCTGTTTGAGGTCAACCCCCTTCATGCACCATCAATCATGTCCAAAGATTCCTAATTTCATTCATCAGTGAAAACATTTATTTGCTGAATTAATATCAAAGAATTTTAAGTACCTTTATGGCATCATTAAACATAAGAAGCTTTATTTAAGACTAAATTAAATTTTGATAGACAAAACTTAGAAGAACTCATCAAACTCTTTTTCATACATTGTCAAAAATTTAGAATTTTTATAGAAGACAATGGAAAGAGATGTTTAGTATTATTCTATTACTCATTTCAAATGTTTTTGACCAGCATGCATCAGTGAACAGGTTGACAGCTATGATATTGAGAAAATAATTAATTAAAAAAAGACTTTTTTAGTGTTAATCTCATTATATATATTGTGAAAGTACAAATATGAAAAGTCCAAACTAGATTAAATATTCCCAAAATATGTTTGTTTATTTAATGTTTTAGTTTTAACTAAATGTACAGAAGGAGAAATAGGGAGTTGATCACCTCAGTTTTCGGTGTGGTTTGTGTTTGGACGTAATCTTTTTGTATAAAACTTTTTATATCAAGATGGTAGAATACACTGAGGCTTCATACCTTGCAGATACCAGTTTGTCATATGTTCAATGACCTTGACCCAATTTTCATGGTCCAGTGACTGCTTGAAAAACCTTATAATTGTTTTTATACGACCGCAAAAAAATTTTGTGGTCGTATATTGGTATGACGTTGGCGTCGTCGTCGTCGTCGTCCGGCGGCGTCGTCGTCGTCGTCCGGCGTCGTCGTCCGAATACATATTGGTTTTCGCACTCTAACTTTAGTTTAAGTGAATGGATCTTTTTGAAATTTGACCATAAGGTTAAATACCACAAAAGGAAGGTTGGGATTGATTTTGGGGGTTATGGTACCAACAGTTAAGGAATTAGGGGCCAAAAAGGGGCCAAAAATGAGCATTTTCTAGTTTCCAGACAATAACTGTGGAACGGTGTATGGATCTCTCTGAAATTATACTACAAGTTTCCATACCACAAAGGGATGGTTAGGATTTGCTTTGGGGGGTTATGGCTCAAACCGTTTAGGAATTAGGGGCAAAAAAGGGGGAAAAACAAGGTTGTCCTGGTTAATGGACAAATACTTTAGTACAAAACATAATTTAAAGCAGTGTAAGGGAGATAAATCAAATACATCATTGAAATTATCTCCCTTACACTGCTTTTAAATTATGTATAAAGTAATGGTTAATGAACAATAAAGATAATCTAAAACAGTGTAAGGGAGGTAATCCAAATACAACGTTTTGGTTACTTCCCTTACACTGCTTTTAAATTATGTTTAAAGAAATGCATATTTATAAAGGAAGACCAGTAAAAATATCTGCAAATGTTTTCATCTTTTTTTTTTACAAAAAAATCCATATGAAAGATTTGACACTATATTTTTATTAATTCTATTATAAAATAGATTAAGTTAGCACTATGGTAAATTTAAATGGGTAATTATGGTTGCCAACTCCATTGGAAATTTGAATTGAGATTATGACCATATCTTGAGGGAAAGAATTTTTTTGGGGGAAAAAGGGGGGGGGGGGGATAAAAAGAAATTGTGGGGGCCAATTTTTTCTCATTTCAGATTTCAGAAATTAAAAAGAATTATTCTTCAAATATTATTTTTTTTTCAAATTTCAAATATTGAAAAATTTCAAGAAGTAATCTTTAATTGCACAGTATGGCGCATTAGATTTGTAAAATCTTTGATCACATTTATTTATTTGTTATGCCGAATCTAACAGAGTATTTAGATTTTTAATTTTGGGTCCAGTTTTCAAATTGGTCTACATTAATGTCCAAAGGGTCCAAAATTAAACTTTGTTTGATTTCAACAAAAATTGAATATATGGGGTTCTTTGATATGCTGAATCTAAACATGTATTTAGATTTTTGATTATGGGCCCAGTTTTCAAGTTGGTCCAAATTGGGGTCCAAAATTAAACTTTGTTTGATTTCAACAAAAATTGAATATATGAGGTTCTTTGATATGCTGAATCTAACCATGTATTTAGATTTTTTATTTGTAGGCCCTGCTATCAAATTGGTTCATATTGAGGTCAAAAGGGTCCAAAATTAAACTTTGTTTGATTTCATCGAAAATTGAATTATTGGGGTTCTTTGATATGCCAAATCTAACCGTGTTTTTAGATTTTTAATTTGGGTCCCGTTTTTTAAATTGGTCTTCATTGAGGTCCAAAGGGTCCAAAATTAAACTTAGTTTGATTTTAACAAAAATTGAATTCTTGGGGTTCTTTGATATGCTGAATCTAAACATGTGTTTAGATTTTTGATTATGGGCCCAGTTTTCAAGTTGGTCCAAGTTGGGGTCCAAAATTAAACTTTTTTTGATTTCAACAAAAATTGAATATATGGGGTTCTTTGATATGCTGAATCTAACCATGAATTTAGAATTTTTATTTGTGGGCCCCGCTATCAAATTGGTTTATATTGAGGTCAAAAGGGTCCAAAATTAAACTTTGTTTGATTTCATCAAAAATTGAATTATTGGGGTTCTTTGATATTCCAAATCTAACCGTGTATTTAGATTTTTAATTTTAAGTCCCGTTTTTTAAATTGGTCTACATTAAGGTCCAAAGGGTCCAAAATTAAACTTAGTTTGATTTTAGCAAAAATTGAATTCTTGGGGTTCTTTGATATGCTGAATCTAAACATGTGTTTAGATTTTTGATTATGGGCCCAGTTTTCAAGTTTGTCCAAGTTGGGGTCCAAAATTAAACTTTTTTGTTTGATTTTAACAAAAATTGAATATATGGGGTTCTTTGATATGCTGAATCTAACCATGTATTTTGATTTTGGACATTGGACCATAATAGGTAAATTAAAAAAATTCAAGTTCTTAGACCACATTCTTTCTGTGTCAGAAACCTATGCTGTGTCAAATATTTAATAACAATCCAAATTCAGAGCTGTATCAAGCTTGAATGTTGTGTCCATACTGGCCCCAACTGTTCAGGGTTCGACCTCTGCGGTCGTATCAAGCTGCGCCCCAGCGAAGCATTTTATTGTCACGTGAAATGATAACTTAGTGATCTAGGTTAATTTTTCAAGGTCAAGTCTGCATATCAGAAACTGTAAACAAAAGGTCAAACTATTTTTAGTCCCCTACCAACGAAGTCGAAGGGGACTTTAGGTTTGCACTCCGTCCGTCTGTCTGTCTGTCTGTCTTTCTGTCAGTCTGGCAAAAATTGTTTTTGTCACGTGAAATGATAACTTAGTGATCAGGGTTAATTTTTCAAGGTCAAGTCTGCATATCAGAAACTGTAAACAAAAGGTCAAACTATTTTTAGTCCCCTACCAACGAAGTCGAAGGGGACTTTAGGTTTGCACTCCGTCCGTCTGTCTGTCTGTCTGTCCTTCTGTCAGTCCGGCAAATCAGTTTTCCACACTTTTTTTCTTCATGCTTGAAGATATTGATTTGATATTTGGTATATTGTTTTATCATGACAAGTTACAGATCAAGTTCAAATTTTGTTCCAGTCTGATAATTTTGTGCAGAGTTATGGTCCTTGGACTTGGAAAATTCACTCAAATATTCAGTTTTCCGCACTTTTTTTCGTCATTCTTGAAGATATTGATTTAATAATTGGTACATTGTTTTATCATGACAAGTTACAGATCAAGTTCGAATTTTGTTCTGGTCTGATGATTTTGTGCAGAGTTATGGTCCTTGGACTTAGAAAATTCACACAAATAATCAGTTTTCCGCACTTTTTTTCGTCAAGCTTAAAGATATTGATTTGATAATTGGTATATAGTTTTATCATGACAAGTTACAGACCG